CTGATTACCTACTTGGTGGAGCAAAGAATTGATGCGGTAGGAAAATGTACCCTGTTCCGGGGCCCTGTCTCGTCAAGGCTAAGGAGAGAACCGTGGAAGAGATTTATGTTCACCCGGGCGAATACGAACAGCTCCAATGTATTTCGACCACGTGTCCGGGATTACATAATAAACGTGACCATCCTCTCTTTCCGGGCACACGGTCCTCTCAACTTGGATTACCTACGCTGACGAATCACGAGGAACTAAATCGTCGTGCAACCCCTTTGGAAATTCAGAAGTCTCGTTGTGGATCTCGTGACAATTATTTATAATATACATATACATAAATGAGGCATTTCGAATATTTATCGTGCCTGACGCGTTCAATGTCTGCAGATATAAATGAACCACAACGAATGTAAAGGATTAAAGAGCGCCATGACTACTGACACTACGCTCCACGAGAAGTAAGTAAAAAACAGTTGAACAACATGTAAAGAAAGAAACGAGAAATGGAGCAGAGAAGCTAGGAACTTTTGTACGATCAGCATCGAGGGAGAGGAGTTAAGGGCGAGGCTAAGCCGAGAGCTAAGAATGCGGGGGAGAGAAGAGGAAGCGTATAGAGAGTAGGGCACGGATGGTGAACAGCTGCCAGGGCCTATGGTGGCCGTTTTGTGTGAAACGTGCCCCCATAACCCCCATACTCCCCTTTCCATCTCGCGTTCACTCGTGTTCGCTTGCTCGATCTTCTCCAGCCACCGTAAGCCCTCTCCTATACTGGCTGAACCATGCAACTGGGACAAACGCGGTTGCACTTTCCTGATCAAGAATATACTGTAATTAATACCATTTAATTGTGTTTTATAGCATCTTTTAACATCTATGAGCAATTATTTTTTAAAGACACAGCTTGTCCCAGTTGCATGAAACATCCTGTACAGTGATCCATCTATCCCCGGGCTCCCTGGTTGCTCGCAAAGAATAAAAGCGCGCTCGCGTAATCTACGTGTCCGATCGAACCGAAAATCTATCCGGAAAATATTTCTTCGCGAAGAAGAAAGCTTGCGTCGAGCGTGGAACGGACAGCTTCTTTTTCTTCCGACGAGCAGGAAGGAAGAATCGGACGAAGAATCATCGCGGTTGTCCGAGAAGAATGGAAGAATATTGTCGAGGAAGAGAATCGTGCATTGTTCCACCCTTGTCCTCTGGTCCGGAACAAGTTGTTTCTTCAAGATACACAACCTTCATATAATATTGTTACGTCCATGTGAAAAACTGCCTGACCAAAAATACTGGTAGGTTTTTGTAGGTAGCCCACCTACCCCTAATTAAAGATGCAAAATTCTTTTTTTTTAATTTAACCAAAGTAGGAGGAATCGCGCGTGTTAAGCGAGAGATGATGAAACATTGAAATACAGTTGTTGCGTACGTGTTCAATTTGATATCACTTATTCGCGAGACAAACGGAGCAACGTGAAGATTTCGCTGATTTGAGTGGCGCAATAAATTATAAAGGCGATATCTCGAGCGTTATATGGGAGGGCAGAACGTCGGCATAACACGACGGAGGCACGCAAGAGGAAAGATCGGAGCGAGTCGTTTTGTTCGGCAACGGTAACATTGTTGTAACACGAGAAGATATTGTCCACTTGACAACGGAGCCATGGCATGGAAGAAATCACTCCTGGTGCACGTGACGACCGGGACCCGATATATGTATGTAACATACATACACCGGCATCTACCTTTTTCTCCTACCTTTCCTCAACGTTTCGAATCTTCGACAAACAGCATCGATACGTTGTTTGTACAGAAAAGAAATTTCATCGAAAGAACGATCAGACGATAGTAAACAGAGAAGATAAATTGAATATATCGATTCGAAAAACAGAGACAGGCTCGTATCCCTTTTTTCTATGATCGCTGAAATTCCAACTGGAATTTAAACCTCGATCCGAGAGTGGACCGGATGTGTGGATCGAGCCTAAAACGATCGGAGCGTTTCGTAATGTTCGCCAGGTAGACTGTGAAGTCAAAGAAGGAGACGAGGAAGAAGGCGAAGGCGAAGAAGAAAGAAAAGAAAATGAGAGAAAAAAAAAAGGAATTGAAGAAGAGGTGGAGGTTGAAGAAAAGGCGGTCCTCGGGGGGCTCCTTGTCCCCGACGCGACGTTTAATTTCAGGCAGTCCAAGGAGCTCGTAACATCTCTGCCGTGTTTAACATCGAGAAGAGAGCCTTGGGAAGAAGATGCCCGTGATCAGCCCAGAACCAGTTCTCGCGCCTTAAACGGACGGTTCTCACGCATTTATAGCCCTTCATCACGCTTTCCATTCGACCTAATTGCCTCGATCGACCACCGTGAGAACCACTGTTTTCTACACTGTTTGCAGAAATCTACGTCATACATATCTCGAAAATCAAACAAACCGTCTTTCTACAAAAATTTTCAAAAGAATGCCAGCGTCAGTTTCAAAGAGACCAACCAGCGCGGCACTTAACAAATACATAATTATTATTATTAATAAAAAGGAAAACGACCGTGATTATTAAAGTCGCTAAAGTGAAAGAAAAGAAACTGAAATTGTATGCTGCTTGAATGTATCTAACAATGGTTGAGAATCGTTGCTCGGTGATACGATCGTACCGTGATCAATAATACGGTCGTACAGCCGCGGCCGGTATAAAAGAAGGCGACTCGCTCAACTTGAACGTTAATGAGTCATTCGAGAGCCGTGTTTGACACGTATCTGGGTACTTAATTGCACCGCTGACGAACGTTAACTTTTAACAAATTCGTCGAGCGTGCAACAAATTATTCATTCATATATCGAGATTAACCCTCGATAACCCATATTTCCCAACCCTCCCCTAAATCTTGTATAAATCTTGTTCACTCTTCATTTTTTACGTAGTCTCATCTCGTCTCGGTCGCTAGGACGATCTGAAAGGAGTTTACTCCAGTGGAACAAAGAAAGTCAATGCCGTGACGTTACCACGAGGTTTTTACGGTTTACTCTAAATCCCGTTACGAGATTTCGCCTGGTACTGGTTCTCGGTGAACTACATATTAAGAAAGAGCGTCAAAGCGTTACGGAAGGGGGTCGATAACCGGCGTTCGATACATCGAAAAAATCGCAAGAATCCGACGCGGACTCGTAATATCGCTAACTCAACTCTAACTAAAATCAAATTTTATTTGAACCGTTGCGCTAGATTTCTCTAATCGCAATCATTTCTGACCGATTTAACGGAATTAACCAAGATTAAGAAAGAAATGATATTTCGATAGCTTGTAAAGGAAACGAATGTTCGTAAGTGGATAGGAAGGAAGAATATTGTTAGTTGGGCGACACGAAAGTCGTCGACGAGGTACGAGGAAAAAAGAAAATGAGAGGAGAAAGAAGGTACGCTCCGGTGTACAGAGAGGATACTACTCGAATAGGAACCGGAACTCGCGGTCCGTGCTCGGAATCGACTACACGATTGCACATGTACAGCCGTGCATATGAATCAGATAAAAGGGAGTCGGAGGAAAGAGGGGGATCAGAGGGGTCTTGTATGGCCGCGAGGCGCGGAGAGGTTATCGGCTCCGTCATTGATTTCTTCGTCGCACGAAAATAAATCTCGGTAACAGAGGCGGACGCTTTCAAAACCGCAGGGACAAGGATAAAGAATCGTACAACAAGAATACATGCACCCTGTATGATCGTCTCGATCTTAACCAACTCGATATGTACCGCGATCGTTTTAGCGAAAACTCTTTAACTCTTTGCGCTTCTATCTTGAACTTCTTCTGATATCGTATGTCTGTAAGATATCTCAATCGAGACACTGTAACTGTGTCTGAAAGGCATATTTGGAACGGAAACGATTAACACGTCGTTGACAATCTATAGATGGACGCGTTGTTAATTTAGTAGTTGGCAACTAGAATATACACATAACGCCAAATACGAATATATTCGTTACTAGTAACGGATGTAAATAAAGAATTAGCGGGAAATTTGAAAAACAGATCTCATCTCTAATTGTTTGTTTTAAAAAAAAATTTACTAACAACAGACGACAGGACAGGATTAATAATGAAAATTATTCAAGATTTGTCAAATTTGGAATCTGACGATGATCTCAGAAAATAAGAAAAGCAAAATTTCTTCCATCGTAATGGCTCGTTCGAGATAGAACGAACGCTGTCTTTTTGTTCGACAACGACAGATCCCCGTAATTCTCTTTGACCTAGCTAACCTTGAATCGAACAACATCGCGTCGCATATTGTATCAAGACTTCGAAATAAAAATATAAACCCGAACTATGATAAATAAGAAAACAGCTTTCAACTACGACTTTATGAGATATTTCATTTCGATACGATTACGTTTGGTAATGGCTTGCGAGAGAAATTTCTACGACTCCGTAACGTATTTTAATCGTCGAACTCGGAGAAATTAACCGATGCACAATCGTAACGCAAAAGCCTGCCTCGGTTTACATCCATCTTGGAATGTTAAATATCGATCGAATATCGGTTTGTATCTGTTCTATCGGTTTCCGATTACGGAATAAACAAGAAAATTTGGTAACGACAGATGACGCATAATTCGTGCAGAAACAAGCGGAAACTTGACGCCCCGCCTGTCAACCGAGAAAAAAAATTCCGTACCGCGAGACGCATCAGGTTGGGAATACGTTACGGACATAGAATGCCGAAAATTAACGGAGATATTAAATTTCAGAAACCGACACACAACAGATCTTATATATTAATTGAAAAATCTCTGTGATCCACGTGCTACGAAATACGTTTTCATAGAACCGGCGTCACCCGGCGACACGCCGTTACCAAACTTTCGACTGAAGGTCGAAGTAAAGCGAATCACCGGACAAAATTAGGTTTACTAACAAGAGAAAAACGTTTAAAAAGATAAGAAAGCTTGTACTCACCGTTAGCACCAAAATATCCTGGAGAAATCTGTCGAAATACGGATCCCAAGCACTTGCAAACAACACTTCACTCGAGTACGCCGGTCACTGCGCTTGTGCGTTCAAATTCACCATCCTTCAGCGGAGCACTGCTGCCATCTTACGCGCCTAACTGCCAACTGATTTACCCACAAATCCCGTTCGCAAAGGTGGCGGCAACTCTTCCGTGTTTTAAATCTTATCCACATGAAACACGATGATGATTAATTAACGATACTTACACTAATGTATTTGAATAAAACTTGTAATGAAAAAAAAAACGCTTTAAACACAGGTGAAACTTTGAAACATCAAAACTAAAACTGAAAAGAATGTTTTATGAAAACATCCATAACCTTACGTCAACGACTTACACGCGTCACGATTCAAGATGCTGGAAATTTTTACTAACAATAATCCTCTCGACTTGAGCCATTTTTTTTATTTTTTAGTACTGTTGTTACTTGTAAACTTATCAAATGAAATATGTTAACATACCACAGGACACGCGTGAAAAGATTGAAATTTAACTTGGTATAAAATGTTTGGTTGTCATAGAAAACAAAATAGAATCTAACGTATTCGCGTAATTAAATGACTGCATACGTTTAAAAAGGACACGCGTATAAATTCTTTAATTCTTTATTGTAATATTCGTAGCTATACCATGAAAACCACATCCATATTCTTTTTCCCATGCCCAAAGTACAAGAAGCCATAATGTGGGCTATTTAATTTATGATAAAATGTCACACCAGGCCAAAAAAGACTGTGTAAAATTACCAATCGTTGCCCAGGTAGAAACTGCAAGTCCCAACATCCTAAGAAAACACTTCATAACACTTCAGAAAAACAAAACAATCGACAATTATAATAACTGTTCTTATTCTAATACCTGGGGGGACATCCAAATCAATTGTATCCAAAAAATCTAACGCGTAATTATAATCGGGCCTGGTAAGCAAATTAGTATTCCACTTTTGTTGGGGTGGACGAGCGTGCAAATAAGATTTTAAATAAGAAGCATCATTAATAGTAAGCCCTTCAAACCCTAAATTTTCGATGCAATCACCATCAGGACACTTGAACCACGCACCACGTGGAACTACTGCAGCATCTTCTCGTATTAATTCCACCGTAGCTGCGAGTCTATCTTCTTCTTTCAATTCTTTAGGAATCGGTCCCTAATATTTATAAAACTTTACTAATTACCTAAATTATCATCTTTGCAAATGTAATCAACTTACGTCGTAATATTTCTTAGGGTCTTCATTTGGCGGGAATGGAGGATTTACATTGTACACGTTTGTAACTATAGAAGGATCTCCCTCGAATTTGTTAATCGCAAGCGGCGTTAAGAATCGTGCACATTTATTGGCTTTTGGTAGCAACAACCAATTTAATCCATCCGTACTAATTTAAATGTTTCTTTTTTATTTTTAGTTTTCTTTCTGTTTTAATTATGCATATTTAAATAATCTTACCTATAATAATACACTTGACCGTTCATGCAGTCCTTCTCAAAACCATACGCGATGTGATAATCGCTTCGTACTCCGTAGATTTGACCCCAATAGTAACACTTCCGAAAATGGTTTTCCTGTTGCAGTATCAAAAGAGAATGTTTTAATAATTGTGAATTTTCTGTTCCTACACATATTCCAGCATAACCGAGCATATCTAAACTGTCCAATAACCAGAAACATTCCATCTTCTTGCGTGCATTTACTCTCGGTAATAAAATGAATTTTAAAACATTTTGAAAACAATCGAGAATATGGAATGATTTTCACATCTTAAAAAAATACTTGCATTTAATTCATGCCATAAGAAAAGTGTTTTGAAAATTCCAGTAGATGGATTCAAGTATCACACGATAAAAAGAGATAGAACTATCTCTTCAAAGTTTATGGTTGAGGAACGATAATGTCATCGTCCGAAGAAGAAAATGATCAATTGATGGATCTAGAAGCAATACGCGATGAAATATTAAGCCAGCCACGCAGTGAATGTATGCAAGTAAGTGCTTGGGAGGATGACGATGACGGAGTTGAAACTGAACGTAATGCTAAAGGTTAGATCATGATTTTGGAAGTGTATTGATCATAATCTTCATAATCGATTCAGTAATGTTGTTTCTTTTTATTTATAGAACCGGATGAAAAAGAAATTCTGAATGCAGCTGAAAATGGTGAATTGGATAAAGTAAAGAAGCTGATAACAATAAATCTTGGTCTTTTAGAAGCTACAGACAAGGATGGTTACACTCCGCTGCATAGAGCATGTTATGGAAATCATGTTGAAATTGTGGAGGTACAGACGCGTTACTTTGTAATATTAATGTTCTCTCAAATAATTGTTTCAAAAATGTAATGGTATTCTGTTTTATTTATAGTATTTAATTCAAGCTGGTGCAAAGATAAATGCAGAGACTCTGGATGGATGGCAACCATTGCATTCTGCATGTTGCTGGAATAATGTTGAATGTGCAGCAGTGTTAATTGCAAATGGAGCAGACATAAATGCTAAGAGCAAAGGTGATCAGACACCTTTACACTTGGTGTCTGCAAGTTCCCATAATTCTCCAGCATTGCAACTCCTTTTACTACATCCAGATACAAATCCACATATAGTAAATTCAAGCGGGGATACTGCAGAAGATATTGCAAAAAGAACAGGAAAATATTATCCAATGTTTGAAATCATCAGGGATTACTTAAATGAGATTTAAGGTAAGTAGAAGGAACTTTTCTGTTACTTAATAAATTTATTGAATATGTTTATATACACATGTTACAATATTACGAATATAAAAAATTCGTGAAATCAAGAATTTGATTTAAGCGTATCTTTGATATAGTATGGTTAAAATTATAAATATATTAATAACAGAACCTGTACTTCCTCTGTAGGTGCATTATATATTTTAATACAACAGAGTATAAAAATATAGATGTTCTTATATTATTAGAAACATAACAAACTTTTAATAAAAACTTCAATAAAATAATACTTAAAGATTGCTTGATTTTTGTTGCATGGTATGATAAATGTAAATATAATAAGAAACTATTCAGAGTATTAACAGAAAATGTCATAATAGTGTCGTATAAAATCGTATAAAAGGTGACTTTTTTTTTTTTTTTTTGTAAAACACTTATTGATAAAGTAGAAATGGATTTTGAATAGTATTTCAAATAATGTATGAATTTTTATCTACGCATTGAAACAGTATTTTGACTTTTTTTTATTTACAATGATGTTAAATTAACGAATTTTGGTGTACCGTTACTTAAACGTTTCGATCCTTCCCATATAAGGACAGTAAAATCTTCAGTTACTGCATACAAATGATGTTGGTCTAAAGCCCATGCTATCGCAATTACGGGTCCACAACCTTTTATGCCATTTATAATTTCTCTGACTAATCTCAAATCCCAACTGCTCCATAATCTTATCACTCCGTTATCCAATCCCGTCGCAATAACATTGACGGAAACTCCTTCCGGTGCATTGCTATAACACAGTGCTGTTATCCTTCTTCGAGACAAAACAGATCCAACCGCTCGTGCGTTTATAGTAAATATTTTCAATTCGGACTGACCCGAAGAAGCATTTTCACTTGTCCTTGGAATTTCATAAGTAACTGCTATGTCTCCAAGAGTTTCACTGATCGATAATAAACGAATAGGGTAATTCTGGTCACATGGTATGGATCTTATGTATGTTAAACTGCAATGAAAAGATAAAGTTAATAATAATGGTCTATGGATATATTTTTTTTTAGCGTTCATCGATGTATATACCTATTTAAATCCCAAATAACGATAATGCCACTTGTATCACCCGTGACAGCTATGCTAAATGCTCGTGAAAGAGATATTGTCGTTACTCTGCTTCTATGAGCTAAGAGCACAGATGCTGGTGCTGAACTGAAGTCAATTTTACTTGGCACAACTGTGTATGTATGCACCGTTATTTTACCAGATAAATGACCAGCCCAAAGCTGCCCACAATCTGGAGCAGAGCTTAAAATAGTAATCTTGAAAAAAAAAAAAAAAAAAAAATTTTACAAAATTATTATATGGTTCTTGATTTGAGAAAAAAGATTTCGGATAATAGCAGTTGCTTACTGGATCAAGACCAGATGACTTAATTAATGGTCTTGGTGGTTGTTCCTTTTTACATTTCAGTCTTGCAATTCCATCTGTACCACCCCATGATACTAGAGCAGCTCCCAATACAGATGTTCCACTTAACATACTAGCACCTAAAAACATTGCATGATCTATCTGTCATAAGTACGAAAATTTTCGAAAATGTTTAATTGTTAAATTGAAAAGTATTTACCCTTCTCTTTTGTGTAACCAAGTAAAAGAGTGGTGTAACTAGGTAATCCAAACACATCACCAGTCATTAAAGGAACTAAAGACGCTAGTGGTGCTCTATGTTTATGTTTCCAACATAAAACTGGTTCATTTCCGGGCGCGCCAACGTAGTTTCCCCATTTGATGCCTATAATCATAGAATCATTTTCAATGTTCAAATTCTGAAAGGAAAACGGTGACTGCAAAATCCAACATACCATCTACACCTTCGATTACTTGTGGCAATGGGTTATGTATCATTGTGTTCCCAAGATTCTGAATTAGTAATGGGTGAGCAGCTCTAAATAATTGTGCTGGTGTCTGGCCATATGTGCGTACCATTGTCTCCCAAGCTTGACGTTCCAAAGGATCTGCTATTTGTTCTACATTGAATCCATAGTAGGTCTAAAAATATAAATTCTTGAATTTCAAGTCAACATTTCAATCAAATATCGCACGAATCTTGATATAAACATACCGCAGGATGAAAAACATTTATAGCTTCCACCGCTGGTCTACCCGTTTGTCTAAATCCGAAAACCAGGTCGATCCAGTAGGGCAAAACTTCTCTAACGACATCAGCTTCTAATGCTGCTCTGTGAGCAAGAATAAAAAGTCGTGCATCACCTCCACACCATTTTGGTAATTCGACATCTCCTACCCGATTACCATTCTGTCGAATACCAAAGTTAAATCCTAAAAGAAACCTTGATGAACACCGATTGAACATTATTGTTGAGATTTGGGTATAATAAAGTATATTACCTTCGGAGTTCAATAAGAATTCAGGTAAATAGAAAAATTCAGGTATTAACTCTTTTACGTCGGTCGTTGAATCGCAACTAGTTAATCTCCATGTGGTAGCCAGCGCGTGAAATGTTCGATCAGGAATGTCAAAATTGTCGTCTTTAAAATAAAAGTTGATTTAATTAAAATAAAACCTTGATGAATTAATACATATACGTGTACATATATCTGAAAAATAGGATATGTCATTTACCTTGATAACATAAAAACATACTGGTGAATGGTGGTAATCGTACCAAAAAGTGAAGTACCGTTCCCGAATTACTATAATGTGATCCGTAATGGAATGGTTCTTGATTTAGAGCAATTAAGTTTAATCCTTCTGATAAAGCTTGCTTAAGATACTAAAACAAAGTTACGAGTAGCATATTAATATGACGTGTTCGATCAGAGAAACTATCTAAAGATAATTAAAATCCTTACATTATAATTATTTATATAATGTTGCTCATTTTTCTTATCCTGCACAGCCATAGGACGTTTGAAATTTCTAAAACAAAAAAAACAAAAATTGCATTATTGCTTTTTCATTCGTATTTTTTATTCTTCACGCGGTACTTACCTGTAAATTTTTGGATTATTTAGATCGATCTTTTCGTTTGTATAATCTGCTAGCACAAATGGGAACACAGGGTATTGCATTAGATCATTGTAGGAACGACCAGCTAATTTGTTTAAACAAGTTATATATTCCCAATTCGTTAAAGCTCCGCTTCTCCACAAAGTGATAGCTTCGTTTAGATCATCACCAGGTATTCGTCTTGGTAAATTGCAAGCAGACAATTCAGTTACAAATTCGTCTCTTTCCTGTGAATTAAATATTGTTATAAATTTGTACTTAATACTTGCACATTTTTTTTTTTTTTTTTCACATTAATGCATACCTTTGAGGAATTAAATGCAAGTAAATAAGTTCTTCCAGTAATGAGAAAAATTTCAATAGCCCGTTCTTGAAGTTGATATCTTCTTCTATGCAGCTCTCGAATATCCTCGAGATGCCAAGCTGTTCCACCTACCATAGCTAAATCCAAACCGCCTAAAGCTATCTGTAATTCGAACATAACCGATTAAATTACAATAATCGATTTTATAACGATAAAGAAAAAAAATTGACAAATTCATACATCCGTGTGTAGTGGCACATCAGGTTTATCAGGAACAAAGTAGAGACAAGTTTCACCGATGAGAACCTCGCCAGCTAATTCAGCTCTAGGCGTAACTACTTTGGCTTGAGACATTTTACGTATTCTTTCGCTAGTGTGTAGCCGCTCAATTAATGCTGAAGCGTTTGCGTCTTGTCGATCAGTCATAAACAAGTAAGATAAAGGTGCTTCATATTTCACGGCATCTAATTTATCTTGATATTCAGTCATGAAAAATCTTTTATCAATATTTAAGTGACATCGTTGAAGTCGTATTCTGACTCTAGCTGGACCTTCTGTTGGGTCCAGTTCCCAACTTCTTGGATAACTTTCTGGAAAGTGCCATGCGGCCCTCTCGTGGGTTAAACGACGAGCCAAATCTCTCCATTTAGCAATCGCTTGTGCTTCCAATGCTCTCGAATGTTTCAGTCTTTCCATTAATACTTTACGTTCTTGATTTTGTTCCTCTACAACTGTACGCGTTATAGTCATAGCACTTTCTGTTAGCTGTTTAGCAAGTACATCGAACCTATTGGCGATCCTGAGAGAAAAACATTTTATAGAATATAAATGTAAATTGACAAAGCACAAAATACATGAAATCCTCCTCTCTTTTGTTTACCTCTGAATTGCTGGAAGATTGTTATCAATCCATATGTCCCGATCTCTCATCAATTCTCGTCTTAACAGTGCTAGTTCTTCGTTCCATATACCAGGACTAGCTTGTTCTATTCCTTTTGCCAAATCCCATATGGACAGCGCTTCTTTCAATTCTGCGCATATTCTTGCATCAGCACTGGGTATTTCATCCCGTCTTTGCAAAAGATCCCAAAAGAACACGGTAAATTTTTGTTCTACCTAACGCATAAACACATTCATAGTTGTACAGCGAAAAAAATGAAAGATGAAAAAATACGTAATGATTAATGGGTTTACCTGTGGATGGACTTCTAAAAGAGAGGATAGAATTTCGCGAGCTTTCGGTTCTTCCATGAGTGACCTGACAGCAAAAATTCTGGTATTGTTACTTTGGTGGGGTCCAAGTAACCACACCATTATTTTAGCTGTGTATTTTCTTAAAGAATGTCTCGTAGACCATCCGCTGCTCCAATGATTTTTCTTCTCTAACGGATTACAGAAACCATGTAAGAGAATCGAGAACAATCTTTTGGTCAGCTGTAACTCGTTCCCGGATGGTGATTCATCAGCCGCGGTGATAAATTCAACGGCACGCATTAAAATAATACGGAATCGATCGAGTAATTCTCCTTTGCCTGGTTCACGCAAAATTGCGATGGAAGGTGCATGCAAACTAGTGTAACTGGACGACCGAGAGCCATGATCGCTTTGATCGCTGGATGTTGTGAAAACTGAAGTTATATGAGATGCTGAAGCGAGATACGATGCTGTGCTACGTAACCGGAAACCCGACTGATTCGAGACTTTTGTTGCGAGGACATCGAGTTCTCCGTCGAAGAGTGCAACTTGGGCGTCCCTCACGATCGACACACAAGTTCTATTCTTAGTGCAATGGGATTTTTCTTTCAGTTCCATATGATTTAATATTAAATGCAAGTCTAGAACAGCTTGCATTTGATGACTTCCTGGAGACTCTAAGAGTTTCGTGGCAATAGCAACGAGAAGGACATGGATGTCCCGGTAAAGAGACGTGGAACCACCTTTGTGAGCTCCTCCAACTAATGCTTGTACCAGTGATTCGATTAAGCCTTGTTCTAAAAGCATCCTTAGCGCACTGGGATTCTGTAATTACAGCCTTATTTATTATTTTTTATTTTTATTTTTATTTTTATTTTTTTTCGTTTAAAAGGCAATGTGTTACTGTACCTTTGCAATGATGTCAGTGATAAAAGACACTATCGGTCTGGCTACGTTTGGTTCGGTAGCTGCTGCTTTCGCTATCATCGCCATTAACGGAGGCATCGCGGCCAGTGTTGGTCCTCTTAAAGCTAAATTCTCTAAAGCAACCACTAATGGTTCACTTCCAGGATATAACGCTATTTGATTGGCTAAATGCATAAAGTACTTTTGTTTTATTAATCTGTTAACTTCTTCGTCACTGGCACGTTGTAAATATGTTTGGACGACCTGTAAAATGATTACATGTATGTATAATATATGGATTAGGATAAAATTTCAATATTTTATTGAACTTCTGGTACCTTGATCAATGCTGTTCGAACTCTAGTGTCGGGATTATTAGCCAATACAAGTAAGAGTTCAGCTCTTAGAACATGTTTCAGTACCGAGCCAACTTGGCTATCAGGTAAAACTCTAACTGCATCTCGAAGCAGCAACAAAAGTCCTTCACAAACTAGGCCTTGACAAGCTCTTCTTTCATCTGTCCATGTTGGTTGTCTTTCCTGCATATAATATCATTATCGGTAGCAGAGTATTGTTTAACAGATGAAATAAAAATTATTTCAAGCTTACATTACTGAGAGGATTAGACCCATCACTAGCCGCAATTCCAGAGTCTTCTCCGGCACTAGTATCTTGAGGAGGTCCATTTCGACGTTCCTTCCGTTTTGGTATTCTATTTTTTTGAATCTGTAAAAGTGATCACATACATATATTATAATCGTTACCGAACTTTTACATAACGCGAACGTAGAATTACTAACCTGTGCATTTGTTAAACCCTTGCTCAATTTGCTATTCTCTAGAGTTCCTATAGATTCATCAGATGAACTAGAAGTTACCGTGTTGCTGACTTTCACGACCTTTTTTTCACCGATTGGTGGCAACAAGAAGTATATATTATGTCTCGAATGAGTGATGTAAGTTTCTGATGCTTGATGAACAAGAACTAAGTAATCTGTAATGGCTACTAAATGAGCAAATTCAGGAGGAGCTCCCATTAGTGCTCTTATTAATTCAACCACGGCAGTTCCGGTTGTAGAATCGAGTACAGCGCCCAACTCTTCGTACATAAAATGCTCCTATGAAATATAAAAGAATCAGTGAAATTATCTTCATGTTAGCACATGTAATTATATACTAACAAAGTAAAATCCACTTACCTTGCACAGAGTTAAAATCGTGTCAACAATTCCTACTCTGTTCAATTGAGATGCATTAAATTCACGCTGTGAATGCTGATCTCTCAACAGCAATAACAATGCTTGCAATAGCAAATTTAACGTATCATGTTTCGCCCACGTTCTCCACGCAGTCAGTGCACCTTTGATCAATTCAGGATCCGTGATGACAGCTTCGCAATTTTGTGAGACCGAATGATTGCCGCTGCCGATATCTTTTATTAGGATCGAACTATCACAAGCTGCATCTAACATTGCTTTCAGAATATGTCTACCTGCGTGGCACCGTGGCGATTCTAAAATGCGTAGGATTAAAGATGTTCCACCTTCGGATCGATACTGATTTAAAAGTTCGGAATCATTATTTATTAAGTGGAGAACTATCGAAAGAGCTAATGCTTGTTCTTCCTCGGTCGAGTTTAATTCGACTACCTGTATAGGATCAATCCTTTTTAGTAGTTATCAGATGTTTAATATAATTTTGGATATAAAATTTATTTTATACATAGTCGTGCTTACTCTTGCGAACAGATATAAAAATATGGGTACACCACCCACTAGGATAGCAGCGGGTACAAGACCCCTGTACTGTTGGCATTCTAATCGAACGGACAATATCGGTGCCACAGACAAAGGTGGTTGTTGCGAAACTCTATGTTCCGGTGCAGAAACGACCCTAAAACCTGGTTGACCCGGAAATAGATTTCTTACCACAGCTATAAATAGGAAAATAAATGCTATAAATTACGAATGAATTGCTATACAAGGCAAAAGTTAAAGAACCTACCAGCAGGGTTCGCAATAGCTTGAGGATACAAATGAACGATATTGGGATTTTGTGCTTCGTAACTGAGCAACAGATTGTCTTGCAGTTCACCTAAATGAGAATTTGTAGCATCCATAACCGCGTCCCAATCAATTTTTGTATCAGATACTTTGGTCTCCACAGCGCGCCTTAAATACGTTCCTCCGTATGACTTTCGTCGACTCGTATCAAATTTGCCACCCTCTGTATTAGACGCAGACGTAATCAAGTGAATCTAAAATAAAAATAGCAAATGTACGGAGCTTAATGCTTACCAAATCTTATTTCTCGAACACCATCTAAAGCTCCAGACGCAATTAGCGGCGCGAAATCTGGCTTCTCCGTATTTAAAATACATTCAGCAAGATTAGTGTAATTAGGTCCAAGACTTGCCAGATACAGTGCTCTCTCCTTCGTAAATACTGGACACCTGTAAGTTTAATTGTCACCGATAGGCATACGTAACACGGTAATTAATTGCTAATTTAATGTTACGTGAAGGAAATGCACACCTGAATACCATTAAGTTTCCAAGATACCAAGCACCGATGTTGCTTGATCCGACTTGGCCTAATAGAACGCATGTAGTTCCAGGTTTTCTCACTAATAGACCATCGAATGGTAATTGTGCGTTGATTTCTCTCCAGCCATCTACCCAAAGGACAACCTCAACAACGGCGCTACGTTTGTTTAAAACTGTGTCTTTGAAATTCAGTGACAAATGATGCCATCGACCAGAGGGAAGCATACCAGTTACCGATGTTTCAGATATTGTTCGGTTCGTTTTATCATCTGGCCGGGTTAATCGTAAAATCAATTTATCTGAAACAGAAAAATACAATGTACAGATTTCTGTAATTAGCATTTTAAAAAATAAACGTATTTAGTTACCTGATTTAAGATCCAACCATGTTTCAAAAACCAGCGATTCAAATCCGATAGACATCAAGTGGACAATGGACGTTGGCGTAGGTGGAGATGTCGAACCTGCTACGACTGGTGTACCCAAGAAAAGATCAGACATCGATTGGTCTTTCCACGATAATTTGAAGAGCATGCGTTCGATAAAAAAATAACAAACTTATTGCTACACGTTGATATACGTACGTAAGAAACGTTCCAACGACTCGTTCAAGTTAAAACATTAATTGCGTATGGTTAAACGAATTTATAACATGTTATTTTACAGGAAACGTTGCTTTACCAACCTTCTCGGCTCCAGTTATCAGATAAGATGCCCCAGTCTGACAAACTTTCATTGTCTGAATCTGGCATTGGTGATGTGTTAATCAATATTCCTTTGCCATTAATAGGTAATCCTCTTTCAACTCTCAGCCACATTGAAACGGAGCAACCTTGCAACCAAACTGGCCAAGCCAGTTCAGGGCCGATTGGTAAGCACGTTGCATGCACGGACCATGGACTGCATATACCCGATGCGAAATGTCGCTTCCGAAAGTTGTTTACAAGATTCTCGGCCTTCTCTAAGTTTTTGTACTCTTGCGATTGAGCTTTTGAGAATATCTTTGCCTCAGCCATTACGGGGAATGACAGAATGAAATTGGGTTGAGGGCGTGCTACTAGGACAAGGTGGTAAAGTGGTTGCAATAGCGATAAAAGCGGAGGTGCGTCGACTTTGAACAGAGACAAGTATGTGACTAATTCTGATGGTGAGATGGATTGTGTCGCCAATAAAGTAAACACTTCTAAAATAGCGTGTTGCAGATCTGAAACATTTTATTACATAATGTTAAGAGGAAAATTCGATAAAAGTTAAATATGTAATTAACTTACCTTGATATTGAGTATCCCTGCTAGTGAATATATCTCTAAAACCGTTTAAAATTTTTGTGATCACGCCTGAGCCAGCTAGAGCGGCACAGCTTGAGGCGCTCTCTCTGCAAGTAACTGCAACTTTCCTCAAACCAGCGGTTATGATAGATGCCCTATCGGTATCCAAACCTCTGTGGAAAAATATTCCATGTTAACAGTTATTGCAACACCTTCTACACTATCCAAACACTTACTGTTCACTGAAATGAATTAACAGGTCTACTGCCAAGGAGCACAAGGCAGGATGTGCATTAGCATGACCTCTAGGTTCGAGCACAGGTCCTAATGAATTACTTCTTTTCACACTGCTATTGCGAGGACTTCGTCCCGGTATTTCTACATCGGCCTCATAACCATCATCAGCAGTCACGTATTCACCTGTGCTACTGTCATCCGCTGCACAATCCGGCATGGCGTCTAACGTCATAGTTGGTAACTGATATCAAGAAAGGGAACACTGTAAGTATTATAATTAAAGAAATCAATTTTTTGTGAAAGAAAACAGAAATGAAAGAAATTGTACCCTTGGTCGGGTATATTGCGGTACAGTTTCTTCTTGAGCTGGCTTTAGCATGGACACTTTCAATAAAGCTTCTATAATGATAGCCAATCCACGACCCAGTTTCACGCCTGCTTCCATCAATGCTCTGCCCAATTCCATGATTACGTCGCAGTCACCTGTATTAACGTTTTTATATATTACATCTACCAACAATGTAACAACAATAAAAACCCATCGACGTATCAGCAAGGAAATATTCTATGATTCTTGGAAATAGCTGCTCTACTAACAGCGTGGACAGTTCGAGATGTTTACCGATGACAAACATTCTGTGAACTGTTTTCACGTCGACTGAATTCGCGCAGCTTATTAGGATCTTAATCCGCAGCTGTGCGCGACGGAAGAAGTACGTGTAGGACAGAAACGTACTCGAAATGCTTATGATTCACGGCTCGTTATATAAAAGGCACTTACACAACGGGGATGTCAAGCAGCACGTGAGTAAAGCCTCGAAGAGTCTGTGCGCTGATTTATTGGAATCTAAAAAAAAAGAAAAAAAGAAAAAAAGAAAAGAGGGCAAAGGTGTACATATGTATAAATCCAGATATTCTTTCTACGCTATACGGTGCAGTTTGTTCTACGTACCTGCGATGGTGTCCGTGGAGATAAGTACGGCCAACGTTTTGAACAGTTGCAGAGACTTCTGGGACACGGAGTGGAAGGATAGTTTCGTGCGAAATTTTGGACTACAAAGAGCAACACCAGCGGCGGCTCTCCAAGCTGCGCTGGCTTGATAAAGATTTATTCTTTTGCCAGGATCCGCTTCGTTATCGGTATCTGGACAAGATGCAGTCACTTCAGAATTGTCGAATACTTCCGGAAAACAAGAAATCGTATCGATCGATCCTTCCAATTCGCTTTGATCTGCCGAAGCATCGTTCTCCACGATAGTTTCTTCGGTTGTTTTATCTTCCATACTTTGATCGCTCATCTCTGTGGTAGAAATTTGATCGGATGGCAGATCCCCCCGTTTTCCTTCGATAGAATCATCTGGTGTATCTTCCAAAGCACGTAACAACTCTGTGGTTTCCTTTTCAAGAGAATCGAACAGAGATTTAAGCGCAGACTTTTCTATGTTCCCGAGATTCGCCTCTATAGAACTCGTCTTCCAGATCTCGATAATGACAGTGACCTCCAGCAGGGCGTAAACGGTCCGAGTGAAGGCTGTGTCCGTTATCAAAGCCAAAACTTCTTCCAACCCGTTGATCTCCGTGAACCCTTCGCATATTTGAGTGTTTACGATCAAACAGGTGATGGCGGAGAGACAGGACTGAATGAGAAACTTGGCGGTAACGTTGCCGTTGTCGGCCGTGTAACAGCTCTTAGCTTTCAGGAAGGTCGGGTAGAGCACCTTCAAGAGCAACTCCTTTCTGATATGAAACTTAGAGGAGGGTGCTATTTTCAGCAAGTGTGCCATTATGATGTAGCATAGTTTTGGATCGTCTAGCGTCAACAGGTCTGCGTACAACTCTAAAAAATCCCAAGAAAATGACACAGGTCTGTCGCAGGTAGAACATGTATCGGATTCCGAGTATGCAGCGAGCTCCTTGTAGAACGTACGCTCGAGAAACGCGACGGCTGGAGCGTACGTTGCTGGATCGTGTCTCTCCAACAAGAACGATACAATGCTGGTCATGAGTGTTCTCGGTGGAAAACAGCAACAAGTGCCGGCTGCTGTCGAAACTTTGATCAATCGAATCTGTAGCTCGGTAGCGAAAGGATGAGACTGCTTCAGCAGATTAGCGAGTGTCATAAACAAAGAGGAAATGCAACAAGCCTGTTTCGTAACAGTGCCGACCATCGGCTGGGTGTAAGCTGCCCCAAATACATCCGAATGATGATGAATCTGTATTTTATTGACACAGGATTTGTGCTTTGCTCGGTTGCAGTTTGTCGTATGAGAAATATCGCGTCGAACGGATTTCAAACCGCTCGTCAGTGCACCTATCATATCAATGACCTTTCTGGCGCGGATTACCGACCTCGCTGGATCAACGCTCGGTAGGTCAACAATCGCGAATACGGTTCGCTCGACCAGCTTTCCATCTTGGCTTTCGGTAAACAATTGAAACAATTCCAAGAAATCGGACAGCTTCTCGAGCGTGGTGCCCTGTCGATGTAGCAAACAATAGAGGAAAGTGACGATTCCGTAGATTGTGGCGAAGATGAACTCTTGAAGAAGCGAGCCTTCTTCCGGTGAGAAGACGTTCATGGGTTTGCTGCAAGCATCTTCGAGCAATCTCAGAGTCATGGGCAGTAATCCATTGTGAATGACGGCGGTGGTAGGCTCGTTGGCCCTTAACACTCGTTCCAACGCGGTGAGCATCAGCCTGGCAGCCGCTGCTTTCAAGGTGGCACATTCGGTACCGGTTAAACCGGTGCAGTCGATACCGAACTGAAGGGACCAAAGGGTGTCAAGTGCGAATTTTAGAACTTGCACAGCGGGTGTTTGCTTGGCCGGAGTATCGTAGTCTCGTAGTCCCTGAAGCAGTTGGATGATCAACAAGCTGGCCTCAAAGTTGCTGATCCTAGCGTCCAGAACTTGCTTGATCCTCTCATCCACGTAATCATTCGAGGTTTTCTTGGCTGGCCGCGCGGGCAACTCGTAGAGGGCCGCTTGCCATTTTTGTTCCTCGTCGCTTCTGACGACGGACGTGAAGTACTCAAAGTCCATAGGATTCAGACGGATCTTCAGCGTGAGGGATCGTGCCTGATCGATACCGTCTGTCAGCAATTCGGACTCGCTGCTCGCGCTTTCCGGCGTGTTGCGACGCGCTTCGAACCCGCCAAACGATCTTTGTCTATGCTGGACCGGCACCTTGGCACCGATACTTTGTCCACGAGCTGTTCTTCTTCGCGACGGTACATTGCCCTCGTGGAGAACACCGTTCCGACCAGACTTTGTCGACCTTCGCCTCGCGTGCGGCACGATATCTACCGTGTCGACGGTATCGTCGTTGCAGTAGAATTTTACATAAGGATTCCGCTCTTCGGCAACGCTCGACGAATTGGTGGAAGCCGGCTTGTTAGCGTCCTCTTGAACAGCTACCGGATACAGGGCGACCAAAAGAGCTACCAGCTCTCGTGCGCAAGAAAGACCTCGTACGCCGAGAAATTGTAAAACCGCCAGGCAACGCCAACCACGATCTTCGCACAGATACCTCTTCAAACCGATCAGTTCGTCACCGTTGATCCTCTTCGAGCACAATTTGTGAACGTCCGAAAGTAACTCGCAAGCTACAAGAGTAGACACACCTCCTCCACCGGTTGAACTGTAATGAATATTTCCATATTGCGTCTTACTTTTATAGCCTTATCTTATCCATCAAACGAGGTCCCGTTATCATTTTATTATCAGTCTGCCCGATAGTTGACCATTGTGTTTGAACGTTCACGTTTGCATGGAATATTATTTTCAGTGGGTAACGCGGTATCTTCGTTGGAAGGTTTTAGGTAGGAAACTTTCGTGAAGAAAATTTTTAATCTTTGTGCCGGATAGTGATACCAACGCGTCCATCGGAGACTTGGAGATATTTTCTGGTATGTTTCCTTTGATTTCCTTCTTTTTCGCATTTAAGTATCAAGGGGAGAATCGAGTGGCAAACCAAAAGGCGAGAACGGAATGGTGAAAGGTAAAAATGAATTAGGAAAATCGAACGTGATAGCGTCGAAACCACAGCTACGAGATCGTATTTTCATTTCATACTGCGGTCAACGATCGCTTCTCCGTCGTGACAACAAAGACTAAAATATCTTGGAAGCTTTTGCTTTTTTCACACGTCGCGTCGATCGTCTTAATTTAATAGAAGCAGCCATAAATTACTAAACATATTATGGATTAATTTCTTTTTTTTTTTTAATCTGATTCTCCAGTTTGCTATCTAAATTGATTAGTGTAAAAACTTACCAAAACGATATGGCATCTTTCACGTCTCGGCCTTCTTTCACTTGGGCAAGCAGTTCGGCAAGAAACACGTCCAACCACGATGATTCCTATATATAAAAGAAAATAGAAGAGAAAACATAACTGTTTTGTCTAAAAGTTTTACATTCTTTATCTGCTGGCAAATTGGATCAGAATAAATGAAGAGAGAAAAAGATGAAGGATAATCGGTAGGCGTAATTCGGGGTTTCGTCAGCGTTCACGAAATAATAAATTAATATAGCCCACGTAAATACGAATAATGTAACTGTGTGTTCTTTTTTTAGCAGTGCCATGCTTGTTTCGGACTTGATAGTGTAACAAGAAAAACAACTCGTTACGACAGAGATTACGGACAAGACGAGGAAATAGTTGATACAGAGTTCCGAACTGGATAAAAAAGAACAAAGATATTGTTTTCTTTCGTTTTCTTTCGTTTTCTTTCGAACTGCAACCCGATTATTGCACGTGTCGTAGTGTAAACGATAAAATAATCGACGCGATACAAGGCATTAACCAACAGCCGAAAAAACACACAGAGGCCAAAAGTTCGCGAGTACCATCTCGCCTTTGGTGAATTATAATTTTATAATAATTAAGATTTAACCCTTTTCTCGCGGAAGACGAAAAAGAAAATTGTTATTTACCGACCGGCAATCGTATCGTGTTCGTTCAACGCGTAAATACCTACCATGATTCACACGGAAAACAACCGCAAACAGAACGTTTCAAGCATTGATTGTACAGTAGTTTGTGTCAACTTTGACAAGAATACAATATCAACCGTACAAACTGATAACAAAAACAAAAATATATATATATATATATATGTATATATGTATATGGTTCAAAGCGTTGCAATCGAATGACATAATCACCCATGTGGAAAGATATTCTATCAGTTAATAATTTCTTCTTTTTCTTTTTTTATTAATCTTCATAAAAAGTAAACGATTGCCAGCTTACGGATGCTCGAAAATGTTCCTTACGTTGAACGAATTTAGTCTGCGATTATTTTAACGCGAACATGCGATGAAATCAATACCATTTACGTTGCACGGTACCTACAACAGGATCTCGTATTATTTCGATCCTCGTGGCAAAGTATCGACAAACATGTTACGCCTGACTTGTAAGTCATCCCGACGAGTAAAGTTGTGTTCGATTCGTGAGAGAACCATTCGACGACGATTATTACGAAATCCTACATTGCTAGACACGGTAAAAGACACGTTATTCGTTAATTACCTTGGATTTCCATACTCGTATAGTTTACACAAATTGCATCGCACAATCGGATTTGTACAGGTAGATAGTTTAGTTTGAATAAAATTTGATTGAGATTGACGCAAACCTCGATACTTAATGGTGCAACCAAATCTAGCTAATGTTGATAACTTAATCGAATTATCGACTTTTTGCTTCTTCATAATTTCAGCCTATTTTGGTAACTTGTAGAACAATAAAGCTTACAGATACTGTCGACTAAGCGCAATATATTCTGAACCTTACCCGAGCAAAATTAATCAACAAAGTGGAAAATTCTGTAAATTAAGCTGAATACGTAAACAAGATTATCAATTCAGTGTATTCGGCAAATTTTGTATACGTAAATCAATTTTGTGTAAATGGCACGAGCGTGTAAAGCCAGGTTTAAACTCCAACGCGAAAGGAAGAACGTTAAGGTAAAATGAACGTGTGTGGAAGTTGCAGCAGCTAATAGAAATCTTCTGCATTCTTCGATATCAAGTCAAATGAAAGATTTAGCACAATATAAAGTAGAAAGTATCGTAAAAGATGAGGATGCGGTTCGCGTGATTCTGTAAATTCCAAGGTCCACAAGAGAGATCGTTGTACCTCGTAACTCTGCGGCTCGGCACGAATGTAACGATCCCATAAAATCTGCAGCTTGCTCGTCGAAGCCGAAGACATTCCTAAACGGTCCTCGTACTCCTTCTCGTCGTCTTCCTCCCTGTCCTCGGTTCTTAGTCGCGTGTCCTCCTCATAGCTCGGCAACTCGTCGAAACTGAACCACGGATAGAGACTGGTGTCCTCGGTTAGACTTCGAGGATCACCGCCAGGGCACGTAGCTACTCGATCACCTGAAAGATCGATCTGCTAATATGTATCGTCCAGTGAACGGAGGACACCTTTGTGATGCACGGCATTCGATGGTAAATGAAACGTATCGTGTCGCGTTGCGATCTTCGCTACACAGAAGAACAATAAATAATCCAAGGAGAGTCGCGTCACGTCGGCTCCTCCTCGCGTACCAATCGCGGCCGTGTGTACCACACCGTGTGTCTCTCGGTACGCGTTTATGTGTCGATCGACTACAGCTTACATAACATCCCCACAAGTCCACGACAGACCAGTCGTTCCAGCGTTCCACCGCGAGAAGCCTGAAAGCTTCTCTGGAGCGACGAAGAGGCCAGAAAGGTAGAGCAGTAACCCCGTATTCATAGAGCAAGAGCAGCGGCGAACGTGGCCAGCACCGGCAGCATCGCGGCCACCAACACCACTGGGACACACTAGCGGTGACACAGTTGGTTAGCTGCTTGCTAACACGCCACAACAATGCAAGAGTAACCCGGGTCTACACCAGCATCGGGGCTAACCGCTTATCAGTAGATTTTACTCTCTCTCATGCCATACGATTCGTGCTGTCTGTCTCCTCCTTATCGCTTCTTCTCGAGCTTGCGACGCGATTCGTTCGTTCTTATACCTCTTATACCAAAAATCCCTCAATACCGATACTCTCTATTTTTATTTTGCTTCGCAACTTTCTTCTTTGCTCGTGATAATCCGTGCGTCAATGTACCGGAACTGACATCCCTGGTCATGGGTATCGTCTCACCGTATCTCCCAAAGAAACGACCAGGAAGAACGTTTGATACACGTTGAGACCACCACCGAGTTCACCACCATCGAGGATCGCGACCTCTTTGACTGACTGATCGATCGATCGGTTCCGCTCGGTTAACGATGATTTACGAGCTTCCTTCTATTCTGACTTTTTACTATGATCTGAAAGAGGCGGTGGTCATTGATCCTGCAACCCTCGCAACTTTGTATCCGAATCGACGATACTGTGGCAGAGAATATTCACATAAAATTACTTCACAAGGTTCTCCGATGCTTTCTAACTGCAACAGTATGGCTCGTGAAAGATATCGATGAGAATAAGGTCACGATTAGAGATGTTAAATCGCCGGCAGAGACGGACGCGTTGACAAGCACAAGTAGCGTAAAAGGCTATTTCGCCGGCTGATTTAGCCGAGTCTTCGCATCGAGATCCACGTACTTACTAACTGTCTACGACACGATATAACGGAAGGGGGCAAGCTAACGAGACGAGCCTCCCGTGGGTCAAACGAGGCCTCCAATCGGCTTCTTTCTTCGATGAAAACTTATGATTCACCCATTGCCAATGTCTTCCTCCCCTGTGTCTCGATGGGAAAGCAAAAATAAAAGAAAAGAGAAGGGTAAATGTAAGTACCTTTCTCGACTGTTCGATTCGATGAACCAACCCCTTGTTCGAACAGGTATACGACCATTAGTCAGTCACGTAGTAGCAAAACGATGAACCGGCTGACTGTCACGTACTATATTATCTTCCTAAGAAACGTAAGAAATGTAAATAAAACAGTCTGAATATTGTATAATACAGTACGATTTCGCGGGATTTCATAACAGACGAGAAACGATGTAACATTACGAAATTTTACGCTGCTATCTTTGTTGAAATTATATTATGCACCGTGTGCGTACGTGCATGCGTGCATACGAGTACATACACGTTAAGTACGATGAAATCTGTATGTGCACAATGATCGAACGAACCAGTAATATTATAATTATCGGTTTCAAATGATGTTTCCTCCCCCACCTAACAGCGGCAGCAGCAAGCAGCTAGCTCCCTTAGCAAACAATGATAACCGCGAACACGTGCAAACAATTGAAAACAGTTTCAGTAGGCAGCAGCCGTGCAGCCGTAATTGTCGATCAATCTTTGACTCGTATTGTGCTGCGTGATTATCTTAATAGAGCTCTACCCCACCGTTCTTTAATTAGCCTCGGCTCGGCAGTGCGATAATGATGTTCCAGCCGCGTCTTCTTCTTCTTCTTCTTCGCGAAAAACCAATCGATATTTGTCCCGCGTGTGTCGAGTGAAAGAAAGAAGTAGACTGTAACGTGATATTCAACGAGCATAGATAAGGATTGCGTTAAAAAAAGTGTCCGTGTTGCATTTTTCTCGAGTGAGCGACTACTTTTGGAGGTGAACCGGTTTGTGCAGCCCGCAAATCTAAAAAAAAAAAAAAAAAAAATATATAGATTCGCTAAAATTAGCCTTGATTGTTGATGGTAATGTATGTACATATAATGACGTTCATTCGAACGTTCACGTGTGTTTCTTGGTAAACTCTTCACCGTTAAGATTCATGTCTTACCAATACGTATCAAGCTACCACCTTATCTTGGCCTTGACTTTTATTGTTTATCTTGATTGAAGAACGGTTCTAGAAAGTACATATTTTCATATAGTATCCTTGATCATGCTTTTCCTTTAATTAATTAATTCCAAAGTAGAATTCATTCGCGAATTCACCAATATTTCGCTTATCGTTCTTGAACATTTTCAATAACTTAACTGATTTTATGTAATTCAAACGAAAGCGTTGTATGACAAACAACAAACAGTAAACTTAGATAATAGTTGACCTTCGATGTTCCTTGTACAATGTCGACGATTTAAAATACTTTAACTTTTTCTTTTAATAATTTTTTTCTACTTAAAACGATACGTATTTTCAATACGTACCATGTTCCCGCCATTTTTCTCGCATTTGCGATCTCATGCGCAACGAGGTATCATGGCAAATGTCAAAAACGAGACCGTAATGTTTTTTAAAAAAGTACAAACAATTCTATAAATCACTTGTACGAAATATCCATTACCTGAGGTATGTCGTCCGAATGAAAATGGATGCAAGAACTGTTAACAATTCGTCACAATTTTTGGTTATAACAATAACAACATTGACACCATTATGCTTTTCTTTATACATATACGAAGCACGTACGATAACCGCTATTGGACACTGGAAGCGAACACTGTTATTCTAGTCTTCCAAACGATTTTTGCGCCATTTTCAAAAAATTATCAGGAACACATATTTTCTTTTTTAACAAAAATATGTAACACAAAACGTGTGTGTCAAGCTACGAAAATATTTCACCGTGTTGGTTAACTTTGTAACTAAACAAGCTAGTCAATTGATCGATTCACGTCACCTTAAAGACATTTCTCTTGAAAAAATATTAATTTATACTAAAATAATAACTTTTCTCGAAAGAAAATATTTTCTGGAAGTTAATAAATAATCCGAAATTTTATAATGGTTTTTTAATTAACATCCACTACCTTAAATGGTGCTGCCACCTGCCCTTACCCGCGACATTTTCAAGAATCATTAGATTGAAATTTTACATTAGTATGATCACTGACGTTCCATGTAACGTTCATAACCTCGATACAATTTGTTGTTCCTTTGATTCTCCATGCAGGTCTAAACATATTTCTTTAACATACAATTATATCAATACAAAATGACTGTGTGGGAGAGACTGCGGAATCCCTGTGGTTGGAGGGCCGGTGCTAAACAAATTTCAGTCGATGCGATGATACCGATTTTTGCGGTCCCAACATTGGCGGTGATTGCCGCACAGACGGTGTTATGTACTATAATTATATTTGTTGCAACACCGATATTGGTGTATTATTTGCATCACAATTTTCTGAGGTTCTTACTACGTACTAAATTCTTTTTAATGTGGACAATCACAAGTGTCATCATGTTGATGCTTATCTTTGAAATGAGTGTTGTACCATTGTTAGAGATCTTACCAGAGGAAAATTTGGTGTTTATTGTCTGCGTGGTGGGCGGTATATGGTGTGGCTATATGACTAGACTAAATGCGGATTCTGCTACTCAGGAAAGTACTTTATCCCATGGCTTAGAGCTTGGAGAAGGAAGCGGAGAGCTTTGCATTACGTGTAGGAGAAGAGCACCTCCTAAAGCTCATCATTGTAGAATGTGTCAAACTTGTATTCTTAATAGGGAATATCATTGCAAATGGTATAGTTCAGTTTGCGGAACATTTAATTTTTATCTTATCCGTTAGCAGGGTACATTGTGGATATATTTTGTATTTTAGGTTGGATTGTTGTATAGGTTCCAGCAACTTGAGATGGTATCTGGGATGTTTATTCTTCTCAGCTGTAGCTTTCATCTATGGTTCCAACTTAACTATGACTAGCGTTTGCCATCCTTTTATACTTATCGGCACTATTCTTTTACCAGATGATTGCAGCGATGTGTATCATCAACTGGAGTATGTATCTTTTAATAGATATTTTGTGTTAAGTGTCATTAATTAATAACGAATACGCTTGAATGATATCGCAAGTATAATATTATACTTGGGGGAAATACAACACTTTCCATTATTAAGACTGAAAACTAAACTGGAAAGATACAGAGGATCTACAATACAAACTTTAATAATCGCAAGATACTGATAATTGTTGAGACTCGTGTTAACGTCATAAATATTGTAATATCTCTTATTTGCTTTCTGACAATATAAAAGTTGAATAGATAACATGTCGCGCAACTGTTTGCTTTGGGTAGTCGATCAATGTATAATAATGTACATATTGTTCCAGCATTGCCCTTTGCTTCATCTCTGCTCTCTACAGCTTGCTTGTTGGGCTAGTGGTAGTTTGTTATTTAATATATCATCTTTGGTTAATTTACCTTGGTACAACATCGAACGAACGACGCCTTCTCGAAGCTGGAAGCCAATATGACCATGGGATGTTGAAAAATGTATCCCGATTATTTTGCTGCAAAACTTAGATATTAATGTAGACTAGATTATTGAATTTACTTTGTATGGAAGATGATACTTTGCTCTGTACAAAGGATGTTAGAAAAAATCCGTCATAGCGGTACGTGAAACAGAACGCACATGTTAATATTAGTTCAACCGCACCTACTACTGCTACTAATAGAATTTTAATGCTCATTTTTATCTATTCATTTTTAATTTTTTTGCAACAGTCAGGTACTTAATACTCTTAAGATATCGATGATATTAAGCTTAATAAAAACATATCATGATATGAACGCGCTGACTTTCGTTAAAGTCTTAATTATTTATATTTCACTATTGTGCACATCTTTTGTATATTTATTGTAACTGTGATAAAGTGGCCATTGTACAACTAACATAATAAATTGTATCGATCAAATACATTATATAGTATATCTAAGATTTAAACATAAATTAATTAAGCATGATAAATGTTAAAATTTTTTTTTTAATACAAAACAATGCGATAATAATAACATTCTTTGTATTCTATTTTCAGTATCACGAATTAACTTTAATCTTCTAATGCTACACCCCTCTGTTTAGGATCAAAGTCAGGAATCACTTTCTGTACTAATTGTCGTAATTCCTCTTTTCTTTTCTCGCTTTCTCTAATATCCGCCGCGATCGTGATATATTTCTTCCAAACGATGAAGTATCTTGCTTTCAATTGATTTTCATTATGTCTATAAGCTATCTCGTTTTTCTCCTCCTCTTCCGTTTTAAGTTCAAGAATCCTTACTTGCCATAATTTAAAGTACTTCTCTGAAAGTTTCATGTCATGGAAGTCTGTTGCAACCTGATGCTTCAGGTTTGTTTCTTTGACCACGTCCTTCCATTCTTCGAACATCCTTGCGATTAGATTTTTATTATAAACCGTTTCAGCGATTTCAATCTTAATCGTATATTGAGTTTCAGTTTCTCTTTTCCAAGCTGTAAATATCTTCCTTATCAATCGTTCTCGATAATGATCCTCAGCTTTTTTCATATTTTTCCTTTTTAATTCTACGAGTTCCATCAACGGTTCTATCGCAAAGCGTCTCGACAAACACTTTCTGTAAAACTCATCTGCTATGTCGTTTAATTTCTGAAATCTTTCGATTTCACGTAGCCGATGTTCTTCGCGCTCTTTCCTTAATCTTCTCTCCTCGGCTAATGCCTGTTAACAAAAGCAAGGAAAAAATGCATGGTGTCATCTTTTTAAAGAGGTATCGTCTCGTAATCGTGTAAAAAATATATACAATTAAAACGATAACGAAACTTTACGAGGTGAAATTAATGCTTTATGACACTTGGTACGACATTAATACACTTTGACCTCACGTATTATCTGACCTCTCGTTGCAATCTTCTCTTCGTCTGTTCCTCCTTCATTCTGGTAGCTTCTTCCTTTCTTCTCTGCTCCTCCACTCTCTTCCTGCGCTCTTCTTCCGCCAGTTTAACTCTTTTCCGTCTGTCCTCTGCTCGAGCTTCCATTCTTAACAGAAATTTTGGCGGAACCGGTGGTGGTCGAGGTGCCGTTAAACTTTCATCTCTATGTTTTTCAAATTCATCTAATTAATTAACCAAAGGAATTGTAGATGGTTTTTGAGGTTTAATTATTTTACCTGTAGCCCGATTGGTGCATCAAATGAATCAAAGTTCTTCTTGTCCTTTGACCCAGGTGCGTGAGAGTTTCTTTCGCCATGTCCACTGTCTCCTTGCTCGCTCTAGCTATCTCCTCTTGCATCTGTTTCAATTTCAACTCCTCGATAATCCTGTTCTGTTCGTTTAATTTAGCCCTCTGCTTCTCTATGATCCGTTTCTGTGCATTCAATCGGTTTTGCGCTGGTGACTCCACGATACCGTGTTTAGGGTGCATGTTTTTCTTCTTCCAACGTACACCGTTCGTTTCTTTTATAGCCACTTTACCATCTCTGCTCTTTGGTATACGATTCTTCATCAATTCTCTTTGACGTTCTGTAATAGCGTTTATGAACAATTCTATCCTTCGTTCTTCGAGGATCTCTTTTGGCTGCGGGTTTCTCAGTTCGATGCTTTTCCTACACTTCGTACGTGTTCTCCATATATCAAAATACTTTCTTGTTAATTTTGAGATCATATTTTGTTGGATCTTTGTTTTGACATCGCGGATACGTTGTTCTTCCGCAGCACTTTCTTTCAGCGCATTGAAATACTTTCTTAAAATATGTAAACGCTGTGCTTGCGACTCGAAATTAGGTTTATCTTTGATGGTTACTTTTATGCTTCCAATACACGGTACTTCACATTCCGTTTTCTTTTGATTTCTGTCTTCTACGATTTGTGTTATCGTACTCTTCTTTCGAATGCTGTCTGTACATCTTTTGTTCTTCTCTGATTTTTCGACACTACTTGTCTACAAAACGGTTTTTAATGGAGATCCAGTGTGAATGAATTGCAAAGAATTAATTCGTACAAACCTTGCTTCTTATTTTTCTAAACGCTCCCCAAAAATTTTCATCATCCGATGGCGCCAAGTTTCTCTTCTTGCACGAGTATGGTTTCGAAAACTTCGGCCGAGATCTGCACAATTCGGTTTCAAATTTTTTTAATTCTCTGTCGAAAAATCGTTGTTGTTTTTTTATATGTAATTCTCTCGCTTCCTCCTCCGTGAACAGCCTGTAAAGCAATAATATTATTAACTTAATATTCGGAGCATTACTTTCGAATTTCGTGCCCCTACTTCTTGGCTTCCGCTAAAATGGAACGTTCAGCGGGTGGAACGTAAAAGTTCTCTCTGAGTGTTCGATGTCTCTCATCCATTATCACATTTGGATCAAGGAATGTCCTTTTATCGTCTTTCAACAGTTGAAGCTTCTCTAGTGGATGGAAAATGTCTACTTTCATCAACTGGTCCATTAGATCAGCTGTTGCTTCGCTCAAGTGCACCATGACGACTACAGATGTAATAATTAAGTACTGGTTATTATTTTCTTTGTAGAGAAAATATATAAATGTATATTGCGCTGTTGTTGCCGACTTGTTGTGTCGTTGTTAAGGGAAGTTATGAAAGTTATCCCTCTATGCACGCACGTGAACGTTCCAACCCCATTCATAAGACAGGGGGTGGAAGTAACTGATGTCGAGCGAAGACATTATCGACTTTGCTATGTACATTACGATAAAAAAAAATGCATCTTTATGTACATTAAAGAAAATAAAAGGAGGAGGAGGTTTATGTACTTATTATTCATTGCAATATGTAGCTTGAATGATGACAATATAGTATATACAAGCGCATCAATTGATTAGAAATTATTAATATTAAAAGCCTAATTTATTGTAATATTCCTGTATTATCAATCTTATTCGACAATTCGAAATCTTCCCGCCATTTCAGTGGTTCTCAATCTGCATCATGAAGCTGATAACGTCAATTGTTGACGGGCCAGTGTGCTGCAGCAGGTGCATCACAAAGCAAAAAGTGCATCGACTTCGAAAACTTATGAATTGAAGATGGTAAGTATCTTTTTCTAGAGGATAGACGATCAAAACAGTATCCTACTCACTGGTGATCTATCTTTATTGTTATCCTATCTTTTGAGCGATCTTCGAATCGTACGAATGTAATCATTACGATTAAAGGAATCAAATTTCTGTACTTTTATTTATCCTTTGACAATAGAGTTAACTGTAGTTTCAAAGCATGACTTCAGCAAGTTGCAGATGTGATATCCCTGGTTCACGACGAGAAATAAAATGGATCCAAGGGGCCCTCCTGAGGGGGCCCCTGTCAGCTCTTTTGAGATTCCTAATATTGACAAAGTAACTGACACTTCAGTAAATTGGCCTATCGATCATTCGCTTCCTTCATCAATGTGTGAACAGCCAAAAAAGATGAATCATAACAAGTTATTGTTTTTAACTGTAAGTAAATTGATAAGGCTATAGCTTAACAGATTTTTTTACAGGCAACAACATTTGAGATTGTTTTGTTATTAGGTGGAGTATGTGGAAGATCACTCTAGAGAATATTCTCGCTTGTTTCCAACATACGAACAAGTTTCCTTTTCTCCTAGACCTTCTTCTCCTCTTTCTGATTTTGAACATCGCGTTAGTCCCCTTGACCCAAATATGAGTTCAGCTGCTAGGTACTCACCTACCCCGGTCCAACTTCCACCATCTCCTTTTCATAATTCTGTTGTTGTTCTGCAAGGTTCTTCTCCTTTAATATCTCCATCCGAATCAAATGAGAGAACAAATGTTCACTATGTTTCTCAGTTGACACATCCAATTGATACTCAAAGTGTACAACAGACAGATAATTCTGCTGATTTTGTTGCCAATGAAAATGAAGAACAACTAGTTCCTAGTGTTGGTGGTGAATTGATTTTGATGCAAGGTAACTCTGATCAAAAGTTATTATTTAATTAAGATAAGTGAAATTTTAACATGACATTATAATTATGAAACATATATTTACAGAATCTAATTCTGCATTAGAATCAGCAACAGCTCCATTGATGCTAACAGGAATGCCAAGTACAGATTTTACATTGAGTAGAGATTTTCTTGTTATGCAGGATGATCAAATAAATGTGATAAATTCATTTAAAACACAAAATCTTGATGTGGATGATCCAACAGTTTCGTCATCTGCAGAAAATTCAAAGAAAAAGAGTAATACAGATCCTTTAGCTACATCTAATAAACAAGTTAATGAAATTGTGGCATCTACTATAGAAAAGAAAGATTATGAAAAACAGAATGTTAGACGTTCTAAGCGGCGTATAAATGATAAAAAGAATTTTTGTATGTAACTTTATTACTTGACCATTTTCTGAATGGAATATTAAATTAATATCATTATAGGTTGTGATGAATGCGATGATGTATGTACCGGAGATAACTGCACTTCGCATAATGTATGTACAATAGCAGATCAGCCTGTACCATCACGTGCTATAGCAACACTGCCAGGATCGTATCTTTCGATAAATAAATTACCCAGTAGTGAAATTATATCGAGTGGATCGGATTACGGAGTATTTGCGAAACGTTGTATACAAAAACGTACTCAGTTTGGTCCTATAGAAGGTATCTTATACCCTTATGATGGTACACCATTTAAAAATGAATTACCATTGCTTTATGAAACTGAAGATAAAGGATTCCTTAAAATTGATGTTTCAAATGAAAGTAGGTGTTGTTCATATTCTGAAGGACTCTGTACTCGGTATGTTCCAAATATTCATCTTTAAAGTATCTTACTAACGTTACAGATGCTTCAAATTGGATGCGTTTTGTTAGACCCGCGTTTACGTATAAAGAACAAAATTTAGTCATTTGCCAACAACGTGACGGAATAGTATTTTTGACTACAAGAAGTATTTTACCAAAAGAAGAATTAAGGGCTGGTCCCAGTACTGATTACGCAATTCGTAGAAACTTAATACCACTTAAGCCTGTACAGGAAACAAAAGATGATAAAGGTATACAAGGTATAAACATAATGGTTAAAATCGTGATTATATTTATGTGATTTTCAATTACAGAGCATAAAAATCAATTATCCGGATGGTCACGATTGGACGATAATAATTCCCGTCGCGTGAAAGCATTTCGTGGCAGAAACTTGAAAGAAAAAGAAAATTCAAGGCAAAATAATTCCAAGGAATGGAAATGTTCAGTTTGTGGTTTAATTTTTAGAAAACCGCTTTTGCTTAATTTACATACTCTCGCTCATGGCACTGATAAATTAAAAACTAAGATTCAGTCTACTGTTTGTCCACAATGTGGTTTACAGTTTCAGAAACAAAAAGAATTGATTAATCATATTTCACAACACGGAAGGTTATCTTTAACAAAAACGAAAAGATTGACTACTTTATCTACATATAAGTGTTCAATGTGTTATAAACGTTTTGCAACAAAAGTACGATTGCAACAGCACTACTTGGTGCATGGTGCTGAAGACCAAAAACCACTGCCATGTAATATATGCTTTAAAAGATTCATGAATAATTCAGCACTATCTTGCCATTTAAAAACGCATAGAGGTAAATTACATTTATGCGAACTAATACTTACTTCATGTGTTTATCTTTTCCTTTTTTCTTTTTTTTTAGAGAATAAACAGCTGTTTGAATGCCCCATGTGTCGACAATTATTTAGTCAGAGTGTAACGTTAAAGGAACACATTGAAACTCATAAAAAGGAAGATGGTACTTTTAGCTGTCCTTACTGCCAAAGAATATTTATTAAATATTCGGTTATTCGTAAACATATTAGAGCTCACCATTGTGAAAGAAAACACAAATGTCAGATTTGTGCAAAACGATTTGCTACAGTTGACAAATTACAAATGCATCTACTAAAACATTCCGATCATCGGTACGAAAATTTACACTACGTAAGTTTGTATCATACAATATACTATAAGATACTTTTTTCCTTACAGAGAATTTCATTGTGCAAATTGTGGTAAGCAATTCAAAAGAAAAGATAAATTAAAAGAACATATGACTAAATTGCATAATTCACAAACTGCTACTGAGGAACAAATGTCACAAGTTACGCAAACTAAAAAATTTGTTCCAAAGGTATTTTTTTTATTAGTGCTATATGTATAAATTAATAAACTAAATTAATAATAAATAATGTATTATCTGTTACTAGGTAAATCCTAATGATTACAATCGTTTCATTTATAAGTGTCATCAATGTTTAGTGGGTTTCAAACGAAGGGGGATGCTTGTAAACCATTTAGCGAAACGTCATCCTGATGTTGCACCTGAATCAATACCAGAATTAAACCTACCGATTTTACGTCAGACGAGAGATTATTATTGTCAATATTGCGACAAAGTTTATAAAAGTAGCAGTAAACGTAAAGCACATATCATGAAAAATCATCCAGGTGCTGCTTTACCGCCAAGCAATAGACAGAAAGAGTCTGATTATTCCGACTTACCTAATCCAACATTTAGTCAAACTGTTGGTAGTATTACAACTACACCTCAGGGTTGTCAATGGTGTCATAAACAATATGCTAGTAAGGTGAGTGAATAAACCGCATAGTTTATAGAGCGTGTAATCAATTCAGTTATTTTCACAGGCGAAACTTTTACAACACCAACGAAAGAAACATTCGAATTTAATGGAACCAGCTGATCAAGTACCGCGTTCACGTAATCGACAACCACAAAATCAAAATCAACCCCCTGTACTTATCGAAGATCATTTTGTGTTATCCGATTACATTCAAGCATGTGATACAAATTCAGAGTTTTTTAAACCAAGGATAATCAAAATATCTGATGATGTTGATCTAATAAGTAATGGATTGGAAATTGTTGGACAACAGTTTGTTCGTATGCGTGACATACGTTGAAAAGGATTGAGGCAACCTCGATGCGAGGTTTTGTCAATTTACTGAGATATGAATCTCATGAATTTGTGCACAGTAAAGAAACACTGTGCTTTTTGCTGCTGTTGCCAAATGAGGGCATTGCTGCCCGTCAGGAGTAATTGATTCTCCGCTGGGAAATATTTGGAGCGCAGCTTGATCGGCGTCAGTGCGAAACACTTGACGCTGTTTTGTTGGTTGTATGGTTGGCAATGATGTGTTGTTACGATCTTCAGTCGATCGTTGACTTTGACAAATTTGTTGGAACGGAGCACACACTATTTTATGAAAACTTTGAGCCTTAACGGCTAAAACAAGGATAAAGATTTATGTGCAATCACACAATGGGTAAACACAAACATGGAGATTTAAGACTAAACACAATGGGAAACATGTTAATTATTGAGATCTTTGCTCAAGGTATTAAAAATACAGAGCGCAAAAAGGTAGAAGAAATCCTGTCTTACTGTCGGTACATTTTTGACATTAACTCTAGTAGTTTCTTTTAAAATTTTAAAAAAGCTTCAATTCGATGTGATTAAAATTATGGATGTTAGAGCGATCAAATTTGAGCTTCAAGTTTAAAGTGAAATTTAAACGTGGCTTAAATTTGGGAAAATATTGAATCTTAGATCAATATAATCAAGTCTATACAATGTGATTTCTTTTATAGACCTGATCTTAGTATCTACATGTTGCATTCGACTTTGATGATAAAACAGTTGTCTGTAGGATTACACAAAATGTTGTAGTCTGTAAAGAATCGCCCGATCACTTTTACTCTCTTTCTCTCTCTCTCTCTCTCTCTCTCGTGATTTACAACTTTCTGTCATTATTCCACATATATGTCATTCTCGTTTAGAGCAAAGTACTTTTGGTCTTAGAATCTTTGATCAATCGGATTTCTTTACGCGCCAAACTTTTCAGGAAGACTAGTTTTATTCACACAGAGTAGTGTGAAAGTTTTGCATCCATCGCACTCATCGAATTGAAATATCTGGTTGAAGTTGAAGGTATTAATAGTTACCTAGACAAGAAAAACTTTTGTCTTTGTAATTTTACAATGCATGTAAAATCGAAACACTGAAACAGAAGACTCGTGTGCACCTTATCAGATTCAATCTACAACAATATACTACAAACATTACAAAACATAAAAATTGGTAAACGAAAAAATGAAAATTTATTTTACATGCATTATACACATAATATAAATATTATGGAAAAACGAAGACAAAAGAGTGCATGTTTGTTAATGTTGTTGAGTACATGGAGAACTGTATTGTAACATGACTTAAATAAAATTACCCGATGACGGATACATGTATGATTCACTACAGCAGAAAACCTATTCCTAATGAATACTTGGATTGATCTGCTACAAGAATAATTTATATTTCTCTTTTCATTTAAGATAAGTACTTCTATCCTCTATATAGTTTTATTAACTTGAATAAATTTCTTTTTCTTTTTCAGTAGTTCCAAATCTGTTTTACCTATTTCTGGAAATTTTGCTCTGAAACTTCTCGCTAACAATAGCTAAAGGGCCAACGGCATCGGGTTTAATAACCGTGTTAGATGCCGCCGCAATTGAACTGGTACCTCTTTGCAACTGAGCCATTTCATGCAGTTGCTTTTGCATCACAATCAATGAAACATTGTTTGCTGAGAAAAAATCCTTCATAGAAATTAATTCTCCAGACATCCTTCTAGACGACTCTGAATCATCCCCCTTAAAGGAATCCCTTGCGGCTACTCTGGTTCCTCTCCTTTTGGAAAAATACACCGTAGACATGTAGGACTTTCTTCTCGGTAAATGTGACGCAGCCATTTCTTGATTTCTGCATTGTATTTTTTGTATCATGTAATTTAATCCTTGTTTTATTATAATCGAAGTTACGTTTAACAGAGAATAGGTGCAACAGCAGCCGATCAGCAGGAATAAGAAGTTAGCGACACGATACCTGTGCAAGAAGAAAATATCTATGTACCAGCGTTGTAACGTATACCGTACATCGTCTGAGGTCCTGAAGGACGTACCAATGAACGTATGGATAATGTGATTTTTCGGTACTAACGAAATCCCCGAAACCGATGGTCGTGAAGCTAATGAAGCAAAAGTAAAGTGCGTCCAAGTATTTCCAACTTTCAAGGGGAGCGTAAAGAGCAGCAGCGCAGCAAGCTATAATACAACACACTACTGAAAGGAAAAGCATAACCAAATATACGCTTGGTTTCCATTCTTGCATATTTAAACTGCCATCATCGTCGTCAAGTATATCAGGCAGAGTAGTCTTTCCCTCTGTCGACGATCTAAACGAACGACGTTTGCCAGCATCTGTTACAGAGTTTTTCCGTATACGTCTTCTCAAATGACGTGCGTGTGCATTACGCAGAATCCAAGCGAGAAATGTGATAATCCTTTCCAAGAACAAATTGAAGAACAAAATTCCACCTGCATCATGGAAAAAATTTAATTGTACTTGATTGAAGATGATAATATTATATTTGTCTGCGATAATTGTGAATAATCATTGTTACCGGAACAACCGACAAAACCATAGAGAACAGCAAGCACTTTGCCAAGACTTGTTTGCGGTGTAGTGTTCCCGTAGCCTGGAAAAAAAGGACCTCGGAATCAGATGTACATGTTTTCTGCAGAAATACTAATGTACACGAAGACATAACACAGGAGAGAATTATTGCAAGACTAGGTCGCACGATATTAATATTCTGGAATTCACCAGTACATTCTTATGCGTGCTGCAGACGACGACCCTTACCCCCTTTTATTCGACGCCTGTTATGACCAAGTTTCGCGCGATAATACTGTCGTCAATAAATCTAGTTTTAAGCAAACGATCGGAAAATAACCGAACGCACAAGATACCAATTATATAGGACGAATATATTGCAAATTGTTTCGCAATTATTGACATAAGTTGCACGAATAATTTTTCAAAAAACATTGCAGAAGGAATAGAAGTAGAGTTGAAGATAAAATACCGCGTGCGTGTTTTACGTTCTACTGACCCGTTATTCCGGTTCAATTGCGGCATCAAATGAAATGTTTAGAATTTCAAATAGGCTACGATACATTTTCTTACCGATTGTGGAAACAATGGTGCTAACAAAGTGGAAACTTCCAGAAAAATCCCATCGGCGACTCTTGTTGATGATGCCAGACGATGAAGCGTTTCCATAAGCGTACAACAGTTCGTCTAATCTTTGCAAAGCGACTGGACTACGTTGCAAGTGATGTCTTCGAAAAGTATGATAAACGCGCCAAAATTCTGCCGCCTATTTGGAGTGAAGAAAAATTAATTTACATTTATTTGTTACAAATACGCTAATGAAAAAATTTAATCAACAGAAGTATTAAAAGTTGAAGAATTAGAAGAACAAGAAGAAGAAGAAGAAGATACTATCACACCTGTCGAACTTCAAGGTCAGCTTCTAATTGTTGAAAGAGCGTAGCTCCGGCTAACATGTACACCACTAAGACAATAAAAAGAAGGATGAACCTTATGTTGTCCTCCCCGAGACCAGTGCACACGCACATCACCGATGATTCTCATCTCTCCGGACACGAGTGACTGGACGCAATCCCCACCTTTACTTTTCATCCGGGTTGGCGCAAACTCGACGATGATCAACCGTGAAGATCTACATCGTCGACGAAGATTACATAGATACATCATGTAAATGCTACCTCGAGTCACAATTTCCTACCTATTATCAATTTTTTAACCAAACCTTTTAATGTTTTTACTATTTCAACGATAGTTTATACGATTTTTGACCACGCTGTTCGTACAATTTAAATTCCATACGCTTTATTGGAATTTTACATTGTAAAATTTCAAACTGAAACCATTCATGAAGTAAGACTTGAAGAAATCTGGGACGGCATAGCGTACATCACTACTAAAAGAAGATTCTTTGATAGGCTAAAAATAGAATACGAAGCAGTGTACAAAACGAGCCCCTTTCGTAGATAGGGGCGCAGAGTAAACTCTGTACATGATTATTTTGGAGATACGATGGTCTGCACATTAATACGTTTGATCCTGCGCTTTGTATTACGGATTTGTAGGACGGGATTTAGAGGATATACGAAAGTAAATCATACTGAATTTATAATAAAAATAAAGTTTGTTAACAATTCATGTAGGCAATCTAACGGCGCTACGATATTTATACAAAATTCGCACACTAGGCACATTGATACTTACATCGAAATACTTGTAGAGGTACATACGTATAAATCTATGAAATTCGTAACATTTACATTAACTACTATAATACTATCGGATACGCTATCCAGACGAACGGATTGCGTGATTTACACTATGATTTGACGAATCGCGTTAAGAAAAAGAACGGTTATCAATGCCTCGTTTGTGGACCTTCTTCCAATTTCCGCCAAACAACCTGAAACAATAACTATACATTGAACGTTGATTCTTGAAAGGATATCTTGATGATTGAATGTTAACTTACATTGCACATTTCTCTAACCAAAGCCTTCTCTCCATCGTGGCCACCCTCTCTTTCAAGTTGTTCTCTAACTTCGAGAACTTGAAGAGCTCGTACCACTGCTTCGGGTCGACCTCCTATGTGAGGATTTTCACCAGGACTATTTTGGTTTCCCCAAATTTCGCCGGGTTGTACTTCCCATCCTTGGGCGCGCGCTTGCAGGACACTCTTGTCTTCTTCGAGTTGCTTTACCCGCTGTTCCAAACTCCTTACATACTGCATAGTTTGATCTGTAAAGTGTATTTCAGCTGAAAATCTTCGTGCAAAAGAAATTTCGTCTTGAACGTTTATTATTTTTTTTATGAAACTGCTTTTTACCATTAAAGGTAGAAATATGCCTAGGTCTAGGAGGTGCAGTTTCCTCGGCATTGGTGCTGGAACTCGAACCATCCCCGTCGTCTCTCTGACCACCTCCTCTCTCTTCGTCCAGATAAAGACACAGTTCCTTCAATTCAAGATTATCCTTGATCAGCTCTTGCTGTTTATTGTCCAACTGACGCAACTTATTCTGATACGCGGAAACTTCTTGTCGCATAACACTCGCCGTGTATCGTCCAAATCTTTGCCATTCCCTCGCCAATTTTCGTCCCTTCTGCCGATCATCGTCCAGAAAACAACAGAGATCCCGTAGTTCTTGATTATCATCGCTTAGTCTTTGGTTCGCCTCTTTCAGAGCTCGTAATTCGCTCAGCTGAAATCAAATGTATTCTATATTTTATTAACAATTCTAAATTAAAGATAACCTTCTTTTAACGCATAATTTGTTGATTACGTTTGGCTTTTTTTACAATTAAAAAAAAGAGTTGGAGTAAGTACCGCGACGGTCATTCACGAGTGGACTCACGTGTGCGTGACTGGTTGAAATTACGACAGTGGACTCGACCCGTCTGACCTAAAAGAGTCTCAAAAACTTCCGTGTGACGTGTTTAAGTCCCGTGATGGCACCTTTTTTTCTCGCAAATCCAAATAATAATCCACAGAACGGGATACCACAGCTCAGATGGAATTTTAATATTCCTTATTCTTCTTACCGACGCGACGCAGTGATTTTAGTTTATCAATTGAAGAAATAATAAAATTAGATGACAGATGCACTTACCAAACTCTGTATCTGTCGATTTTGCTCGGCGGCGAGCCTCGCGATGTCGCTCTCCGTCTTGCGGACAAATTTAAGCATCTCCACGGGTCCGAGCCTCAGGAACTCTTCGTCGCTGATCCTTTGTCTGATCGGCGGTGTTTGTGTACTATTTACCGTGGGATATTGACCGTTAGGTGGCAAGTATTGACCTTGGCCGATCTTGGCCTGAAGGTAACTATGCGGTTGAGTTTTTGTGACGGGTGCAGTCAACGTGTTTCCGCCTTGAGGATGATGTCGATGTTCTATCCTCGGCGAATACTTGCTCTGCGCATCCTTTTGCTGCGACACCGGTCGCTGTTGCGTCGGCTGATGATGATTCAAGGTCGCGGCTGGACCTTGAACCGAAGTTGACACGGAAGTCTGCACGGAAGGGTTCGCAACGAAATGAGGATGATTCTTGAGAATACCACTGGTCGGTTGCGGCGGTGGTTGATACCGCGGTGGTACTTGATCCACTGCTGTTTTGATCACGTGCGAAGGATGTTGCTGTTGCTGTTGCTGTTGCTGTTGCTGTTGCTGCTGCTGTTGCTGTTGCTGCTGCTGCTGCTGCTGCTGCGGCTGGGACTTACTCTTATTGGACATCGCGGCTAATTTAGCTCCAGGCTGCAATGTGTCCCATTTCAGAGAGTCCACCGTGACTTCTTCGTACCGGCTTGACGTCGTTCGACCCGCTAAAATCTGGGTCACCGTGCGGTCCCTTCTTTCTCTCTGTTTCCTGCTTTTTCTCTCTCAAGATTGGATTTACTACTTAAGAGGTGGTCCTTGCGATAGCTGTCTCGCCTTTGCTAACCTTACCTTACCGTCCAGCAGGCGCACCGTTCCTTATAAATTCTTTCCCTTTTATCTTTACCCCTTTTGCTTGCTCTGTTACAGTTCTGTCAAATATCTTCCACCTTTCCGTTCCTGTCGATACTTTTTAATCGCTCGTTCACAACACGGAACAGCGATCACAAGACATGTCTTTCGTCGTCGAAGTCTCCGAACGCATTGAACAAGTACCGTACTAGAGGCTTCGTCGTCGCAGTATTAAAGAGTCGTTGTCCTCGGTTTACGCTGTAATTCCGAACGATCGTACGGTATGCTCGCGTTCCATCTGTCAACGGCCGGGTTAAAGTGTGAGAGCGTAGTTCCACGATAAAACGTTCGTCACTCGAATACCGATTATTGTTACGAAATCCTGAGAAATACTAGCGATATTGCACTCTCGAGAGCTAATGCGCTCGACCGGGGCCCCGTTTTTCTCGCTGTGGGACCGCTGCATTTCACAAGGCGCAGTGCCGTAACATCGAGTGGGGCATTCCAGTAAAAGCTTGTCGTCCGTGACCGCACACCGTAAACGTGACAGATAGGCTTTCACGTACTCTTAACAATTGTTACCTGACTAGTTTGCTATATCTGCATCGTTGCATACGACTATCTCCTTTCCTCTTACTCGTTTCTAACATCCGGAAGGAAGTTGAGCGGTCCGATCGATCGACATTTCAATGGCTTTATACTCGCGTACAATCTTTTCTTCTAGCAGTTGCCACGTCTCAATAGTCGCTACATTGAGTTACATGAACAACTGTATCATTTATCCTTTGTAGTAAAGCTTTATACTATTCAGCGGTATCAGGATCGGCGATTTTCAATGAAATTCGCGGAGAAATCGCGCACTAACAATATGGCGACGATCGCGGGCCTACGATCCGAGAAACGATTGCGGACGACGCTAGGACTTTAAGGTTGTAACGCGGGAACGTAAAGGCAACTTCTGATTGGGCAGACCTGTTCTTTCAAGAGAGGATTTGAAACCATGACAATTCCCAATAATATTTCACCGGCTACGCTAAAGATACTGCATATCAGTGTTCTCTTACTTTTTCTTCATGGTCATCCTTTCACACGGATCACAACAGGTAGACACCAAAAAAGTTTCCTTTAAAGTCGAATCATCTCAAAATAGGTATGTATATAATATCATAAAGTTGCATTAATAAGTTTTATACAAGTTATTTCAGCACTATAAAAGAAAAGACAAGCAACGGTAACAGTTTGGCGGTGGAACTTGAAAGATCATCGCGAGCCAGCCGCAGTCAGTCTTGGCACGGCCGCCGCGGGGTGCCCATCGGGCAAGGTATTATATATTTGTTGTATTTGTGACAGGTGAAGCATTTGTCCATATGATTTCATGAAATTTCGTGAAAATAGGCTTTCTTCCGGGATGATGGCGATGTGCCGCCCCCCTCTCGCTCCCTGGGTTTGCAGGTTTCGGATCCCCTCGGAGGGTTTCCCTTTCCTGGGCTCCAGGAAAATGACAATGTGTGGGAGGAGATCCTATATATATATATGTATATAGGTTTGTGGCTGCTCACTATTTTCGTACAAACGTTTACACGGGAAACTTCAAATTTTATGAATTTACAGTTTCACTTAAAATACTGACATTGAAAATGTTGCACACACAATTAATTTTTATTATTTTTACAAATATGTGATTAAAAGATAAAGTCTATATCTATATCATTAGCAGTTATTATGTATTCTTTTATTTTTAAATGTATAGAAAACTGATATCTTGTTATGTGCATGTTATCTGCTGGAAGTTCTTCTTGTTGGTTTCAGAATGATACAGTAATATTCAGTTTCTGATTCATGTAGGTATTCTTTACCTTATTGGCTTTGTTTGTTACAAATTTAGTTATATTATTTCGTTTCAAAGTTTACCCTTTTTAATTTGTTTTATCAAATTTTTATGTCAGTTTGAAATGTTCTACAGTACTTTATCGCATAGAATATAGCTATACTGTATATACTGTAGCAAATACAAATATGAAAATCGTGATAGGTGTAGGAATTGTTTACATTTCGATATGGCGGTATTAAGAAAAGTTGATATAAACTTTTTGGGAAATATTATTAAAGATGTTTTATGGAAATTGTGATTATACAGCATGATATGAGAAAATATAAATAGCGTACTTTTATGGTTAAACACATTCCAACTAATACTGTTTGATGTGAAATTAATAGCATACAATTAATGATGTGTCAAGATTACATAACTTTATAGCATAATTCAAGTTTTTATAGCAATTATGTTACGTTAGTGCACTTGCTGTTGTTGCGAAGGAAGGTTAATTGCTTACGTGTCATACGTTCAGGTATAATACTTTTTTTTTCGATATGTAATTTCTACGTGTATATAAAGTATATAGTAATAAAGTCTTTATTTAATTATGTATATATGCATATATTTTAAAACAAATATGTTAATTGAGAAAGTAAATATTATAATTAATTGTATTGTATGAAACACTTCTTGCACTCTAACAGAAACGCAATTTTAATTGTTTTTAATAATTTGCATTTAGCAAATAAATATTATCAAGAATATTAATAGAATAAGTATTATATATTTTGATATTTTGGTGTAATTACTATATTGTATTTAATTTATAGCACTTGCTAATTGTTTCTGTAATGTTATAATAACATAGAAGCACCATAATTGTAGATTAATGCATTTAAAATAATTAGAATTGCACAGAAAAACAATGGCAAATGAAACCTGGAATGTAATGGTGACGGGGGGTGCTGGGTACATTGGTTCTCATACTGTATTGGAACTATTACAAGGTGGTTTTGAGGTGGTGGTAATAGACAACCTTAGTAATGCTTATAAAGGTGAGAAGTAACAGATCAAGATATGAAAACAATTAATATTAATAAATCATTGCCATAGAATGAGGGTAAAAATAATAATATAAGTTTTATAATTAATACATTACCTTATTATTAAAGTTAATTGAATGAATTACTACTGCAGTGTATGTAATAATATATCATCTCTTTTTTTTATGTAGGAGATAATGATGTAAAACCAGAATGTTTATTAAGAGTAGAAAAATTAACAAGTAAACGTATTACATTCATTCCCTGTGATATTACAAACATCAATGATTTGAGAAATATATTTAAAAAGGTATGACTATAACTATTTTCAAATATAGGCAAATAATTCAAATATATAATTGAAATAACTATGTTTTAGCACAAGTTTCATTGTGTTTTACACTTTGCTGCTTTAAAAGCTGTGGGTGAATCTTGTGAAAAACCTTTGGAATACTATAAAACAAATGTTTGTGGAACATTGAATTTGTTAAAAGTTATGAGAGAACATAATGTAACACGCTTTATTTATTCAAGTAGTGCTACAGTCTATGGTATTCCTGAAAAACTTCCATTAGTTGAAAATATGAAAACTGGTCAATGTACAAATCCTTATGGAAAGACAAAATATATGGTTGAAGAAATTTTAAAAGATTTATGCAGTTCAGATGAAGTATTAATTTTGATAATTATCTTTTATTTTTACTGTATTCTATAATTAGATATTTATTGCAAAAGAGTTTCTAGGCTTGGTCTGTTATATCTCTGAGATATTTTAATCCAGTTGGAGCTCATACTTCTGGACTAATAGGTGAAGACCCTAATGGAATTCCAAATAATCTAATGCCCTACATTGCTCAAGTATCTGTTGGGAAAAGGGAAGTATTATATGTGTATGGTAATGATTATGATACTCCTGATGGAACAGGTTAGTGATCAAATTACTTTGCAAAATAGGTATGAAAAAAATATTATTTGGTACGATTATCAATTCGTTTCTAGGTGTACGTGATTATATACATATTATAGATTTAGCAATAGGCCACGTAAAGGCAATGATTTATCAGAAGTTTAAAAATCCTACTGGATTTAAAGCTATTAATTTGGGTACTGGGAAAGGTTACTCTGTACTTGAAGTTATACATGCTTTTGAAAAAGCTTCAGGTCGAAAAATACCGTATAAAATAGTCGATCGCAGACCAGGAGATATATCTGTTAGTTATGCAGATGCTAGTTTGGCTAATAAAGAATTAGGATGGCGAGCTACTAGAAACATAGATGATATGTGTAAGCTGTTATAAAGATAATAATTGTTTCTAAAATAAATTAAAATTTGTAGTATAAGATTCTATAATTTATTATTACAGGTATAGATGCATGGAATTGGCAACAAAATAATCCAAATGGATATAAATGTTAATAATAATTGCTAAAACATTTTATAGTGCAAAAAGTTTTAAGCATTTAAAAAAAAGCATTTATTTTATTTTTTATTATATATTACATGTAAGCCATGGTGGTATCTGGTTACCAAAGTTTAGACCAAAAATATAATTTTTTTATATTAATTAGTTAATTCTAACGTTCAAAGTTACTTCTAAGTGATGTAACTTATGAAAGTTCCAAGTATTTGATTGCAATAAGTAATTCCATTTATAAATGTATATATGCATTTATACTTAAAGCAATGTAACGCCATATTACGTTCCTACAATTGTATGTACAAATTACTTTATATTAATAAATAATATAAAAAAAAATATTGAATTTGCTTATTTCAAAACATAATTTTGGCTTCCTTTGATACCTACATCCCTCAGCCCCGCTGCGTACTGGCCGGATAACATATTGGGGTATTAAGGACCCCGTAACGCCGGTGACTAACTTTGCATACCAATAATATAGCATCCGGGGTGCCAGGGACCCCGAGGTACCGGTGACGCTATATACCGATATTACGCCACCGGGGTATTAGGGACCCCGAAGCACCAGTGACACTGCATACGGCATTCGGGGTATCTGAGACCCCGAGGTACCGGTAATGCTATATACCGATATTATGCCACCGGGGTATCAGGGACCCCGAAGCACCAGTGACACTGTTTGCATACCGACATTTTGGCATCTGGGGTGTCAGGGACCCCGAAGCACCGTTGACGCTGTTTGCATACCATTTTGGCATCCGGGGTGTCAGGGACCCCGAAGCACCAATGACACTCTTTGCTTATCGACATTACAGCATTCGGGGTACCTGAGACCCCGAGGTACCGGTGGCGCTGTATACCGATATTATGCCACCGGGGTGTCAGGGACCCCGAAGCACCAGTGACACTGCATACCGACATTTTGGCATCCGGGGTGTCAAGGACCCCGAAGCACCGATGACGCTGTTTGCATACCATTTTGGCATCCGGGGTGTCAGGGACCCCGAAGCACCAGTGACACTGCATACCGACATTTTGGCATCCGGGGTATCAAGGACCCCGAAGCACGGGTGACGCTCTGCTTACCGACTTTACTGCATTCGGGGTATCTGAGACCCCGAGATACCGGTGATGCTGCATATCGATATTATGCCACCGGGGTGTCAGGGACCCCCAAGCAAGTAGCGAAATATAAGACCTAAAAACGAACAAATTGTGAAACTCACTTGTTCGGAATAGTGATGGGTAAGACCGGATTTAGCGAAATATAAGACCTAAAAACGAACAAATCGTGAAACTCACTTGTTCGAGGTAGTGATGGGTACGACCGGATCTGTAGCGTATGCGCACTACAATTATTTATTATAAAACAAACTTGTAAATAATTAAGAAATTATTCACTCACAAACAATGAAAATGAATCGGCACAAGATTTAACGCGATGCAAGCGTCGAGGCCGCTTACAAAAAAAATGAAAAACTGAATTTTTGGTCTGCAGTGACTGCAGCTGTAGTCACTGGTTCGTGGTACATGGGATTTAAAAATGGCTGCAATTAAAATTGGTCCTCACTTGAAAGAATTACGAATTCTTTTGTGTCAAACATCAAAATCTAGTCAAGGTGTTAGGTAACGATAATAGTCCTTGTAAAAAGGTTAACATGTACTTGTAACATGTTACGTTTCAACTCGCAACATAACCTATCAATATTTTTCAGAGATTTCATTAAAGCACAGTATGTACCTCTTAAAAGACAAAATCCACAACTTCCAGTTTTAATTAGAGAATGTTCTTCGATCGAACCTTTCCTTTACGCACGATATGGTAAGTTTAATAATGTATTAATTTATTTTATACGAGTATACATATATAGTATGTAATACAGTATGCTGTACTATTAATTACATTTTAAATATCCCATGTACTAAATTTACTTAATACTTATATTTCTGTTTGAATTACTTATGTTTCAGAACGTGGTGTAGAGCAGTGTATTGCTTTGCAGAATTTAAAATCTGAAGAAATTCTGAAACGAGTTCAAGAACTCGCGGCTAGTACACCACAGTAATATTTGTAGTATAAATGTATGTTAATTAATTCAGATATAAAATAAAGTAGTTGTATAAATTTTATTATTCAGTTCTACTTATAGTTTAACAATGAGACTAAATAAAAAATCCATAGATCAAATATATAAAAGTTTCTCTTATTAAAAATGTAAAAATTATATCACATAATATTTAAGAAATAGTTTTTTCATATTTAAGGTAAATAAATGTAACATTTATTAAAATTAACAAATGATTTTTCGCACTTTATGAAGATACATTTATCATTTACAGATACATTTCTATCTGTGAGAAAATCATTTCCATGATATAATATGTCAATGTGACTTTTATACATGTGTATAACTAGGACTTTTTTTGAGGTGAGCCAAGTCTCTTAGAAAGTTTGGAATTCTGGAATTTTAGAATCCTGATATTTTACAATGTTAAAATTTTAAAAGGAGTTGAACAGTAGAACACGCTGGGGAGGGGGGACGATTGGCCCCTTCCTAATTACACCAATATTTTTATAACATCTTTTTAACTTTATTTAAAGTGAATTATTTAAACATTTATTTTTGTTATGTACTAACTTTTCTATTTTGATAATAGAATTATGAATATTTTGAATATTTTTATATTTAATATTTATACATATTTAGGTAACAATTTCATTTTACCTATGCTTGCATTCAATCATTCTCTATATGCAACATTGGAGATATTATAAAAATTATACGATAAATTAGGTGGTAAAAAATTTTGTAAAGATGCTGGCATTGTATTAAAGTATGTTGCATTTCTTTCTCGAAATATTGTATCTGGTACGGTGGTACTGGACGCATCTGGTTGAAAATTTTGTACAGTACTAGTTGGAATAGTTTGTACAACAATTGGTTGAGTTGTCGACGCATGGGAAACAGTTTGTATTACCTGTAGATATTCAAAATATAGAACTTCATAATATACACAGATTTATCTCACATGTACATATATATTTTTGGTTTTGGCAAATTTGATTTATGCGATTCTGTTGCACAATCATATAATCTTATTTGCTAATTAAATATGTAAAACGGACATCGTACTAGCTAAAAAAAATAATTTTTTACCTGAACTGCTGATGACTCTGCGTGAGATATAGAAAGCGAAGAATCTGAAACATTCGATTGAATAATCTGTGATTGTTCCGACTGTTGCTGTTGCAATTGTTGCTGTGACTGTTGTGACTGTGTTAAATGTTTTGTGTGTGACGTATTAATTCCATGTCTGCGTTTCATATGCTTATTATAATTTGGCCAATTTGTAAAGTGATGCTGACATTCTAAGCAACTGTATGGGCGTTCACCAGTATGTTGTCTTCTATGAGTCTGAAAATAATTATAACTATATTACACAATTATATCTTAAACAATATAAATTAAATAATTTAATTAACTTACAGTTAATATTCCCTTAAAACGAAAACATTTGCCACAAAATTCACACGTGAATGGCATTGCTCCGGTATGTATTCTATGGTGTTCTCTTAATGTACCTTTTTCTCTGAAAGTTCTTCCACAAACAGCACATTGATGTGGTTTCGCGCCAGTGTGAACTGTCTCATGTTTTTTTAATTGCAGTGGTGTTTTGAAACTGTAAATTATAAATCCTTTAGTATAAACGTATTTACGTTTGAAATTTTATTATTTATTTTTATAAACATACGCCTTGGAACATTGTGTACAACTATATGGCTTATCTGCAGAGTGGGTTAAGAAATGAGCTTCTAAATTTCCTTTCTGAATAAAACTTTTACCACATTGATCACAGGTAAAATTTCTAACACCAGAATGAATACGTTTATGGGTGACTAAATTTGGTTTAGTTGAGAATCTGAAAAATACTTATATGTAATGATACATTAAAACATGCTTTTAGTTAATTTTTAAAGTTATACCTTTTGTCACATTGGTCACATGGAAATCTATTTTTCATAGTATCTGGCAAATGACACCTACTATGAATGTACAAAGCACTTTGTTGTCTAAATGCTTTTCCACAAGTTTGACATACATGTGGACGCTCTTCACTATGAATTGCTTTGTGAGAATCTAATACTTTTTTATGTACAAATGATTTTCCACAATCTTCACAACTAAGTGTATTACACGTTAAAATGTATGATTAGAAAATTACAAAAACTAATCAGTAAACCAAGATTATGTTTACCTGAATTTTGCCTTGTTTTTATGTCGTTTAACGTGAGTAAGGAAACCATAATATTTATCATAAATTTTGCAGCATAGTACACACATATATTTTGCTTGTTGGTTGTGAATAGTTTCGTGATGCTCTTCCAATCTTTCTAAGCTAGGTAATTTATCATCGCAGTCTGTGCAAAGCCAGGGATACCTATCCAAACTTTTTCCTTTTTTAGACCCAAATTTTGTTGCTTCTTTTGTATGTGCTTCTATGATTTCTAAATCTGAATCTGTACCTACAATAAAAAAATAATATTTTGTACTTTTCAAACAGATATGTTATTTTGAATTTCCCTCCAACAGGTAAAATAGAGATCTCATAATTTCTTATTACATATTTATTTTATTTAACTATTTACCTGTCATATAGTTATCTGGAATTTTAATACTAGTCTTTATGCTCATATTGCTAGATTCTTTCTTCAAATCAGAATTAATATGCACATCAGAATTTTCCATTTTTTGATTTTGACTTTTTCTCTTCAATTTTTTTTTAGCTTGTTTAAGCGACGTTTTCTTAAGTTGAATTTTACATTTCTTTTGTTTTGAAATATCTTGAGATTCTTCGGTTTCATACTTTTGATAATTATTATTCTTATTTTCTTCAATAAAATAATTCTGTGATTCATTAGATTCAATAATATAGTTGTTTGGTAAATGACATTCATCGATTCCTTCTCCAGCTTCTTCTACTTTTGGAAATGCTTCTGTTTTCTCAATATAATTTACATTTGCCTCTAATGGTCTTGATTCAGTTTTGGGATCTATCAGTAATTGCCTTAGAGATATCTGTGCTTGATTAGTTTTCTCATAGAACTCATTACATTGATTTAGTAATATACAACAATCTATACAAACTGTAAGTGGCAGTGCATCGCTTATTAATACCTGTAAGAAGTTTATCAATTTAACATTTATATTTTGATTTAAATTAATTTTGACATGTTAAAATTAATCACAAATGGAGAGAGGTGTTTTCACCTGAATCTGTAAACATTTAGCAATTTTAGCTTCTATTGCTAATTTCTGTCCTTCCGCATCATAAATTCCAATAAAATTTTCTTTGGTTTCGGCGCAGAGCCGGCAAAGTTCCGGCTCTGTCATTATTCACACATAAATCCAAAAATATGTATCGCGACACAGTACATTGTCAAAACAACTGTTAATGTAATCACATCATCTCACGTTTACATTGCAATAAATAGTAAATAAAAGATTAGTACGGACGCTATAAAGGATAGCCGACATGTTGCTTTCTCGTATACGAAAAATAAACTACTTCGATATGTGTATAAAGAATTACTTAAACATCCACTTATTTCAATATGTTTACAGTTAGTGATGGTGAATTATTAAAAAGTAACTTATTCAATGGCACAATTATCATTATGTTATTTTTAAATAGAAGTATTCAGTTACTTCATCACGTTTGTTTAGAAAAATTATTGTGCTACGTATAGGTATATATTGTATACGCAGTTCACCAGAGTCCATAACTGCAATGCGCAGGTTGGAAGATGGTGGGGGAACTCAGCGAGCTCTCCGCTAATCGCTTTCCACTTCGTTTGGGAGTATTGCCAATCAGGGCGAAGATGCGCACGAAAGAACGAAAACTGGTCTTTTCGCAGTTATGGACTCTGGTGAACTGCGGTATACATATGTTAGGTATCACTAGGAAACTACATTATAATAGAGTCGGCTGTGACATTATGGAATTATAGGGTTTTTGAAATCTTGTTAATGTTGTGGCGGGCTCTTTGAAATATTAATAAAGAGTGGACTTGAGAGTAAGGCTTTTCTAGCATTAGATGTATGATGCACGCGAAATTTAAATTAAATAACAATATAACCACGGTCAAATTGATCCCATCACGGCTATGTTCATCAGAACAACTTTCTTTACGTTACCGCATACATTTTCCAATTTCCGGCCAAAGGAATGTCATTGACCCTTTATCCGTGTTTAAAATTAATCTTAATCCTAGGCATACCAGACGGATCTTAAAACGCATAAAATGTACAGTAGATTTATTAATTTGTGTTTGTTGAAAATAACTAAAAGACGAGTGTATGTATATACTCGGATATTTCAAATTAACAGCTCTAATGTATGGTCAACTGTACCTTAGGTTTAGGTACCGAAGTCAAGTGGCGGGAGGTTCCTCCTCTTATTTTTGACCAAAAGAATCGTATGTTGCACCTGAATGTACTTCGGAACAAACAGGTGACTCAAGAGGAAGAGTGTGCTTATTGGGAACCAATGGATGAGTTTCTCTTCCAAGAATTTTTCGAATTCAGCTCGCGCCGAACCTACCTTTATCGTCGATGAAAGTAACAAAGATTAAGAGTGAGTGAAAAGAGGAAACGTGGTGGGGCCATGGATAGAAACTGTCCGGGAATATGGAAATAATACAGTACTATAAATAAAATAAAGCCACAACAGTCTCCGCGATAGAATTACACTTTTGTTACTTTCAAAGGATAAATAAATAATTGCATGGACGAAGTGGGAAATAATTCTAAAGTTTGACTTTAAGTGAAATGTGAAAGTTGAACTGAAACAAAAATTGATCATTATTCTTTTAAATATGATTTTTCATTGCATCAAAAATTTAATTCAGGTAATATTACAAAAAAATTAATAATTAATTTACAGCCAAAAATTTATTTACGTATTATTAAAAATAACATATTTTTTTACGGTATATTATTACTTGTATATGATAATATATTGTACATACAATAAAAGGAATTTCAACTCTAAATCATACATTAGAGCAGTAAAAATGAATTAACTTTCATACTTAGGGTTCCGGGTCATTTTGACCCCGTATACGATATTAGTTACGAAGCCTAATTATAAAACACTTTATATGTAGTACGAAGAGAATATACATATATAGATGTGTGGTTGAAAAAATTTCTATTTAATATATTAATACTTCTTAAAACTTAAATTTAGATCCAGATAATTTATTATTATTTTTATAACTGAAATCGTATCCGTTCAATCGATGTGGTATACTTTTTAGGTTTTCAGGTCACCTACATCACCTTTTGAAATTATTGTCTAACGGTACCTGTAATGTTCTCAATTACTAAGATAACCGTATTTTTGAAATGGTATTCCGATAACCAACGAAACCAAAAGTTTATTTATTACTTTGTAGATAAATACTTAACTTGGAATTGTTTAAAATCGAATTATCTAAAATTTACACTAAAAAAACATACTTTATTTATTACTTTTTATTCATGTTTTTTTTTTTTTTTACATTACTAATTACATAATTAAACAGAAAAAATTGTTTATAATAAATGTGTATTAACTTTATACTTTTATTATTATTTGTATAGAATAAAATGTGATGTAAATAGGTAATTTCAAAAATAAATAATTTAAATAAAAAAGAATTATATAAATAATTTTATGAATATTATAAATTTTGAGTCACACAAAGAGCGTCAAAATTTAAATTAGCATTCGAGCTTTGATAAATTCTTGGGACACGTATAATTTTCTTCTAATAATTGTTTTCAAACTTTTGTTACAACAAATAGTTTTTGTGTTCAATACCTTGTTCCTCTTTTTCGCTTTTGTTTTATCTTTAATGAGAAATAAACAAATGTACATTTTTAAAACATATCAGATAACATATATTTGTCATCACTTTCATTTTTCTAGAAGATCTTACTGATTCAAACAAAGTTACTCATTTGTATATTATCCATGGAATTTATTTACAGTATAATTTTAATAGTAATATTAATTAATTGCAAACAATATATTAGAATAAAAAGATTAATTAAATGAATAAGATACAAAAAATTATCCGGTCGTGTCTCAAAAATGTTTACACAGTCCTAGAGGTTCTGGCACAATGTCCTCATTGCATATATATATATATAGGGGTACTTCTTAAGAAAGTGCGGCAGTTCTTCAGAGAACGTCTTTAGGTGAGTACTGTTAACACGATGTAATAAAATATGTTCGATCTCCGTTTTCAAGATATTTCTAACATTAGAATCAAATTATCTTTATTTTTATTAAAACTATTACTAAATAATTAATATTCAACACATTTTACCATTATCTTATTTAAAAACATTAACTTATATAAAGAAATAAAATTTTAAATTCTTTTCTGTAACAATATAATGATTTTTACACGATATTTCATTTCAAATATTTATACATATTGCTATTAATAATTAAAAATTTATTAATTTAGCTTCTGAATGTTCTCTTCTTATAGTATTTTCACAATGATTATAATACTTAAGTGACCTCAAAAATAAAATGGCTAATTCGGAAAAGAAATTTTATGAAATTTGTAAATGTTCATATATCAATTTTTAGCAAACGTAGCCCAAAAATATTGTTTATCTATCATCTATCATGTATCAAATTTAATCAAATATGTAATACTTTTACAATAATTTGGAAATAAAAATTTATTCACGAAGGGTCCTGAGTTTTACTTTCTGATTAAATATGACGGTCACGGTATATTTCGGAATGTTAATGTTTCATTCATGAATACACGCGTTTTCTCCAACACGGATATCTTAAATGATTTCATTTCAAACATTAATATTTCAAAACAAAATTTTCACAATTACATCTTTCGCCCTCTTTAACAAATAATGAAAATATGTACATACATAATTAATATCAATATTTTGTATTATTTTTTATTCTTCTATTTACACATTGCAGTATTTAATATCTATATTTCAATTAAAATATAGTTTGAAGCAAAATGTTGCGATTTATTATTCTTGGAATACTTATTGCTTTATCGGCGGCTCAGTTCCAACCGTCTGGAAGGATCTTGGAACCACCAATTCCTGCCCTTTGTGCACAAAGTGAGTGACATATTTTTACACTATCCAATTATTAAATCTGAGATGATTTTTTTTGCAATAAATAAATCCACATTGTACTGTGAAAAGTTCAATTGAATACTAAATATAATTATATACATAGTAAAAAATTGAAACTATATAAATTGTGATATTTTAGGAGTTATTCATGAACGTTTTAATGGCAAGGGTTACTATTATTCGTGGGCTGATCCAAGAACAAGTGGACAGGAAGTTGATTGGCTATCAGGAAGGAATTTTTGTAGACAAAGATGTATGGACCTTGTTTCCTTAGAGACATCTGCAGAAAATGAGTTTATTAAAAGCCGTATTGTCCAAAGTATGGCAGTATTTTATACTTTAAATATTTTAAGAAAATAAAATAAGAACACATACAAAAAACAATTATTACTTCTAGATAATGTGAAATATATTTGGACATCTGGTCGCCTTTGTGATTTCAAAGGGTGCGACAGACCTGATCTTCAGCCACTTCATATTAATGGTTGGTTCTGGACTGCAGAGTTACAAAAATTAGCTCCAACTACCGATCGTTCTCAGAATGATTGGTCTGAAAGTGGAGGGTAAGTTTACTTTATTTTACTTTATAAATGTAATTATTATAGTATTTTATGTGAATGATTAATTAACAATATTTATAGTATTGGAAAACCACAACCAGATAATCGTGAAGCTATTCAACAAGGAGGTGCTCCTGAAAATTGTTTAGCTGTATTGAATCAATTTTATAAGGATGGAGTGAACTGGCACGATGTTGCTTGCCACCATAAAAAGCCATGGGTGTGTGAAGAAAATGAGTCGTTGTTAAAATATATCCGCTTCACTAATCCAAACATTCGTGTTTAACGATCTGTCAGTTGCCGAATTTATGCCTTGACTTAATCTTATGTAATTTTTATGATACAAGGATAAATGACATGGACAATAGATTTAATGAAAAACATGATTAATCATAAAACATACCGACTGCTACGCTGAAAACTACTAAGGGTATAATTACTTCATTTTTCAGTTTATTTATTCAGCTTCCTATTTCATGTTATTAGTAAAATATTACAGATACAGAAGAATTTTCTTTATTTTGGTATTTTACAATTGTTTGATGGTGTTGAATTTGTGGCACCTGTTATGGGCAGCCACTAGTGCAGTTGATGCATTAAATAATGAAAATCTATTTTAGCATGTAACAATGCATAGTTCAAGAAAATAAATTTATCCAGTCTGTTATTTAACAATAAGTCATTTTCAACAGGTAGATATAAAAACATACCAATAGTAAATTAAATAATTGTGTAATTAAATGTGTTCCACATTTTTTTTTAATTTTGGATATTTTATGAATTAATAGAATGTTTTTATTATAAATTTGAAAACATTTTTCAGATATTCTACATAATATTTATAAAATAATATATTTAATTAGTTTTACAATGTATCATAAAACATTGTTCATTACATTTTATTTTCGTTCACTTTATTACTTCTGGAGTCTGTGGATATGTGTGTCAAATGTATATTTTTGATTAAGGATATATATTGTAAAATGATTTTATGTTTGTAAATATATTATTTATACTATTTAATGTATTATTATTTTCATGCATGGAAATTCACGCCTTCCTTAGTATTTAATTTATATGTGAAATTGGACAGAAAAGCAAAAGAACTTAAAAAAAAATAGAATATACTTTTATGTACATTACCTATAGATTACTTATTTGAAACCTTCTACCATTATAATGTGATAACCAAATTTCGTTTTAACTGGTGGATCTGTATAAACTGGAGCCCCAATACTAGATATAGGTAGTGCAAATGCAGCTTCCTGAAATGGACCAACCATTGATCCTCTTGTCATCCATCCAAGATCACCCTTTAATGATCATTAAATAACAATTTCAATAAAATAAGATTACAGATGTAGGGTTCACAGGAAAAAGAAGGAATGTCTGTATACAAGATCCTTAGAATATTAAATAGAATTACCCCAGATCTTGCTTTGTCTTCACTATATGTAGCTGCAACTTCGTTAAACTTTTGTCCAGCTTTTAGTTTCTCCAATGCTTCTAAAATCTTTGATTGTTTTTCACACAAAATATGTCTAACCTTTAAGAACAAGCAAAAAGAATTATAACTTTATTGTATATAAATATAATTATGTATAAACAATGTACATACTTTTACTGCATTTTTTCCTTTCTTTTCACCTTTCTCACTACTACCTTCTGCCTTTTTAGACTTATTTGAGTTTGAAGCATTTGCATTCTTCTTAGGAGGCATTTTGGAAGTTTCTGCTCACGTTGTGATCAAACTTGCAACAAAAACACTGCGAAATTATAACACATTTAAGTTATGAAGGTAAAATGAAACAGATAAATGAAGGTTATATATAAAAGTATTTGTTAATTCTAAACAAAACTGTATGTTTTATCATTATTAATATTAGATATTCTAACGTCACGAAATAGGGGAATTCATATGGCTGTAATAAACTGAAAATTTATTTACTTTCTTTTCCATTCCAAAATTTGTTTCGATTTTCACATACAATAGAGACATGTATCTGCAGTTCACCAGAGTCCATAACTGCGATGCGCAGGTTGGAAGATGGTGGGGGAACGCAGCGAGCTCTCTGCCAATCGCTTTCCACTTCGTTTGAGAATATCGCCAATCAGGGCGAAGATGCGCACTGGAGAAGCGCGAAGAACGAAAACTGGTCTTTTCGCAGTTATGGACTCTGGTGAACTGCGGTATATAGGTTAGCTGCACTAACACCTGAAGTGAGCTGAAGTAGTCTCAAAATCGAGTGAATCGAGAGTAACATTTTCTAAAAACAATGCATATTACAGTAAAAGCTGGATATATGCAACAAACATTGGGACCCAGACGTTGCATATATCCAGCCGAGGTGTCGATTCTGGGCATTTAATGTTGCATATATCCGGTCGAGGTGTCGATTCTGCGTCCGTATACATCGTTTGTATTCAACCGCGATACCTATTCTACGTTCGTACACAACATGCGACGTGTTGTATGTTGCATGTTGCGTGTTTGATGCATCTTTGGTGTACGGCCTGCCTTATGTTTGGTATCATTTTAATCAGAAAAATCTCACAAATGCGTTAGTAAAAGTTTTATAAAAAAGTTTTATCGTTGAATTAGTATTAGTCACATCGATATAACGGTTCGGATCGTATTACACGGCTTCCTCGTCGAGCGTCTTTCGTTGCACATATCCAGCTTTTACTGTATATCAAAACTTTGATTTCAAAAATTTAAATTTGTATTGAACTACTTAAATTAAATTAATAAATCTAAATTAAAAACTATTAACGTTAAAGAAATTCAATGAAATAATAAAATTAAATAATTAATCTATTAGAGGAAAAACTAGAAATTGGAAATATCCCGGTTTTTAACGAAATTGTTTTGGAAATTTTGCACTAAAATTTTTAGTTCTTTTATCCGTGACCCATCGTCTGACAGATAGTATATGCAGAAAGTGTTAGGTTGAGAAGAATATTTAAATTAGATCCGTTTGAACACGCATTCTTAGAAGCTGTTCCCTGTTAATTATTAGCATTTGAGAAAGTTTAGTTTGACTAAATTAAAATGCTAAGACAGTCATAAATTATGTTCGAAATACTGTTTGCCTACTTTCTCGCGCTATATATATGTTAGTTTGACACCCAAAAACTTGGCGAAAGTACATACATATTTACACGAAACCATGTGTACTGTATGTTATTTGTTCCTTATCCATTTTTTAACATTACATTTTGTTAAGATAATATGTATTCGCGTATTCATTATCGTGCGTTCGTATGTGTACAAGCCACTTAGAACCGAAGAGATGCGATATTTTTTGAAATTTTTGAATTAAAAAGATAAGAATTTAAAAGTTTCTAAATCAGTATGCAATTGCAGCACATTTGTAACTATACATATATGTATCTGTAAACTGAGTGATATTTGTTAATTTTATTAAAATATAGCTATGTTCATTAAGTATACTTAGTGATGGCTATAACCATCATGGATCCACCGGTAATCCAACACTTTTCAAATTTTCTAAAAATGTAACTTCCATCAAAACACATTTAATCAAGCAATATCTGATCCATAAACATGTCAAAAGTTCAAAAGAAAAAACAAAAAAAAAAGGCGAGAATTATCGATATAGCAGAGGAGGAAGCAAGACTTAAAAAAATCAAAGCAATTGAAGCGAGAAGACAAAAGGTTATAGACGAAGTTCAACTTTCGTTACGGAGAAGAAGAAAGGAAAAAATAGCGATACAAAACGCAGGGTTTGACAAGGAAGAAAGATTGCGTCAGAAACAAATTAGGGATGCTGCGAAAACGGGTAGTGACAAAGAGATGTTACAGGTTTTTGTAACCACAATGCAATTTAGGCTTCCCTTAGTTAAGCAAAAATGTTAATTAAGAAAGAAGTGAGCCACCGTTTGCTTTATTTACCTATGTTCTTTGTACGCGCCAGGACAGGAGATTCTAAGGGTGCATTCCATTAACGCCCGAAATGCAATTGAAGGCGTAGATTTACCGGCTATATTTCCGAAACCCGGTCATGCTCGATTTCGTTGAAACTTTGCAAATAGCTTCATTTTACAGAAAAGCTATTTTTGTGAAAAGAATTTTTGGGGAGCATTAATAAGAATGCTTTACGATGAATTAAGATTTTCTTTGTTATTAATTAACCTTCGGAGCCGGGTCTGTTGTGACCCAGATCCACAATGTTTTGATCAAAATTTTAAATAAAAGATTCCGGTATATTGGTAAATAATATATAAAAGAATAGCGTAAAATTTAGAAAATAAAAATAGAAATGAGTCGAAAATTAAATTTAAATTGTTGTTGTCCTAATGATACTGATTATTTTTACTTGATACGAATTCATCTTACTTTCGTTTGTTGTAGATTCGCGAAGATCTGAAAAAAGTTATTGAAACAGGCATAAAGTGTGTGTACACTTCGGTAATTATACCAGAAAAGATCAAATACGATGGCAAATCAATATTAACTATTAAAGATGTTAAGTACCGACTGAGGAATAATTTACATATAGTTGGTTGGGGAAAGGAAGCAATAACCATGAGCGCAGCACTTGAACGTATCGTTCGTAAACAATTAAAAAAGGGATGGATGGTTGTACCACGGAAATCACTTTTTATGATGTGGAGTTATCCAGAAGCATTTCCCAGACTGGACAGTCGTATTTCATATGTTGAGGCTGGAACTGACGGCGAGCCAGATCTGAAAACTGTAGAAGCTACTAGAAAAATCCTAAATTACTGTAGAAAGTTAAAGAAGAGAGATCTTTTGATTGTTATGATCTCGCAAGGAAGTGATGATCTTCTCTGCTGTCCACGAGACACAATTACATTAAGGGATAAACTTAGAGTGATAAATAGGTTGAAGGCTGTTCAAGCAACTCCCGAAGAAATAAATACTGTAAGAAATAAGCTGTCTGCAATTAGAGGTAGGCAGATAATTCTACAACCATTAGTTACAAATTTTAGAATTTCAAAATCCCAAAATTCTAAAATTTCTGAGATCTGGTACCCCCAGAAAAGATCCTAGTTACGCAAATGTCCAAAACTCGTGCTACATTAAAGACGGTACATAAAAAATTTTAATACAGGCGGCGATCTAGCACGATTTGCTTACCCAGCAAGGGTCATCACTCTAATTACATCAGACGTTTCCGCTAAACCAATGAGTCAAATATCAGGTGGACCATGTGCCTTCGATCCAAAGGATGTGACAAGCTTAGGCATTTTAACAAAATACAGACTCATTAATAGATTACCATTAACTGTAAGAGATTTAGTGGAAGAAACCATTCCATGGGTCATGGCTGCCGATAAACAATTAGATGAGAAGAAGAATTATAAATTCGTTCATGAGTATGTGATAGCCTGCAACGCCGATGCCATGGAATGTATGTCCACGGACGTGTTCAGGCTAGGTTTATTTCCTTTAAAGCTTAATTCCACTTGTTTTGGAGAAATCCAAGAATTTGCTCGAGAATACGTTAAACTTGCTTCCTTAATGATACTAGCCGTCGAAGGTAAAATAGATAAACTAGATATGTACGAAGCGATGAAAGAAAGTCCTATTTGCCCATTGACGGACAAAAAGATTCAGGAAATATTTCCTGCGAAAGATAAATGGGGTTTGGGGTTGTGTCTCCTGTTAGGAGGACGACCATCTGTCAATCTTCATCCTAATCCTGGTAACGGCGGACCTAATCAGGAACTTGCTGTATATTTTTCATTATATTGGTACTTGAGAACGCAACAACAACCGATTTTACGAGAATACACGGTTTGGTTCTCGGGCGGTAGTTCTTATGGTAAAGATGGCAATAGCGATGCGGTCGGGGCATTTGGATACAAAAGTTTGGCCCCTGATGTTTATTTGACTTACGACAGGACGAGAATGCGGTATGAGGATGCTCGCGATAAATGGCGGAGACTTTGCGATGAAAACCGTCCTTCGTCTGAAATAGCGGTGAGTGAACCCCTTATCTATAACATACTTGAATTAATATAGCCTCCCCAACCCAGTATTGGCGCATTGCGCCGCCTCCACTATTTTTTATACTTTATTTTCTTTGATAGGATGCGTTTAAAGAATTTAATGATGTCGAACTTATAAAGGAAAAACATGCTGCTATTTTTCCTCATAAAGTACTTGCTAGGAACGATACAAATTTAATGTTTTCGTCTATTAACGACGAGGATGACTTGGTGGAACTAGAGAGTGGAAATTATTATACATTCACGAACGTTGGAGATCTCCATATCATACGGATTGCTCGTTTTCAATGTAATTGTGATAGTGTTTGTCATGGGCATGGAGAAAGGATATGTACTGATAATGAATGCCCTATCACTCAAACATTGTTGACAGAAACGAAATCAAAATTTCAATCTTGCTGTCGTGTTGGTACCGTAAAAGATTTCGGATAATTGCTGTAAAAATTCATCGTAAATAAAGTAGAAAGTGTTTGAACTACTTCGGGAAATAAAGGAACATATGACAAAAGGCTGTTTATGGAATCAAATGTAACCCATCCATTGTACAATCAATATATTAAACTGCAACTGGACTTACTTTTATTTTCATTTTAAGTCAAAGTGGATGTTACGTTTTAATTTTTACATTGTCATTTACTTATTTTGGTTTTCATTTTTTTATTGATATTACTGATCTAAATTTAACTGTTTCAAAGATATTGTTTATTCAATGTATCAAAAGTTCCGGTAACAACTATGATAATAAAAGATATTTCTAAGCGAACAATGGCAGATAGAACGATTGACCGTCTGCCGTTTGAATTCGACAATTAATTTCAAGGTGGAATTCAACGTTCGTTGAGGAGGGATCGTTTAAAAGATGGTAAGAAATTCCAGAAGAAGGAAGATCTTCGCATGCTTGGAAACCAGCTTCGATATAATAAGAAACTCCAAGCTGAATAATGCCGGGTTATATTTCTTAAGGCTTTGCGACAGCCGAATCTCGTTCGCGGACCTATTCATCGTCTTTCATGCTATTTCTTCCGTCGAGCTTTCCTTGCTCTCTTGAGAACCGGCAATCAGATACTTTGATCTGATCGAATGAGATGAAAATGAATAAATTAAACATTATATATGGGCTTGAAAGCTGAATTGTATACAAAAAATACATCAATTTTGGAAATAAATTTACAGTTTGCACATTTTATCGCTGAACCTGGATCAAAATGACTCGTGCAGAAATGACTTAGAGAAATTAATAAATTTACGAATTAATTTACGTTCGTATATTTATTTCTGACTTACAAGTTATCCAACTAAGATAACAACTAACGACTCGGAGACAATCTCCGTTTCGAACAAAGAAGCAGGAAGCACCCGTCAGATATACTTGTATAAAGATATCCCTTTGAGATCATAAACGACAATCGTATTTGAACATCGAATCCATATCTTCGTACAAGGATGATACTGCGACGAGGAAACAAAGACCGTGATCGTATCTAAATGGAAAGCAGAGCGACGGAGAAAGAAGATTAGGAAAAAGAAAAATTGACAGAGAGATGGTTCAATCGGGTAAAAAAAGGGGGAGGCTGTATTACTGCTGTGATATCGAGGACGAGATATCGAGGACAGTCGCTGGTAGACCTTCGATGCTCGAAGCTATGTACATTCTCGTGCAACGTCGACCTCTTCGAGTTACCCGTCAGGCAAACTGTGGCATTTCATGCCACGAATAGAGAAATGGCACAATATCGATGATTTTTGCAAATATGTAAAAATTGCGGCAGTAACTATTGTCCATCGATGACAAGAAGTCTCGTGACGGGACGACACAGGGGTAAGAGGGCGTGCTAGTTTTAGTTTTACACGAGTCTAAATAATAAGCGCGACCGCTTCGACTAATCATACGTCAGGACTTAAAGTACGTGTGAGGCGCGATCAATCAGATTGCGTTATTCTTCCAGGACTTTCCGTGATCGGTGAAGAGATAGAAAGATGACTAGCGGGACGGCTTTTTTCATTATTTCTTAATCGGGAGAAGCCTACATTGCATGTGGGTGTACAGAGATATCGACGCAACCTCGGGGGACCTAGGGAAGACCAGCGTGGCTAATGGGCATGTCATTTCGCGAATCTACGAGCATATAAAACCGAGAACTCTTTCGGTTGTGTTCCAATTCCCGCGACATCCTATTTGACCTGGTATCCTTATAAAACGAGTCGTTTTAAACCTACCTTAGGATCCAGAAGTTTTCGAATCTATCGGAGTTTCTCGATGGTTCTCCTGATTTGGGATGGGGTTTAGTAATTGGAAAGCGGATTGATCATTTCAAATGATTTTTCGATCATTCGACATGAATCGTATATAGTTATTTTATTAAGCTAATAAAAGCACTTGCTATTTTGTAATAAAATTCTAACGATAAGACTTTTTTCAAGGCGATAAATGTTTATTGGCAGTGTTTTGTTAAACACCCCAAAAAGGGCCATCAAATTTTTTAATGGAAAGTAAATCCAACGACGCGGGGCAATTCTATAAAGGCTTCAAACGTTCTTTAAATTCAACGGACATGCTTCTTGATTCTTCCTACGCTGTTTCGACCAAATCCGACTCCATTGTCGCAGTTGAAACCCCCTTCTAATTTTTTAGCCTTCCAATGTGAACCGCGGAGAGGAGGGAACGGCCAGTAATTCAACGAAACTTCCCTAATTAATCAGACTCCCAATTAGTCGAAGTAACGAAGGTCGAATGGTTATAGGGTAAAGAGGAGCATGAGAGGAAAGGCGAAACAGTTCGAAAGGAGAAGAAACGAGAATTCAGAGAGAGAGAGAGAAGGCCGGTGAAAGAAGAGAGATGACACTAATTGTAAGTCACGTCGAAGGTGATCGACAAACGGGTTGCCCGATTTCCCTTGAAATTACGTTTCGCGTCCTAATTCCAGGCGGTAAAAGGACCAACTTGTAAAGACGGTTTCTTCATGTTTCGTAGTTCACCTTTAATTTCTGCCGTTTTTAACGTCGCGTCGATCGTATTCGACACATGCGTTCTGTTTGTCAGGTCATTTCGAAAGTCTTTGCGTATTTTAGTGACATGGCCGCTTATCCGAGTGACACCTGCCGATTTTGATGAAATTTTGGCTTGATGTAGAGTTCGAAAAAAAAATATCTGACAGGTATTTTTATTCTTGGTTGTCGTTTGTGTTGAAGGGTGAATGTACCTTTCAGATTTTGAATTGAAAAGTTTACCTGATTTTCACCACTCTGTCGTTCGTAATTTAAACGGGAATAAAGAAGACATCTAAGAAAACTTTATTCGAACTTTCGAACTGTCCGATGCACGTATCGAAATACCATCGGAGAATCTTCAATCAGTTCCTCTCGCTTGCTTCCAGTCGAACCGTTAAAGAAAACGACCGTGGATTGGCGAGAACGTCGCTATGTATTAAAATGAATCACCGAGTCAACGATATTCCGGGAAACTCGTATCACTCGGGTAGCGCATCACATTATGCTAACTGCCCGCGTCACAATATTATCGAATATTTGCCTTTACTACTTGCCACCAATATTAAAGTACATATAATTCACTGGTAGTACATTGATTTAATTCTCTTAAGGAAAATCATTGGCATTAGTAAGTAGGTCCAGACCCGTTCTCGCCATACTAAAAAATTCTCGTTACGCCGATGGCGAAATGGTACTTTGCAAGAGTAGGTAAAGTGTACCGATCTATAGGTTAATATAAGCGTATCACTTTGCACGTGGGTGTCGTTGCTTAAAGTATTAGAACACTCGTGTTCAGCATGCACGTTTTTAGCAGCCGGTGATTTTGGGACGCGTGGCAGGAATACCGGAGACTAGCGTGTTAGAAAAGGGTGGGTTGGCACCGTAAAGGGGTAACAGCCGTCACTGTACCATATGCCTCGCACATTACTCGCGAAGGAGGAGAGGAACTCGTAAAAGTGCGACACACATGATTTTTATTTCTTTTACCGTTTTCTTCGCTGCTTTGTTACGCTTCCTTTTATACCTTCGAAAATCTAAGTTTGATTTATGCTTCTCATCGTCAGTGATTTGATTATTCTCAACTCTATGCTTCGTATACCTCATTTTTGTCTTTTTAAAAACCTATTCAATGTTAAAAAATCAGTGAATATTTATTACGGAAAATAATTTCAAAGTAATTCTAATTAATGCTGGATCAATTTTACATCAATTATATTAAAGTTCTTTTTTTTCATCAGAAATAATTTTTACACGTAATATGATCATTAATATCAGCAAAAGATGAAATATAAAAACAAGGTAGCCTGACATACGGTCACGAGACGTTATTTATGAGAATTTCGACGTTTGATCCGTTTCTCGTTGTCTCGAGTCCCGTGAGAGGTTACCGTCTGTCCCCGTCAAAAGAATACCTACATTAATCAATGTCTCGCTGACTTTTTATCGTCGCTTCTACTTATATTCTTAATATCGAATAAATTTTCAGCTTTGCTTAGATCACGCCCCAGTTTCTTTAATACTCTGTAATTTTACAATACAATTTAGAAAATATTTGTAAATATTAAGAACGTGCGAAGTACTCCGTTCGCCCCTGTGCCCTCCCGCTAGTCATCTTTCTATCTCTGCACTTTCTATAAAACGCAGGTACCATTGTTAAACCATTCTATAAAAATATAAAATCCAACCTTATTCGAGTAATAAAAGTTGAAATCATAAAAATTCCATTTCACGTTATAACGATCTGTGTTTCGATCGTAAAAGAATTATTCTTCAGTCAAGTTCAATAGATGCTGCTTCAACATTCTTGGCTACATTTCTTTGTCGACTAACGTTCTCCCGAGAACGCCCGGAGAATTGCTTTCTTCCGTCTACTGAGCGGAACCACACGCGAACGCGAGGTCGAGTCCTTATTTCCGGTTGCTTCAGCGGAATTTCGTTCACGTAGTTTTAACCTATATCATTTTCCCTTCCAAAATGTCACGGGACGTACCGGGACGAAAGAAAAAAAGACCTGCTTCACCCCGTATTATACGTATTCTCTCATCTGACTCGGGTCTCACTGGGGATCCCCTTACAGTCACGATGTTTCCACCGATAATCTTTGTCAACATTTTTCTTCTTCATCTTATTATCAGTGACGAGCGATTATTCTACGAAAATATTTTCTTCGTTACTTTATCAAAATTTAATTTATTTCTCAAAATCTCCTCCACATCTGTCTGTATTCGTTCCATTACCAGTAAAATCCGTCCGTTCTTCTTCGAAAATCAACTAAAGCGAGAAAGAAGATAGACAGAGCAGAGATTTTCGAAGTATGTCGCAAATATATCGAGTGGAGCGACGGTTTAGCCGGGCCCTGTGTATACGGACGTTTACGTATCACGTTATTGGACAAAAGTTGCACCATCGGTTTTAGACGTGACGCGATCTGATTTATCGCCCGGCGCGGATTTTTCGGTACAAGAGGGAGAAACTACGAGACGGGCCATTTTTCTCAGGCTGCAGCTGGATAACGTGCTACCCTCTCCCTTCCTCTTTCAACCCGCCACCCTTTTTCACTCTCGTTCCCTTGTTTCGCGCGCTATTCTTTCTACCCACCAGTGAAATATATAAACTCCATACGTTTGCTGAGGCCGCCAATGGCGTCATCTATTCGCTCATTGCTATATAGGCGGTAAAAAAAGTAGCAGCTAACATATTACGGAAGTTATCGAGTGCACGGATCTTGTTCGCGAACGACTAGATCGGAGGAATCACGGGGACAGATTCTCTATGTTTTGAGTAATTGATGTTATTATCGGTGCGGTATTAAACCCCTATATTGATATTTGTTAAAGAAATAATAGGACACTTATGTAGTACATACTTCATATGAATTTAATAGATTGCGAACAGATATGAAGTTTCAATTCGGTTGGCTGTAGATTTTTTGTTTCTGTTTTCTTTTTTTTTTTTCTTACCAGAACGCGAAGAGCATCAAGATACTGCATCAGCTTCTCGAAGTTCGTGGTTGGATTTAAGCCGTATTGTTTCTTCCCGAATCATTTTCAGTGCACGTAATAAGCATGCGTTTCTGTTCGCGATCCACGGATCTCCAGCAGGGATTTTCGAAAGGCGAAACTGTGCTGCTGTAGGTGGAAAGATACACCCCGACTGCAGGTGAATAAAGGATGAGAAGACGCCTTGGGATTTCTGGTACAAAAGGGATCTCTCGTTTCGCGGTGAGCTGCCCACAATCTCCAGTATGAATTTTCATCACGATGGAAGCTGATTTTTATATCGCGCATCACGACAGAAGCGAATAAATTGCTTTAGTGCCACGCTATATGTGTTGGGCTGTTGTGATTGTGTTCGTTTATTTGTACAATCGTTTTTATAAGAACGTAAAAGGCGAAAGCAATCATCGTCACCGTTGAAAGTTGGTCACCAACGCCTCGAGGGTCTAAGCAAAAAATTTATCACCGCTAGATGCTGATAGTCGGTGAGCTTCTTCAATTATCGACTTGATACGTTCTTGCTCCGACGCGGGAAAGCAGGGTTTTGTGCCTGGAACAGCTTAAACGAGCGAAAAACTTTTGATAGCACGCTAGCAGATTCTTCAAGGTAAAGCTTTACCTACCGCCCTGGAAAATTGTTTCCTTCGTTTAACAGTTTTAATTCAGTTACGCGGAACATTAGACGCATCCTGATAATGAACACTTGAGTTTCTATCGTGAAATGATTATACAGGGCGTTCCAAGCAATTGGATTCAGAAGAAGGGGCCTTTCCTAAGAATAACGAAGTCTCAGATTTTAATACTTTTAAAGATTATTTTGATTTGAAAGCGATAAAATGCGATGTAGGTGTTTAAGGTATATACGAAGTACTGTTCATCGATCACAAGAAATTCCATGAGAATAACGATTGGCTAATTATAATGACGCTGTTAATAAAAAGAAGCTTGTTTTTGAATAATTGGAACGCATTGGAACTCGGACTCACGTTTTGTATTAAACGTCTTCTTTATACATCGAGCTAATTATATGTTCAAGCAATTTTCCCGAGTTGTTTATCATATTCTCTTAACTTTTGGTTAGCAGATCGCCGTCTACGTTCAAAAACTTGGAGGCTCTTTGATGGAGTTAATTTAATCCTGAGGGAAACTTAGCTGACGGAAGTACGTCGAATAAGAGGATGATCTAAAATTCTGCTACTTTTTATTCATTTTGATAGACGGTCTGTTAGCTTGTGATATGTTCACGGCATTCACCATGCATTCTTCTATCCAAAGGAAACAAGTTCCAGTTTTGTTTTGGAAATATGGCAAAACTATTCCTTCCCTCATGCAACGTCTGTACCAGTCGAATTCTTCTTTATTCGTCGCAGTTTCTTTCAATAATCTGACAAATTTGCTTGATCGCATTGGATGTTCTGATTTTGGTCTCATCCAATGTTTCTCTAAACCACTTTTATAGGTTACAGTGTCTATAGTTTTAATAATACCAAGTGCTAAATTCTGAAGATTGTTCTCCAAATAATCGTAGATCGATACTGTTTTTTCTGGTACAAGCTTCTTCATTTCTAACATCTTCTTGATAGACGGTTCGTGACTACCAGAGGCTAACTGAATTCATAGACATTTTTGAGTGCATTAAGTTAGGTGAAAAGTTGTTAAAGTAAGTTGAATTAGATTAGGTTTAATTTATTAATTTTATACTCATGAATAAATTTATCCTTTTTTTTTTATAGTGATTGTTGGTTATAGCGATAGGTATTATTCATGTTATTTTATTGTAAACGAAAAGAGAAATTGGAAAACCTAAAAAAATGTCGTTTAAGTGATTAATGATGTAAGAATTTTCAGTTGAATGCTGGTTGAGGTTTGAACAAAACTAGAATTGAAAGTACCCTTCAAAATCAAAGTTCTTTTGATTACAAGACCAATGGGGATTTAATTGGAACATTTGGCAGTAGTTTCGCATAAAAGGAACATTAATCTACTAACCGACATCCAATAGCGTCCGAGTGCCCTTTGGAGATCAACGACCGCATTCACATTTTGTTCCTTGAAACCGTATAAAACTCGAATTTTCAATAACTTTGGCAAATTGTGTTCCATGTTACTTATTAAAGGAAGGTCGTGAGTATTTGCCCAAATACCATCGCCATTTTTGCCAAACGGAAAGGGCCAATCGTAGGGAATCGAGTATGTGCTTCGTAACATCTTTCTTCTATCGAAGTTTGTTGGCTTCAATCCAGAATGCTGGTGTTAATAAAATACATTTACTATAAAGATATCGGTATTAAAACGGTAATTAATACATTGACTGCTGGGAGGGTCATCGATTCCTCAAATATTGGAAAATCGAATAATTAGGAAAATAGAAGTTAAATGTTTGTTTCTTTTTAAAAAAATAGCGATAAATATGATAAATAAAATACGCAAAAGTTTATAATATCTTAAAAATGTTTTAAAAACATCTGATATACTAAATTTGGAATTTCATAAAGAAAATATATCAACACATCTTTTCATTTTTTTTTAAGGGCAGTTTGTGTAATAAGGAACATCTTTGTAAACGAGCTGCAGAAAGGAAACGGTTAATTTCATTATCTAACCTGAATTGTTAGCAGGGTCTTTGATTGTGATTCAGGTTTCAACGGTTCAAACATAATAAGTCGACGAAGTTTCGGTCTGTGTGGACTAGGATAGATGATGGCGCTAGTCTGGTTATCAAAGGTGGTTGCCAATTCGGCCTGGTTGCTTACGGATCGATGAAGGTACTCGTAAGCCGTGAGATTCCGATTTATCGAAAATATTCTGGAACGAATGTCATTGGGCCGGAAGCAGAGCCTCTCGTGATCGCAGTAATGCTCAAAGCATTCGTTTCCTTCGTTCTCCGTCTCTTCTCTGTCCTGGTAAGTCACTTTGCCTTCGACAAGGTCCACGTTTGACTTCGATTTCTGACGTTCTAACGTTTCTTTGCGATGGTAACTCGTCCTACCGTCATCCAGCACTTCGAATACATTTTTAAAAACGTCTGTAGTGGAAAATATAACGGCCGGAAACTCGAAGAGGCAGAAGTTGTAGGTGGAGGTTGATCGGTTGCCACAGATGGCGCACGAGTTGCCTCTGAACGTTACACCATCTTCTTTGATCTATGGGTAAAATGGTACATATATCTACCATTTCTGGCTATTGTCTTATTTCTTTCAATATATTAACATGTTGCGATCGAACAGTAGATCTACCCCGTTGAACACATCAGTTTGATAGTTTCAGGAAATCGAAAAATTGTCCTAAACTCAACAAGTTATACCTCGTGCTCGGAATACAAGGTTAGATTAGGTTGAAATTCAAAATGGGGGATTCAATATGGCACATGAAAAAGTAAAAAACAATTGGACCTTTACGAAACAGAACTTCTGGGAGTTTTCCAACTCGTTAATTTGGAATCTGCAGTTGAATTAAAAAATGAATATGTAAAATGATGAATGAAAAATTGCGCACAATGTAAGAAATTTCGAAAATAAAGTTCAGAATAAGTTAAAATTAAATTTCAACTGGAAATCATGGAGTTGAGGGTAAAAAGGGTGAAGTACATTTCAGCACTCGGAAAACTATGTCCGGGTATTAGATATCTGCATTGGAATGAATTTCATCTCGCTGGTTTCGATTACCTTCAGATCAACTCCATCGGCCATCGAAACTTCGTAATCACCTCTTCCGGATATGCTGACTCGAACTTTGTCTGGCATCGATAAAGTACAGCTAACTGTTGACTGATCGTAGAACACCGTGGCATAGTTCTTGTGTTCCACGCGACATGTCAACTGAACGGAGACAAAGCCATCCTCGATCAATAGCCCAGTCACATCTTCCTCGTATTCGAAGCTGTGTCTTGAGGTAGCCTCGTCAAAGTGCTTCAGATTCGCAAACGATACACCGTAGTTTTGAGTTCCTTGCTCCTGGCTTTCTTTAGATACAAAATATTCTAGAATTTCTTCTTCGGTCCAGTCACACGTCACTGGTTCCTTTTCTATCGTATATCCGGTTGTGATACGCGTGCCATCTAAAATCATTACTCATTATAAACTTCATTTGGAAATTTAAGAACTTGGCACAATAACAATTAACCCTTTGCACCAAATCTGTATATTAATACGTAACCCTAAGTAAAATTCTTTTTAATTTTTATTGAAATTTATGTTTCCATTTTTCCCTAACAATTTAAAGGGAATACCAACGGCCAAATAACCTCTGCCCGAGAACTCGCTCGAGCCACTTCAAGAAGTAATGAATTTAAAAGCACTTAAGGCTCCCACGGTTGTATTAAAATCGACATTATCGAAAATGGAGCAAACTTTTCTGACCCACGGAACTTCTACCCACCAGAGACCGCGTTTCTCGTGTAACCGTAAAATGTTTCATCCTTAGCTTGACTGATAATTTCTTTTTATAGGGGAATGTATCAGAAAAGTTGAACGAAACATAAATATGATTAATCTGTGAAATATACGAGGTGTTCTGGTAAAGAGAATGTTATTAACAAAAATTAATTACTGCTGGAAAAATTGCAAAAATACTTTTCTTTTAATAAAAAATCAAGGTTGCCTCCACTTTTGCGACTAATCATGTAATTTCTTTTTATGCAATAATGCAGGTAACACAGTGGCATAGTACAAAATATGTTACAATATATGTTATATATCGAGTTTGGCAAGGGTAAATATTTATTTTTGACGAAGATGCAAAATTATGCAACGATTCACGGCTGCAGCACGTAAAACGTTTTCTCAGAACGTATGCGAAAACCAAGTTCATAAACTTTCATCCAAACTTTCCTCATCTCGACTGTACTTTGTTTGCTCGTTGAATACACTTGCCACAAACATTCGAGAAACCGGTGACAAGCAAATTTTTCTCTTTTTTGAAATTGCTTTGATTGTTCACTTTCTTATTAAGAATTTTTAATTATGAACAGCTGAACGATGCTAAAAGTAAAAAAAAATTAAGTAATTTAAAAATCTCGAATTGAAATCCAAAAATTTGAATTCTAAAATATAAAAATTTAAAGGTATAATATTCCCTTTAACGTTAAAGGAAATCTTGTACTAACAGACGGATAACGAGATTTAAGAAGACGAAAGAAGAACAAAGGATCATTTTGTAAAGTGACAAGAACTTACCAGGGAATTCGACAATCAATTCCCCATTAGAATTCAGCAACATGTTGGTGCCGTCAGCTCGACGTGTGAATTTCTCGTTGACCTCGTAGTCGGAGGCTGTCCTCACGAGTAATCGATGGTGTACGCTTACGACCAAGTCGTCGGCCACCTCGTACCATCCACCATCGTGATCCAGCACCGTGTACCCTAACACTTTGACCGGTGTATCATCCATTGACAGGATACTGTCATGATCCTGAGGACACATCACGTTCGACGGATCAGTGAAAAGGGTGGCTCTTCCATTGGTGTATCGCAATAAACATAAGGGCGAAAGCTTCTATGTAAATAAAGTCTTACGTTTCTAGACAAGAGAGGGATTCCTTAGGTCTAATTCATATTGTATAAAAAAAAAAGAAGAATTCTAGACCGAAGAGGTACTATTTCAATTATTATTTAAATAATTCGTCTGGTCCAGTATGAACGGTCAAATATCATTCAAAACCTGAACTCTTGTCTTTAATTGAATCAGATCGTTCTGGTGCTTGGATCAAAACGAAATTTAACGATCACTTGATTCACCGTCGATGAACTCTGCTGTAACGGTGTAGGAGTTCCTTCGACCACTTTAACCGCTTGAGGCCTCGGCAAACTCGACGACTTTCTTCTAATTTTAAAAACTTTCTTCTCTCTGCTTGATCTGTCACCTTTAAAATTGCAGTTCGCGTCTTCGATAAGCTATTTTCAGTTTAAAAAGAATTTTCTTTTACATAGGATGTGTTTTGTAATTGTATAATATTCATACGTAGAAAAATGATTAAATCTGAAATTTGGAGCTTGGAAATTAGAATTTTACACTTTCCAAATGCAACGACGAAATTCGTAAAAGTAAATAATACTGATATATAAAGAATCAGTGTGTTCACCTTTTTGAAAATTCGTGTCATCTTTATTGTCTTCGTATTCGTCAAATGGAAGCTTTTCGAAGGATGTACAAGTTACAATGACTCCATTAGGTCGAAGAACAATAATTTTACCATCGTCGAGATACTTCAAAATGGTTCCATTTCTCAGAAACTTTCTGCAAACTTCATGGACGCCATTGATGTTACCGTATCTTTTCGATGTCCCATAGCATTGACGAATATAAAATGGATTATCGGGTTCGGTACCGATGATTGGTTCTATCAGTAATCCAGTCGGCCATGATGCTTTGAAACTGACGCTTATATTTTGCCAACTGTCCTGAGAATTTCTTTCTTCCACTAAATAATATAAAATTTTATGCCTAATTGATTATTCCATAAAATGTACACATAATGGTGATATAAATTATGAAAATTTGAAATTTAAAGTTGTGAAATTTTGCAATTTGGAATTGATTAATTCTGAATTTAATTTAAATCGGTTACTAACAACAGGAACTTTAAAGGAAAGGAAGAATAAAGAAATACTAACGCGATGGGATCAAGAATTTCTCAAAGGCAAGGATAATCCCAGTTCCAGTCGTTAAATGAAACATTTTGCTGCTTTCACGACTGCCATTATTAATTCGCTGAAATAATCGTAAACTGTAATCGTGTACAGTAACTGTAATCCGTATGTCTTTGTCTTTGTAAAGCCAGTCGTCCATTTCCACTTGCACCAAAGTACCATCAGCTGAAGAAAAAGTTTTCTTGGTATTCTTGATTTGTACGCGTAATCTGCCAAGATCATAGCCTACGAACTCATAGTCTGTTTCTTTTTCAACTGTATGAACCGATAAGCTTTGTTTCGTTGTTGAAAAGGACCTTAGGTCTGGACTCGACGTCGAGCTAGCTTTTTCAGTAGTGGCTTTATCATCCTGTCGTTTCTTTTTCTTAGAAGCCGTTTTTTTCTTCTTCTTTGAACTTTCTACCGTCTCCTCAGCAGAAGTGGTTTCTATGGAAGAAAAAATATAGATGTTTGTTTTATTCGAAGGGATTTAAAAAAAAATAATAGAGTATCCTGTAACGAACGATTTTATAGCGAACGAATGGTAAAACGAAGCAACTTGTAGAACGAATTAGTTCGTGATTAGTCTACGATGAACGAATTTTTAGTCAGGTATAAATATATTCACTTCTCACAAATAAAAGAATCGCAGGATGGCAAACTGTATCGCTACTCTTTCGATCCACAGCACTTACCCGTTTCCAGAGTTCGTTTTTGTCGAAGTAAATCCCGCCGTTTCGCAAGATCCCTAGCCTTCAAGGATCCAGGCAGAATGAAATCTTCGTCGCGGAACAGCAACGTCTCGTCGTACATCTCGGCTCTCTTCATCATTAATCTTTCGATCAATTCGGTCGTCTGCAATATGTACAGTTCTTCCTCGCGACGTATCCAATCCTTTTCTTCAGCTACCACGTACTCGTTGAAGTCGCGAAGACGAACTGGCGTTCGAATGTTGCAAATTCGTTCCTCCTGGTGCACTCCATTAACTATCCTCTTGTTACCGAAATACAGCAACAACGAATCCGTCGGTTCAAAATACTGAGACTCCGTGTGATCGAACGTTTGAAGACATTCGTAAAGAAGCTGCAGAAAAAACCACCTCGACAACACTTCCACGTCGTTGAAATTTTTCAAACTCCGCTTGTCATCTTTTCTTTTATTAAATATATTGTTTTGTAAATAACCGGGTGCTAACAATTCACGGGGATCTATCAGATCGAACAGAGAAGCACATTCGACAAAAGTTGGCACGATTTTACCGTAATCAATATTCCCATCGCTTTGAATGTGAACTTTGTCGGTGGATTTTAAGGTCAGATCGGAGGACGATTTGCTGCGTTTCAACGAGGAGATTGAACTTTGTAAATTCATCATACTTTTCAATACGGGTTTTTCGGTGTTAAACACAGGTGGTCCAAATATCATTCTGTCGAACAATAAAATATGCAAATAGTGTTTGATCTCTTCGTTGCTAATTTCAACATCGAAGTAACCTCTAGTTTCATCGAGGTGACGAGAGTACTCTTTACGTTTTTTCTCAGAAATTTCTGGCTGCGAATTAAAAATGCCGATACTCGGGTGCCAGAAGATCGATAAAATATTGTTTACTATGTTGGCTATGGCTGTGGTGTTATGGAGAAGGCGAACGACTTCGTTCATTGAGTCTCCATGGATTAATTCGATGTCAGGTTCCTCATTATTGTAGACCTCGTTTAGACCGAATTTAAGATTCAGGAAATCTAATTTTTGTTGAATTAGGGTAATGGAGGATTGGATGACAGGTTCGGTTTCTGTCTGAAGGAAATTATATGTTATTAGTATTTTTATCCGGGGTCGACCATGTCCCCTAGCTTGATTAAAGTATTTAGTGTTATCCTAAGCCTTAGAGTATAACAAATTTTTAAAATTGAGTGAAAATTATAAAAAATATAAGAAGAAGAATCACTATGGGTTATGGTAAAACAAAAGGTAAGTGCTAAACTGTGATCAGAGTGTCAAAATTATTTATCTGAGAAATCATACTCACCGTTTCAGACACATTAGCATCACCTTTCTCATTAACAAAGTTTTCAACTTCTAGTTTTCCCTCATTTTCTTCAATTTGCATCAACATAGCCAGCAATACCAACGGCACAGTAACACATTCCGGAGGTATCTCATCCAAAAATGCCTCATAAACCTTCGTATCCACTTTTTCTTCTACAACGTTAAGAATACTCTTGTCCACGTACATACTTTTCAAGTAATTACTGTGCTGTCGATGAAGATCATAAATATCATACACGAAATACGATACATTGTTGTACATATCCTTCTTCATAGTTTCATATTCATCTTCATCAAATTCCTGTGGAACTTTTGGCGGACAGAAGGTTAAGAACGCAATGTCACATAAATGTGGATGGTTTTTAGGATCCATCGATCGTTTCTCGATTGTTGTCCAAAAATTAAACAAATCGGCTTTCTCAACGAAATACGCTTCATGAAATTGTAATTTCTTGGTGGTCGAAGATTCGGTTGGTTCCTGTTCCACTCTTCGATCCAGTTTTTCGTTCGGTCTTAGAATCCTGAGGATGCAGGTTGTCGGTACATCCACCTCCATCAAGTGTTCCGGTAGATCTGGATTCTGAAAACCTGTGAGAATCACGTAGAGATTTGGTCCGTTTAACGGAGCATCATCGACGTAAACGGTATCCCGCCATTCCTCGTTGCGTTTCCTCAGTTTCGTGTTTGCCTTGAAGTTGAATACCTCTGGGTCAAACCCCTTTGATTTTGGTTGTCCTGTTGAAATAATGATGGCAGACACGGTAAGATAAATAGAAAAAAAGGAGGAGGTTACACAATTCGATCAGTATATTTAAAAAAATTTTTTTTTATGTCCTCTCTCTTTCAATCAACCTTCTCTTATACAACATAGTTACGAGAAATAAGACCACTTTTTGCCAAGAGGGCAAATTTTTGGACGGAACTGGTCTATGCACCTACCCCAATCAGCCACAGTCTGCATGATCAAATACTCTTCATCTATTTTACGCTCCAGATCAGCCAGTTTTTTCACCACACCAATGTTCTCTTCTTTGGCTCGGTATATCAAATATTTGATAACTCGTGCCATCAGCCAACAGGGCAGTACACCGTTGTCCTCGTTCAGAATCTTGCTAGCGTAATGACAAACGCCCTGGATCGTTGGGCATTTATCCAGGCTCTGGTTCGAAAACACTTTCACAGCGTCCAAGGTTTGCCGGTAGCTCAAAGAGTAAATTGCTTTTCGTTTACCATCTTCAGCAGCCGCGTTGAAAATTGACACGCACTTTGAGTGTTCGACGATCGTCTCGACCATCAGTATCACCATACACCACCAGCTGTCCTCGTTAATCGAGATCGCCTCTAACTCGGCACGCCAGGAATCCTCGTCGATTTGCTTCCGTCCTTTACCCGACGCATCGGACTTCGCCGTTCTCCTTTTACGCATCGTCAATCAATTTTCCAACCCCTAAGTTATATCGTACATCTATCGTATATCCACGAGATAACCTGATCGATTATCGAACAAGTGAGAAAGTCAGGGGAAACTTTTTCGAGTGCCGTATAGGGTGGGTTAAAATATTGAGTTTAAAGTTTAAGGATGTTGAAATATTGATTATGAAAATTAATTTTTAAATGAACGATGACTAAATATATTATTTAGATGGGAAGATTGTACTACAACATATAGAATCTGAAACGTCGGTCAATGAAAAATTACGTTCTTAAATTCCAAAGACATCCAAATATTTTTTCTATCAATAATTCCATTCAAATTTAACCGAAATTTAATTCAACCCTAGCTATCCTTCACTACAGAGAGAGAGACTATGTATGTCCTTTGTACAGCGTGTCGACACCTTTCAAAGTTCTCGCTAGACTGAACCTCCTCAAAGTATGCATCGCCGCGTTAGAAAAGTTTTCTAAACATCTGAAGGAAATATTTCCAGGTAGGAAATAAATGATGTCGGCCGTAGTTTGTTCCTCTCGGTATTTACTGCACGTCAATGTTGACGTTTCTTGTTTGACGATCGTGCAGGTATGGTAAATAAACGTTTGAGTTCAATAGGATGTCGCGGATGTTGAGAGAACCTACAGGAAATACTCGTATGGAATAAAAGTTGAAGGATGTTTGGGTAAATGTTGGAACAGTAGGGCGAGTGTCTTTCAATTGGAAAATGTTACCTTTTCTCGTGAAGCATGAAGTAGTTTTTTTTTTGAGGTGTTTGAACGGAGCTATTTGCAAACGAACCATGATCTTCAATTAATAGTGGTAGAGTCAATCATGATCTAAACCTACTGCAACCTAATTAAAAACAACTGCATAAAACTTTTCAAATAGCTTTCAATGTAAAGTCATAAAATTTTCTTGTAATAAGCAAGAAGCTTTCTTTCAAAAATTGAGCTTAATAATTGATCAGCTTCGAAACGTTTCCTCCTTATTCCTGTGGCGATTCACATGCAACGAAAATATCCTGAAAACTCTTTCTCCACCACGGGCTACGTTTTCATGTACTTTTTATCCCACTTTACAGCAGCCCGTTTCATGACCGGCTTTTCTAAGTTTTCAGACAGATTCTAGCAGATTCCGTGCACACCTGAAACGCCTGTCGTGCCTTGCACGTTTCAGCAAGTTTGTACAAACGAGAATTTTAGAAAACTGCTACTGGCGAAGGTAGTCGCAGAATGAAAAAATTCTTGATTGTCTCCTTCTTAACTTCTTGCTAGCGATTTTCGCTAACAACGGACATGGTCATTTTTACCGTTTCTGTCTTACAACTTTGGAATCCAACAACTTTTCATATGCCGAATAAAATATTATCCTTGTCGTTTTAAATTTCTTCTTAAATACCATTTCTTCTTAGAACCATTTCATTTCTATGGGAGCAGAGATATTCGAAGAATGTCACAGAACAAAATGACACATCCGTGAGCTGCAAAACATCTCGGCTGTTTCAATAAATTGGAAAGCCTATCTACGTTTCGTGTGAATACAACTGTCGCGCTCACACAGAATCCTCCATCTTCAATTTTCCTAATCACCTTCATCCTTGCCATCAGTTGCTGATGATTCTTACCTTGCCCCTTTTCCTTTTTGTTTGCCGAGTTCGCGTCGCGTCGTGTCGCTTTCATAATCGTTACCGAGTACCTCGTTGTCCCCGGTGGGCCAAACGCGGAAGACAGCGTATTCTTTTCATTTAATTCCCGCGACGCTCCGCGAGCTGTTTAATGGATCTGTGAATACGGCAACAGCCACGCCAGGGAACAGTGTCCATTAACAAAACTGTCGCGCGATTCGGGCCAACTTCCAAGCGCGACATATCGCCGCGCTATATCACCGGCGAATTAATTAATGAACGCAGTATTTTATTGCGAGCTCGCGAGTATCTTGACCCACTGGCAAATGCCGTCGTAATTTGCAACTAGATGCCAGGAGTCACGATTCATATGAAAGATCGAATTTTAAATATTTCAAAAACTTTAAGACTCTTTTTTTATTTTCTGCTTCTAAATTCGTGACTTGAAAGATTTGAATCCCTAATTTCAGTAGAAGCACCCGATGCACGTTTGATCGTGAAATTAAAATTTCAGAAAAAAGGAAGAAAATGAAAGCAGAAAGAAAGTTTCTGAATACCATAAAAGTGACCCTGGTAATCGAATCGTTGAATTTCAAAATTAATTGATCCCTTTGTTCTGTTTGGCTTGAATTGAGCATTTAACAAGGCTTAGTCAGTAGTAATGGAAAACGTATTACCGTAGCTGTCGTAGGGACACGAACGACCCAACGTTATCACGCGGATGTGCAGGCTGTACTTAACGACGTAACTCCGTGGAAACTGTAATTCTAGTCTAAGAAGAGGAAAAAGTTGTGGTATCTCGAGTGTTAGGTTGGAACTTGCGTAAAATACGAGTTATGGAAAAAAAAGTTAAACAAATTGCTTGCCAAAAAGTAGGTTTTTTTTTATCACTGCACAGTAGACACTTTTCAACAACCAATCGTGCCAAACTGTTCCAAGCTTCGACAATTAAACAATTCGATCAATTAATTGCATAACCGTGATTCTAGGCCAACGAAACCGTGTTACAGTTTGTTATCCCTGATTCAAGGATATACAGGATACAAGCATGGGCCAACTCCCTTACCCCGAATTACCGTCACTCGAAGTTTATTCTCGTTTTTACATTCGGCCCTTCTTTTTTCCCCGCCGTTAATCCGCGCGCTTACCAAGCGACCGGGCAAAACTGGCGCAACATCGACCCAACAAATTTAATTAATTCTGATAATTGAGAAGTTTATCAAGTCGGAATCAGCTGGGTGGATCCGTGGTCGATGCGGGAACGAGGCCGAGAACGAAGGGAAAGTCCGGACAGAGGTTTGCTAATTTGTCGACAGTTTTGCGTTCGCATGCTCTGGCTTTGCTTTTAGAAATGAAAACGAGGTTTTGGTTTTAATTAAATCATAATATAGTTTGTCGCCTGTACACGCGCGTATTTCTGCATACACCTCAAACCTTCCAGTTTACCTTTCCTTGCGCGTATTTCTCCATGGATTTTCACACCCTGTGGTTTCTTTCCTTTGGTCAATTCTGAACGCGAACGAGCAGTTATTACATCCGAGTTTAGTTTGAATTTACTAATTTTCATGGAGAAATTGAAATAGTTGGCTCATGTTGCCATTATATTATAATTGATACTTTATACAAATTTGGAGTTTAGTTTCGTAAAGGGTTTTAATAAAAATCTAGAGGTTTCCAATTAGTCTAATCTAATTTAATTCGAATTACGTCGGCTATTGACGATGACCTTAATTATTGAGTTACCCTTTTCTGTACAAGATTTCATAGGGATAAGCTAGCGATGATACGGCGAACACGACCGTAACGTGGCGGAAAGAGGCAGCAAACCGCCGAAAAGTCACTTAGCTACAATGGCACACTCGATTCGAGTTAAACGGTCGTTTATGGCCGACGAGACAGCGGATTAGCGGTTAGGTAATTGTGGAACGGGCATGGACGGACGTGCGGACAGAAGTGCAGCCAGTTTTCGAGCGGTATTCAGGAAGCTGGTTATCGCAGGTGGAAACGATGATAGGTAAGCCAACCGTGATACGTTGACCTATTTAGATCAAGAAATATCATGACAGAAGGTAAGAGGAAGAAGATACGTATAACATTTAGAAGATAGAATTTTCATGATATCATTTTTAAAGGATATGAAAATTTTTTGTTAAAAAGGGTTAAAAATGGCCTTTTAATGACAAAACCATTTGCAATATTAATTTTCTCTCGTTTATTATCAATACCATGCGCGAAAAAGTTTAGCACCTTTCTATGTAAAAAATGTACCTCACTGGTTGGGGCTTAAGAGGGTACAAAATGGAGTATGCAGAGAATGAAATTAAGCAAAAAGTTGAAGTATGAGAGAGAATAGGATAGAGAAGGAAAGCGAAGTACAGCGTTGAGCGTGCAAGCGATTTAGAGGGACCATAGTTTGAGTTTGAACAAGGCAGCGGTGTTCCTGGCGATGACCCCGCCGCACAATACTGTCCTGTTCCAGCATGTGAACCCGACAAGGACCACATATTTCCCAGGACAAACCCCTAGCCAACTTTGGTCTCGTACTTAGGATTGCCCTTCCACCACTATCAACCACGGTTACAACCTAAGACTGCTCGGCACCATTGCACTAATCCCTCTTCAACCTAACGGTTTATAACTTAACTTATACCGATATATTTTCAAGCGTTTATAAACGACCACGGAGACTATTATTCAACATAGAGAAAGATAGAAATTAAGCTATGCAACAGCTTAATACGTTGCCACATATAATATCCAATTTACTGCATTCATGAAATTTTCACGTTTCAATATCACTGTTGGCACGTGACAGCGAACCGCGTAATATTTCGATCTTCACCAATAATAGATGGAAATATCGGTGTGCATATCGTTACAGCCGAGTAGATTCGTTATAAAGGTATGTAGATACATACATTCGTGATGGCACAGAAACGTCCCACACGGGCCAACTACGGTAAACACCGAATGAATGCGTTTTAATTAAATCTCTATCAATCGAATTTGCTGGTCCACTTCACGCATTGATGAGTTTTAATTTTATCATTAGATCTTCGCTCCCCTGGAACACAAATTCCTTTCTACATATAATACGTTTCAAAATGTGATTAACATTTTTTACTGTTAATTCAATTACTGCTAATTCAAAACTAGTGGAGGGAAAGGAAAAAGTAGCGATATACTTAAAAAGTAGAAATATTCGCAATAAATAATTTCTTTATTATTTATTCACTTTAACTTAATTTATCAGAATAAACTCTACATAATTCTCTTTCGTGTCTAAAAATCTTGTCAACACATCAAACGAATATTATGTATTTCGAGAGATAAATTTTGTTAATCTTTTATACACTCGTTGTTGCAGTTTAGTTATGCGCTTTGACTGAATGATCATTTTCTGAAGCTGGCTCTCGTTTAATGGACGGGTATACATAATAATTGTCGTTTAATAAACATCGAAAAGACAGTCATAACGAGGAATACTTCAAAGAGAATTATCTGGTGGGTAACCTCTTCCATGGGAATTTCTGAAAAGACTGAATAAATATTCGTAAAAGCGACACTGTTCGAATGTGGACAGATTTTCCTTTGCCCTGTGCAGTATCAACTAACCGAAAGCCAAGGGAATCGTCGCAAACGGTTTACACGTCGAATAAAAAAGTATATATTTGAACGAGTATTTGCGAGGTATTGGCAGAAACCACAGTCTGAGTTTACCATTGCATCCGCAAGGTAAACGAGACTGGCTGTCTGTGAAGTCACATTACCCTCTGAATTGTGATTCAATCTTTATTGCAACGTTAATATTCTAGAATTTATATTATCAATACATTTTCTGCTAATGCGAATATATTCGTATTTGTATTGTTTGTTATATTCGACGGTGAATACTGATACTGATCAAAATACTGACGATGCTCACTAATTTTTATATTGAGCAAACAATTTAATATATTCTTTATTTCGATAATGGCCAACATACATTTCAACAAAAATACCTGGTTAAAATTTATAAACTAAAATAAACAACTTGAAACCACGAGAGTGGTAGAAACTTTTGCATGCCTCTAGTAACTCTTACTTAAAACTCAATATGTCACACGTTTAATTTTCTCTTTTATTTGTCACGTGTTCCCTGTACCACAGTAATGTATTCTATAGTATTGAACACCCTGTATATGTTCGTTGGGAATCCGTGTAAGTACGTGTGGAGAGGGTGGCTGTCTTTGGTGCTGGGCCAAGGTAGAAATAGAGGGAGTGTGTATCGGAGGGGTTGGTGGTAGAAGGTATCGCAATGCTTGGAATGTTTAATACCAGCGCAACGATACGGCACGGAGGAATGGCCGGCTTCAGCCACGGAATAAATCTCGCGGAATCATACCTACCTGCTGCCATTTCTTGTCTGCCAGTAAACGCCCACTTGAAAATTTTTCAACGCGCTAGCGAAGCGAAAACGCTTATTGCGCTCCGATCCTAGGATCCTTCCCTTTTTTGTTTCGCTTCTTTCTTTCTTTTAAGAACGATCCTGCATTTCCATGACTGTTTCTTCGTGCGAAAGGACGGGATTAGTCGACGGGGGGTGTAGAATGTTTACCCTCCGATTTGCGCAATTCAATTCGTATTATTCCATTTTATACAGAATAATTCATAAGTTCCTTAATAAAAATGCTATTCTACAATAAATTGTAGAAAAACCAGGCTGAACGCTTATGCTATAAGTATAAATTTCTTTGCGCCTCCTGTTGTTAGCAGCTTCTGGTTCTCCTCTCATCAATGTTTTTGCGGGTATCTGCAGGATCTCGTCACTTGTCGTTCAGTATGAGCAACCGTTTTTCCCTCGGACAGGCAAAACAAGTCGTTAATTACCTAGACCTTGTCGATAGTCAAACACCGGTGACCTTAGCGCAGGCTGGCCAGCACTTTAAGTGACGCAACGAGTCTGTCGTTCTGGCACGCGATGTTTGCCAGGAACGTTTAATTACGACCGTTGGGAGTCGACTGGACAGCATGGAACGTTCCTTAGAATTTCATTAGTAAGTTCGAGCGTGACAGAATGATACGCTTTGAAAGGATCGTCTTTTGCACCTACTTAACTATTATACATATTTTTCGATAGATAGTCTTATAGAGAAAAAGTGAAGGTTGTGAATTTAATCGCAAATTTAATAAACCCTACTTATCCAAAGCGTAAACCTTTTCCCGATAGTTTAAGTAATTTGTCGCGTTACAAGACACGTCCGTAACCTGGTTTATAATGCTGTTAGTATACTTTGTTCGTAGAGATGGTCCACCTGTGACGAATTTATCTTCCACCTTCTGTTGCTTAGTACGTTTGTTGTAAGGATCACTGTGGTACGCAGGGTACTTGTCGAAACAACCCGAATAATTCCCGCCAGGTTTCTTAGGAAATGGAACGTAAAATTGACCGGGTCCTATCATTTTCGCTGCAACTTCTTTAGGTCTTACGTACGTGGGTCCAGGAGACTGGTCTAGGTAAGGGTTTGGTGGGAAAAAGTCTAGTGGTGCACTGGCGGTCAAAAATCGACCCACGCGTTCTATTACATTAAAGAAAAATAAATCAGTATTAAATTATATTAATTTATGTTTGAATTAAATATGTATATTGTTTTGTGTCTCTGTAGTTTTATATATAATATTATTGTCTTTTTTTCTTTCCTAAATTGTTCATATTTACATATCATTTGGTTCACATAAAATTTCAAAAACGAAAGGATCAAAAATAAATATCTTAAGAAACACCTGATCCCCTGATTGTGACTGGGTCATTTTTGTCAAACGCGCTGAAAACACAACCGTGGCTAATTAACGCGTTTACTTAATAATAGGTAACCCAATGAAAGCAGTCGATTTAGTTAATTTCGCTTTTTAAAGTCTCTCGACCGTACTTTGAAAGCTTGCACCCAGCGCAAAGACAGAAGAGGGAGAAAATAGAAGAGTGTCTAAACATAGCAAGCTTTCATTTTCCAACTTTCCTTACGACAAAAATGTAATTAGTTGTGTTAGCTTGGGAAACAAAATTCTAGCGGAAGAAAAAAAGGACGGTAGAAAAAGTAACGGTCTCCAATCTCCTTTCGTGTTACGAGCTCTCTTTATATTACTTTCTTCCTCGGCAATATTGTCTGTCGTAGCCAGAAAAGGGTAATGAACAAAAAGTGAAGAACAAAAACACCGACTGGGAAACTGGGAATTAAAATTCGGATAATAGGTACTATGATATTGCTTCAAATATTTTTATTTAGTATTTAATTGCATACAAATGCAAGAAAATTTAAAACGGCCTTGTTCTGAATAATTAGTCTAATATCGAATGACCCATATTTTGAATATAAAAAAAATTAGAAACATCGTAATATTAAAAAATATACTTTACCTCTTTTACCTGTCCTCTCAGGGTCATAAAGATTATGGGCATATGGTGGAAAAGGGTTCAGACAAATATTAGTATATCCTGGCCCACCACGAGGATTAGGTTTGATCTTCGGGTTCGGTAGTTCCGGTTCCTTTTTTTTGGTTTCTTGCTTCACAGCAGAACTGAAATAACTGACCTTCTCGAAACATCCGTGCCAATCACCAGGTGTTGCATGCTTTTTGGCAGGAGAAGGTGGTAACATATGACTTCCAAGTTTTGCTTGTTCGCGTTCCAACTGCGTAACATGAGTATATCAGAAGTAGTATAGATGATTTTAATGAAAATTAAACGCAAGAAAAAACATTCTTTTATTTGTTATTATGTAATATACTAGAATTAAAATAAAATATCACTTTCGACGGATCTGCCGGATTATCCTAAATTACAGTATACTGAAAGGTACCTTTGATTAATTGCTTCGACATTATTATATCACACGATTACCCGTTCTTTAGCCTCGAAACGCCATGGTTCGTATAATGCCTCTCCATACAAAATTCTCGCGAATTGCTCTTCGAATAAATCGGTAGGAGGTCCTGGAATCATTTGACGTCCTTTCTCGATGCCTTGTCGAAAGCGGACAGGAACTCCTTCATATTTGTCGAACGGTGCCGGATTTGGGTCGTGAAAATAGCCTTAAAACATAAGTAAGAAGAATTAATTAATTTAAAAAAAATTTTATTAATCAATTTATTCGAAGATTATGATACACTAGGTGCGTCATTTGTATCCCATTGAGAACAATTATCGACAGACCAAGTAAATGCATCAATTACTATGCATTTAAAATAAAAAATGAAATATTTTACCTAATCGATCGAGATCATGTCGCCCAAATCGTTGACCTAAAGGCTCTAGTTGTCCTCTTCTCATGGTTGTATTAAAACCAGAAAATTTTCTATCACTTTATTCCGTTAAGTAACCTGCAATTTTAATTGGTCTCTGATAGACTATATACTTTCACTCGAAATACAAAGTCAATTGTTCCGAGAATAAAGGGACAAGTTCAGAATCAATAAATGCTATGTTGAAACGTAATTTTATTCTCGACGTTAACGAGTCTTTAATGGGTCTGAAGTTGGTGAATTTAAATTGAGTGCTGTAACTGTACGTAACACTTTCGAGCCACTTCCAGAGTCTTCAGGGTAATGAATTAAACATCCCTTCCCCCGATATCTATAAGTTCCGTGAACTTGAGAATTTTAAATTTCAAATTTAATATTTTCACGTGTCAGGGCTAAGATAATTAACTTTACAATGACGGTGGACGAATCATAGTTATAAACCACACCTATGGCACGTATGCAATGCGTTATTCAAATTTTCAAGTGGAAGATTTTCATAATAGTGCAAAAATAATAACTAAAGAAATATTAGATATACACACATATTTTACATTAGGCAATTGATGAATGAGCAAATCGATATAAATGTATCCTTCATAATGATACATCGAATGATACAAATATATCCTTTCACAACAATTTTTAATCATTTTTCACCACGAAGTACTTGTTCGCAAAGTTAGGAAACTTAAACGGAAATCAAACTTTGTTAGAGACCAAGAATTTCAGAGTTCCCGGCAAGAGTCCTCGGAACGGAGAACTTCAGCTACGTTATCGCACAGTCACGATCCTCGTTTTCCAACAGTCGACACACCAGGCGCTAAGAGGATCTTTTCACCATCACCAATTTCGGATTCTTCTGAAATCTCTCTGTGTGACTTGCCGAATGAATCGACCGGTCTACATAGGAGTCGTTCGTCGAGTTTTGAGATTCAGCCCATTGATGTAGCAGTCGCTTCTTCTTGGTAATGAGTTGTCCTTAATGGGCTGATGTTGTCAGACACCCATTCGTCGCGGTAACAGTTGGCACATTTCATTACCGGATTGTTTGTAGAGAACGTTTACCTGCTTGCGCATGATTTATCCAAGAATCATCCGACGTACGAGTTCTCGTTCTACGGAGCGAAGCGATTCTCTGATCTGCAAGACAAGTTTAGCTCGTATCGTCAAGAATATCAGCTTCAAACTTTGGAATAGACTAACGAGGAACATCGTTTACCTATTTCTGACTGATGGCGGGAAATGGGTCGCTGAAGCCGGTGATTTAAGAAATATACGTACATTTGATTTCCACCTGCTCTGTTTGGGAGGAGGATTTAGCAAGATAAGAATTAGAATTTTTGAAGATGACGAAATAATTTTTTACTGGATTTTGAAATCGAGGTGGAATGACATAATTCCTAAAGTCGTGGAACAATAAAAAAGCGCAAGAATATGCAAGAGAGAATCCTCCACTTCATCTTTTGTGCTTGTTCTGCCAAGATAAAATCCTATTTCACAGCAATTTACAAGTCTACTTCGTGTGTGCACGTGCTTGCGTTCTCACATGTAACTAAGGTTACCACGGTTAAGGTTTCGGACTAAAACAGATGTAATGACAAAGTTATATGCAAGATAAAGCGAAAGGTATGTTTACAGCAATACCGGAGACACTTGCATATTCGGGTATAGTGAAATTAGTGTGTTAAACGCGAAATGGAGCTTTCAACGTTAAAACTCCGACGGAAATTACGAGTAGTGGCTTATTAGTGCACGTTGCTTGGAGCCGGCTGGGTTATTACTTTAAGTTTCGAGGGAATCTGCGTAACGAGGATGTCGCGATGCCGGAAACAGTGTTACGTTCAAGGTCGAATGTTTTAAGGTAATGCGTCCCGAGGTTGCATTACGAGTATGCTTGAAATGGGAGCGAAAAGGTACTTAACGCCAATGTTTCGAATAAATTTCCACTACATTTGTTGGGGAAAAAACCTATTTGGGAACGTCAGCATCAATTGGTGTAAAAGCCTAAAATATACTCCGCTACCCGATATCCCTACTTCGCCTCACAAGTATTTTCATAATTGGTCGAATCGCTTGACGAAGAAAGCAGTGGGATATGGGTGGGGATTAAGCTAGGCATTAACGATAAGAGTGGGGTGAGGCGGAGCAAACGAAGATCCTACGTTGCCTTTCACTTATATCGCAAGCCATCTTGTCGCGGACGAACAGCACCTTACCATAAGCTCTCGTCACGGCATAGCCCCACCTCATGAACACCAGTCCAAGGAGGTGTGTCCAGTGACTGGCCGGACTATAAAGCCTCCACGAAGATCATTATCCTTTGTATACGAAATCCACCGAGTCCCACGAAAAGTAGTTTAACTCCGTGGCGATAAAATTCACTAGAAGTCGGGGAACTCCATTATCCGGAGGCGTGGCAATACAACTTTCCTTTTCAACGTGGTCGTGGATCGTTTCCTGGCGAATCTTCGGCAACGATCGGCACCTTGGATCTCGGTGTTGCGGAATCGGATACGCGTCGTACCGGCCAATTTCCTTCGACCTATCTGCAGCCATATTTTCATGAGATTCGCCGGCAGGCAGCTCGCGAACCATAGCGACAACGGCCACGATAATAACTAAACTTTCGATTGCCGGGGCGAACCATTAAGATAAGACGGTAAAAGGGAACGAGAAGGCAGCATTTAAGGGGACGAAAGGAAGAGGAAGGAGGAGAGATAGAGCGTGACGAAATCGAGAGGAGGGAAAGGAGGAGTGTTGGGAAAAGGAAGGCGAAATGAGACGATCCTTCTGAAAGGAAGCCAAGATCGTGAGGAGGAACGGGGTAAAGGATACGGTGCTGGGAAAACTAGAAAAGGAGACACTGATATTCATCTGCCTTCCGGGAGATCGATTAAGATTAAACGCCTAGTTGGCCGGCTTAAGTCGGGCTACAATGGAAAAGCTGAGATTGGGTTTCACGGATTGAAATCAACGACGTAGCCGTTTAATTTGCAAATGGAAAGGGTCGTGGTCACTCTGTTCTGTCCTTCTATTTCTCGTCCCCCTCTTCAAGGAGGATGGGGTGACAGGTGAGGCGTTTGGTCACGGAATATTCTCGCCTCGTTGCATTCGAATTCCTTGCCGAACCTCCGCCTTGGTTATTGTTGCTGAAGCTAGAATGGGGATGGTTTCTGTTGAAACTACTTTGAGGAGTAGATTCCATGGGTTCGGGTTGTTCTGATTGATGGCGTGATATTTGGAAATAAGATATCGTTTCGTACGGAAATTAGAGTACTTTAGAATGCGGATCAATGTTGGAACAGAAGTACAATTTCAGTTAAAAGTGTAAATTCGACTACTCCAATTTGTAAAATTATTTGTTTCAAGCAGTCATCAAATTCGAATTGGCAAAATAAATAAGTTTAACAAGAGATGCATTACATTTCCCCTCATGTTATGAAGCGAAGCAAATTATTTAAATATCGACCACGTAGTCATCATGCGCCGTTACTAATTAAAATGTTCGAGCAACAGTTGCAATTATAGCGCGGAAATTGCAGCAGAACACGCTTGAACGTATCGCGTGACAAATTATTTCGTACACCTATCCTCTCTCCTCTTTATACGTACCTAGCTGTGCTGTTTCTTTCGTAAATGCTCTAACAACATTCAAACCTCATCGACGTTACGATAAAAGTTGGGTGGTTCGTTTTATTAACGCAGTTAAAGAGCAATTAGCTTACTCGAGCGTGTGAGTATCGCCGAATTGGTCACGAACTGTTTAAAAATTGTTCTTCTCTGTTGCTCTGCCAGGGGAAACGTATTCCAACCATTAGAGATACTATTGAATTGAAGATGGTATGTCTCACAATCACTATATCATTGTTTAGCGCAATATGTTTGATTGTCAAAGACCACCTTTAAACTATAATTAAAAATTAGGAACATCATATTGAATGAATAATTACAATTGAATACTATGTTATTTCTTTTTAAGGTTGAATTACTAGACTTATTCCGTAGAATTATTCCAATCATTATATTATTCAAAATATCGGTGAATATTTTTTCTTCAGCTCTTAAGACTTAAATAACTGAAAACCAAGTGGTACGGTAAAAAAATGATTAGAAGCTCGAGGAGCCAGGTAGATTAATGTGTTAACGAGAGTTCCGGGCTGTTCGCTCTTTCTAGGGACCGAGTACATTGAAAAATAGATAATTTAAAAATTCCGAGCTGTCTTTTTCCTTCGTTCCTTCTACCCACCCCATTTTTCATTCCGTTCTTCCTTGGCGCCATTCTTTTTGCACTTATTAGAGCACCGCCCTAAGTAATCCTTCTCACGACCTGATTCCTGCTCACCGAGGTCGGTGAAGGATCAGTTTTTAAGAGGAAACATTCATCGGAATATTTAATGAAGTAATTTTCTTGAAACAAAAAATTGATTAATAGTTCGATTTATTCACTATTTAGTAGGTAAGTAAGTATTTACTTGATACGTAACAATTCGTACATGGTACATAAAATTTGAATAAACTCGTTCCCTGCGAGTCACTGTGTATCGTAATGCTTAAACAGTGGCGACTGAACACGCGATATCGCGTGATAGGGCATTTAGCACTAAAAACAAGTATGCAATATCGCGTGATAGGATATTTGACACTGACAATACTACGCGATATTACGTGAGCGACAGTAAACGTAATAATATAGAATTCTTCTTAAATATTTTATCTTTTACCAATTTCCAGGGGTATTCCAGCAATTTTCGAGTGGACGTTCCAGATGGTAGGACATTCCAGGGATGAGAGAAAGTCACTGGCCCATGAGGTCGACGATCTTTGGTGAAGTAAACCGGTGGGTCAGTTTAATCGCATCGTTTAATCGCAGCAGGTGGTACGTGGGGATTAATTATTTAAAGCCCCCTTAGGCTAACGTTGAATTAGTGGACACAACACCGCAATGCCACCACGGCATCGATAATTCTGCAGTTCTGTGGCTCTTCTCATTGGACCTAGGACGCGTGCCATTCAAACAATCTACACCATGTACAGAAGGAAATTATATGTACAAATTTCAATTTGATGTTAATTTCATGAAAAATGAAATCTGTAGCGCAGTGAAACCAATAGGAAAATAATGAAAAATAAGAACAGCAATTTCCATGAGGCGGTTGCTTTAATGAAGTGTTCGATCAAAATAAAATTTAATTTGTTTTTCGAAAAACGAATTTCCCATTTTTCAGCAAATTTTTTTTCATCGCTAACATAATATTCCGTGTTAATGCAACAAATCCACCGGGAGGAAGAAGGATCGCGTTATTATCGTGTCTGAGATTCATTTAATTAATTACTTTCCTGATTAAATTTTTTATAGCTCAGCTTGGTAGTTTGGGTGGCGACACTGTATTATGATTAAAAGTCGTTTCGGGCGTTTAGACCGATCGTAGACCAATGGCAAGCAAAAATGTTTTCGTTACGGTTAAACTCACGCTGCTGAACGAAACTTTAAGCTTTCTTTGGGAAGTGTTCTTACGGGAAAATCGTTACACGAGAACTTCGGTGAAATTGCTCAAGTAACTAAAGAAACTTCTTCGTCAGTAAAAGTAAGTATAATATTTTTGACATAGCCAGAATTTTAAATAGTTGACACTAACTATGCATAACAGATGTAGAATTAGAGTGGTTCAGATTAGAAATCCGAACTTATAGGTAATAATATTGATGTAACTTTCATTATTTATTTTTTAACTATCCACGATACATAAGTAGCCTATTTTACAGTTCATTAATGAAACATCAAAATATTAAAAAAGTTTCTATTAAATATCATTGTACCCTTTGAATGAAAATTGACTTTTAGGTACAGAAAAGTCAATTTTCTTCGGGGCAAAAAAAAGATAGTCTTTTGCTTTCTGCCGGTGATCTGCTATCTTGGAACACGTACTTCAGTATTCACAAGGAATTGCTGCTACGAGCGTCAGTCTTTTGGTCTAATGAGATCGAATTAGGGCAACGGTATCTTCCTTGTAGACCGATAGCCAGGATCGAGCAGCGTTTCCTTAACTTCGTTATCCTTCCACGGATCCATACATATCCGATAGGTCGCGTTCGTGACAAACTTCTTGATTATCTATATATGTATGTTCCCATAGCCTTATAGAGGTAGTCTGCATAGAGTGAAGACAACACAAGAGCGAGAGAGCTCTCTTTTTGTTACATTGTGTTATAAATATCGTAACAAAATAATAAATGAACTACACATTTTTACATCATTGAAATTACATAAAATACAAGGAATACAATATGAGGAATTATAATATGAGGAATTTTCATTATAATAATGAATCAAAAGTAAAAATTAATTATATTCATATGAGAATATAATGACTTTCATCAACGTCATATGATGTCATCCCACGGATGGTAGAATTCGTACAGTTGTAATCAATACTGTGGAACATAATAATGCACGATATCTAGATGGTAACAAATACTGTGTAATATATCACGTTAGCAATATTGCGGAACACATTGACCTGGTGATTAACAAGTTAATATATTTGTTTATATATATGTAACGTGAATGGAATCAAGCAAATAGCATAGAAATCAATAAAAGACAATTTCCATTACTGCATGAAATAATGCATATGTATTTTCAAACGTATGATAATCTTTAAAAATTGCACATTTCTACGTCATTATCGATAATAATTTTCAATCATTTAAATCCTAGAAAATTTCATATGTAAAGTAAATTTCAAGGTTTAAAATTGAAATTTCAACATTTGTCGAATTAAATCTGAAAATTAAAAAAATTTCAAAATATTAAAGCTCAGATTTGAAGACCAAATTTTAAAATAACAATTTATAATCAATGATCAGCTTTTGAAAGATAAATAAAAATATTGTCAGATATCGAGAGATAGCCTGTTTCTGTTCGACACCTGATGGAGGCGATATAGTCGTTGGAGGGTGTACCCATTCGGGATGGTCGAAGTGTCAAGCCGTTTATATACACGATCCAGCCTCGCTATTGTTGGCAAATTGGCGGTGGACGGATCCGTCGACGATGACCGGGGTTTGATGAAGTAATGGACGTTCTCTGTCGACGTGTTGACCCGTACCGATTATATACACGGTAATAGTACATACACGTAGGGCAGAGAGTATTACAGGCTCGGCATAGTCGGCTACAGATACGTGTACACACTGCTTTCTACGTGTATCCTTTGCGTACACTGTTGCTGCATTGTCTATGTATATGCGTTAGACCGACTGCTCTTGTTTCAGTTTCGGAACCGGTTCGAATTCCGATCAAACCTTATTAAGTGCATTCCTTGCTCTCTTATCGAGTCTTATCAAACTCCTTTTCGATAAAGTGATTCTTTCCTCTTCCAACTTTCCCCTCCACCAACTTCTTTCATTCTTTCAGAAATATGGTTTAAAACGTCCCCTTTCAGTTAGAAAGAGGATTTTGGTCTTACGAAAAAAGTTCTACGAGTGATATCCTCTTTTATTACTATTGACACCCATAGAGTAATGGTACCGCGATAATAGTACTTCTGCTAGGAAATATAGCAATTCTGTAGCAACGTTCAAAATTATTGGAAAGAATTACAACGACGTCTGTACGAGAGTACCATCCAGGAAAAAACGATGTGAGGGTTTCAGTAAGACGCTATTAACTAATATTTAATAATCACAAATTATATTTTCTTTTTCTAAATTACTTTTAATATTAATATCGTCAAAATAAAAATTTTGAGAATTTCTTCAGTATACAACGATGTTTCATCAAAAGTAATTTTATCAATAAAAATATTTTGGTTTTTATCAAACATGCCGTCAACATTTCAAACAATAATAATACGTCAATCTATTTTCATTTATGATCTATGGTATTGACAGTACTGAAATATTGACAGTGCTTCAAATATTTATTGACAAACTCCATTTGCCTCATACGTTCAATTTTAGTTGGCAATAAATTCGTCAAATTAAAACAAAAGGAATCATGCAATGAAGGGTTAATTAACGATACGAAGCGATGTGTACTATAGTAATTGTTATAACTGATAAGTTGCATTTTAAGAATTTAAATGTTTTTAAAATTTTAATCTTTAAGGTATACAATAGTAAATAGAAATTAGCGAGAGGTATATCAGAATTTTTCTTTGAAAAGATTTTTATATGTACAGTTTGATGCGTGACTGAACAAATTTCAAGCTCTCTATTGAATTCCCCTTTGATTTACAACCACCTGTGTTTTTCCCCTTTTTTTTGGTATTTCTATTGTGCAATCTAATAGCATTCGCTTTTCGCCAGTGATGCCTTTGGACGACGTTTTCCGTTTCACTACTTTCGTTGACCATCAATGGCTATGAGTATATTTGAACAAATTGATGGAGATTCTGCTCTTATTTACAGATGTTCACAAAAGAATTGAAATTGTTTGAAATTTCTAAAATAGACAAAACTTGATTTAATGCTAGAACTACGAAATTCGTTACAGGTTTATACCAGTCCCTCTTTTACCGCACCTCACGCTGACATCTGAAAAGACCCAATTTTTACTCTCTTTGATTCTTTTTTAATTCTTATTGTAAAAAATAAAACTTTTTTCATCCCTACACTTTCATCTCTACATTCTTTTCAGCCCTACATTCTTTCCATCCCTACATTCCTTATATATCTTCATCCCTTAAATCCCTACATTCTTTCCATCCAAAGAATGTAGGGATGTAAGGAATGCGGAGATGTAAAGGGATTTCTGAAATTAATTTTTGTATATATTTTGTATATTGTTGGTAAAGAATAAAAATTTTTCTAAAACCCTACTATAGTAAATGTGTTTACTAAATTTTACCCTTTTACCATAACATATGTATGTACTGGAATTCAATTTTGTAAGTTAATTGTGAGAAAATTGGGTTAGAAGGTAACATATAACACGCGTGTGTTTCTCGTTTTCAATTAACCGCTCGACAAAGTCGCGAACAAGCAGATGTACAGATTATCGTAGAGCAGCTAGTGTATAATTATTTAAACGAAAGTCACTTTTCATTAGGAGGAAAGCGTTGTTTCGTGTAGTATAGTCGGCTTGAAACGCGTTTATTTTCGTCTGGCCGACTCGTTTCTGCGATTACGTTTTCACGCAATAATTTCTCGTTGTTTCACGGTCAGTGCCACGGATACGGTGAATTTAATTAAATTTAGCTAGACGTAATTTTCTAATTTAGCGCACAACTATACCGATACTCTCTCGCTTGAATCGTTAATTCGGTTATAAATGGCTTCATGATTTTATTACTTTATCAATCTTATGCTATACGTTTATTCTAACTTATAACGAAGAGAGTGGAATTATTCATTTAATTTTACCCGCAAAATTCAGAGTTTTGTGTAATGTTAACCGAGAGAAAGATGAGATTATAATGCAGTTTAATTTAATTTTCACCTGTGAAAAGAACAGGAAATTCCTCTTTTTGTAGAACAAGCTGTGCAATTTTATGTTTTACATTGCCATTAAGAAAATTAGGTGGAATTTTAAATATAAAAGTGTAATATGAGGAGTTCACTTAGAATCGGAGTGGAAGGAGAGACAATCTAGCGACAGTTGTGTACCTATTTAAATAAATTGTATTAATCTACTGATGAAAAGAATTTTAATAATAAATGATTTATCCAATTGACAATTAAAACTTAATCGTAAATTCAGTTTATAAATAAATTCTTTAATTATTAATTGCGACAATACAACGATGGAATGAAAATCTGTTCATTAATGCAATTAATTTAATTTTTGATACTGAAAATTTGATGAACCTTTACTCATTTATTAAAAATGTCACATTAATTTCAAGTTATCATAATTTTCACTTATTCGATACTGCAATTACTGGCAATTTATAAAATTCCGTAGAAGAAGAATAACATTCTTTCTTTATTTCACAAAACATTAACCGGTACATATGTATAGTGTTCTCCAATTTACTCTACTGTAAATTTAATTTCTTCTTTCAGCAATAATTCTTGGTGAAACATTACTGTTTCTAACAAATCGGCAGAAACTCGAAGGTAGTATGGTCTGGTTGAAGGGTCAGACGTCCGCGAAACGCACCCACGCCATTCGTTTCTCCGGTTTGTTCTTTTTTTTTTTTTTAAATTCAGCCAGCGAAGCGGTGTCACAATGATACATGGCCAACCACCGGTATGCATCCAGAGATTCTAGCCGCGACACAGTAGTTTCGTGGCATCGGGATGCGAAATTATGACGGAAAGGTACTATCCTTTTTTGTTTCTGTTCCAACCGCAAAATGGCGAAGGAACACGAAGGGAAAGTGATAAAAGAACAGAAAATCTAAATGGAACGAAAATATAAAATCGTAATGGAGGTGTCTGTTGTGCGCAAAATATCAGATTGACGATTCCATTTATAATTATATATATTCCTTTAATTATTCGAGTATATCTAGAAAATGTGAAATTTGGAGAATTTAAAATTTTGAAAATCTATAATTCTGTAATTTTAAAAATTTTGAATTAAAAAATTGTAGCGTCAGTCCACATTTTTTTGGCTGGGGAAGGTGCAGATTTGTTACTGTAACATGTTAAAAAAGGAATGCAAGGTCAATTCGACAAAAAATGCAAGGTTAATTAGGTACTATGAATTTTATTGTATTTACCTTTTCGAAACTTACAAATAGTGAACAGCGAATACCGACATTAAATGGATTTCCTATATTTCTTTTTCTGTTTTCATTTCTCTTATCTCTCTCGAAATGGTATTCCCTTACAACAACGTTTGTCCCTTATTATTCGTATTAATGACCATTAATAGTACCGCTTATAGATGCTTATAGACATGACTTTTATTTTACTTTATCTTGGATATATTATATTACTATGGGTGATGAGTGATTAGCGATGAGCAAGTATATCGAGCTGAAAACTTTACATTAGACCTGCACAAAATTGCGCCTCCCAGGCAGAGGGGTGCCACTATTGTGTCTTATGCAAGATTTCCCCACGTTAAAAAAAAAAAAAAAGATATATTTTTATAATATTCTAGATTAAAATTAATAATTAAATTATTAATTGAATTTAGCAATAATTTAGATTAATTAAAACAACGCGTGATTATTAGTTTGTCATTATCCAAAGGGGCAGCGGGTTGTGCAGGTCTATTTTACACGAACATTCTTCATTTTTTACATATACACTCGGGTCAACGATGTATCGCTCGAAAATCAAGATCGATAGATATCATAATTAAAAATTAATTAATTAGTAATTGATCACAGACGTTACACGAGAATTTACTTATCAACATGAATGCATATCTATCAATTTATTAATGAATTAAAAATTTAGAATGGAAAATTTTTAATAGGGCCGCCCAAAAGCTCGCAAATATAAAATTTCAAATATAAAAATAAAACAATTCATGTACGCATTAGTACACATAAACAATAAATATTTCAAAATTCATCTAATCACATTTGTCACAGCTTTAATTAACGGAAATTATTCAACTTGTTGATTTTCGATCGTCGAAACGAGTCGAGTATGACTTACTTTTTACTAAATTCAGATTACTTTGTTTTCCTTATATTACGTTACTTAATTATAACTTACTTACTTTATTTATTTATTCTTTTATCAAACGCATTACACGGGTATTTCTTTATCCGTACTCGAATAACATCCATACAAACGAACGTAGTACACGGTCATGCATACGAAAACATTCTCACTCATAAATGGCGTAATTCAAAGACAGGCATCAGAAGAATTTTTGAAAATAAAGTAATGCATTGTGAGCCAAACTAACCACGATAGCAATTTTACATGTCACCTAGAGCTTATTATTTTATGATGCCTATCTCTGTTACAGACGATGGATATTATAGAACACGTCGTACAAATCTTGTCGTTTGCTTGTTCGATCGAATGACAATTAAGGATCCGAAGACGACGACAAAAGGAGGGTCTTTATGTGCTTGAACAAATCAATGAAAGGATCTCATGTTTGATGCATTAGAAAATTCTTTCCCGTTTATTTTGATCGTTGAAACGTGCTTCTTGTAGACGCGAGTTTCATTAAAGAACGAAATGGTGTGAAAATATTTCCAAAGCTACCATCGTTCCAACGGACACAATCGGTAAAACAAACACAATCATCCGAGGCGCAGTAAATGTTCAGGCAAACATGGAAAAGCAATCGGATGTTCGATTTTAGCTTCCCAGGGATTAGTACCTAGTCGGTAGTTATGAATCACATAGTTTGTGTTTCTGCAGCCGTAAAACTCAGCAACTTTTATTATAGTGAAACGTCAATTTTGGTTTAGATTTAGGATTAAATCTTTTCTTTTGATGCACAAAATTGTAATTAAAAATCAGTCACTTAGAACTAAAAGAATGCAAATGAGTTTTTACAAAATTTTTGAATTAAGAACAGAAATGGTTAAATGAAACTAAAAAAAAGGAATTGAATTATTTAAAAACAATATGCCATTTTAAAGCAAATTGATATGACCTTTTTTTCTAAATAATTTATTAAATCTACTTATAATATTAAATTGAAAAAGCTTGTCGTCCACGCACTTTCCAGACCACTTCTCTGTTTCAGCCTCTTATGGATGTTTCTTATCGTGGAAGCTCAGCTATCGAGTGTTTACTATTAATTCGCAAATGTAACTTTTTTCAAATTCCAGTAGTCGACAACATTTCGCTCTTCGAGAAATAGAAATTGATAGTAAGTAAGTAAGTAAGTAAGTAAGAAAGAAGAGAGAAAGGACAACTTTTTAAAATATAAACAACTTTGGTATTAAATCAAATATGTCACTTGAAGTACCAAAGAAATAGAGTATTGCATTATTAAATTATACTAATTGCATTGAAAAATAAAACTTACAGCCGCTGCAAATTTTCTTTGAAAAACATAGAGAATTTGAGTTTCTGAAAAGCTGGGTATTTGACGATTTTCGAAATGCTTCTACACGGTCCAGCTGATAATCAAATTTATCACGGGCATTGATTACACGTATATGCGGTTTTTGTGCACCGGTACACGGGAATTCGACTTGCTGAAATATTTTGCACCTGCCCGTGTGCAATAATGCCTCAGCTAAATTATCGTGTTATACAAGCTGGCTACCCAGCAGCCAGGAACATCTGATTTACACTCAACTATCTCTACGTTATCGTCACGACCCGTTTAACCGTTCCGAGTCGAATCTATCGTCGATTTCCATTTCGTGATCGATTCTTACCCGTGTCACGCTCGATTCCGTCTGTGATTGTGCGTTTTCAAGTGAAGATCTCTTAGTCAAAAAGAACTATACAAATAGAGAAACGAGCAGGGAAATGAAACGAAAGCGCGATTTCCAACTCCCTCGTTGCATTTTTGATACTTTTTTTTTCCGCCTAGAAAAACAGATTACGCGTGTGGGGAGAATAGGGGACGCGAAACGAGAAATGAAAATTGCTATGACGTTTTAGTAGCAGCGTTCTTTTTTTCTCTCGTTTATTTTCTTTTCGCTATTCGTGTTTCGTTTGGATGATTGAAAATCCGAACGGGCGTGTGCTCGGCAAACAAAAAGGAACGCGATATGTAATTTCAAAAACGGGCTTGTAATTATTCAACAGAAATGGCCCTTTGTTGTTTCGATTTCATCGTTCGCGTGGATCGTTTCTGGGCGGACAACGGCTTATGGGGATAAGAGAACACCATGAAAAATGAAATGTTTCTTTTTATAGGTGAATATTTCTATCCTTTATAAAATGCTTTATATTTAGCCATTTTAAGCTAATTGCAAGAATATTAACGAAGGATCTCCATAGTCATTTCCATTAAAATTTAAATTCAAATTTTATATATATATCTCTCTCTCTCTTCTCTCTGTCACAGTTACTACACTTGTTACAACGGAAGAGTCATTTAACTTTTATCTAATGAAATCGCGTTAGGCATTTCACGTATCCTCTAACGGTAGACTTGTTCCTTTCGAAGGAAAATAAAATACAAAGCGACGCAGGGTCGGCCAAAGGAAATAAAAGAATTTTCCCGACGGAAAATTAGAAACCCAAACAACGTCAAACACGGGGCTGGTCGTGAAAAGTTGAAGCGTCGAATAATGGTCGGGCAGGACCGGTCGAAATTATTACTCGACACGTATAAAGCAGTAAGCGAGTTTCTACAACGCCGGGAGCACTCAGCCACGCAGACAATGACCGCTCATAAAATCTCGAAATCACTTCCTGCCAACCCCCTCCCCCACCATCGCCCTTCACTGTTTATCGTATACAGCAGTATGCAAATTTGCATTCCCTTCCCTTCGCCGCTACAAATTTAAACACTTTGATTACCAGACCGTTGGGAGGACAATGATTTTTGCATCGGTCACCGGGCCTGGCTACGACTGGCCAAACGTGCTTGTATAAACGCCGGATACACGGCCGATCGATCCTGTTCAATCCACATCCGCCCACCCTATGACGTACCAATCGCGTGTGCTAATCGCTTTTTCAACCCCAGCCTCGATGAATTTCAGTTTTCATCCCTTTCCTACCTTCATCCGTGTGGCCTACCCCACTGGTGAAAGATAACACGGTTCTACCCACCTGTCCACCTAATCTGACTTACGATGATGAATTTTCACGACCATCACGAAGCTACGGGGCTGGCTTTCCATAGTTTATACATAGTAGTTTGTAGTTTGATCGCCCCACCACCCGCTAAGTTTTCATTTAGGAACTGTTTTTTATTGACACGTTCATTGTTACGAAGGAGTACCGAATCGGTACTTAATGTCCTATTAATTTTGAATCAATTGAAAAATAAGAAAAAATATTTTCATCTTCATCGATCAAAAATAAGAGGAAAGAATCATGAGTTTTTACTCAGACATCAATTGATATGTTAATATGCTCGAACAAAAAATCACGGTGACTCTCATTCGATCCTTCCCGCCTCGATCTTACTTATCAACAAATATCAATAAATAATTCATATCCCTCCTTCTGTTTCGTGTTTACCATCGAGCAGTCAGGAATCGAGGATGTTTCTGGAAAAGAACATTTATAGATCTATGGGCCCTATCTCAGTAAATCGTCTTCAACTAACTGTCATATATATCTATATATACTTCATGGGAATAACAACATTAACAATTCAAACGTAGCAATATATTAGAAAAACTAAAACTAAGATCACTAACACGATTCACTGAATTCGTCATTTTTCGCTTATGTCCCTTTCCTCAGAAACGTCCTCGACGATTTCTAAAAACTGATGTGTGTACAATGTTGTAACACGATGAAAGCGGAAGTTCCGAGCGGTACGTTTAAAAGTGACCAATGAAAATTGATCTTGATCGACGAGAAACTTCGTTGTCCGTCTCGAGAGAATTTTTCCGTATACTTCGATGTTTTCAATGAAAAAGGGAAGCTTCTTCGTCGAACACAATGATTTCGTAGAAGCATACGTACCGTTTCGTTCGTGTTCAGAACGTTTCCGTGTATGGTCGAGAGAAAATGTTTCTGTTTGTTCGTCTGGTTCGGTACAAATGTTTGATACCGAGCACAAAAGTGCGTTCGGTCGTTGAAATGCTCGCCACCGGGGGGATATGGGCCCGAAAGCTGATCGTTTCCTTCAGTTTTCTCGGTATGTATTCTTCGTTAACGAGGAAACTTTTAGCACCATTCGAATTGCAGGCCCGTGGAATGATCGGGTCATCACGGTCACCTCAGAAACGATGATAATAGTGTTAAGAGAACGACGATGAGCAAGGCTGCTCTTTGATTTGATACTCCGCCGTGTTGCATGGCAGCTGGATTCTCGCCTGAAACAGAAAATATACGATTTGTTAAATAAAGAAAATTTAAACGTATTGTAGGATAATTGATCATTTCAAAGCGTTAATAATAATTTGGTCAGTCCCACTATAATTAAATTATAGTAATGTTTTGAAACTCTGTAATTCGTAATTTATTCCAACTACCGTTATTTTACTTCATTTTCGTGTAAAAACAACATTTCCCACCGTATTTTAATGTCTCACAAATTCAAGATAGTGCCTAGTAATTTCAGCTTGCAATTTCGTATCTTGTTTATCCACGTTTCCTGAATCATGAATTATTCCGGGAAACAAACAAGAACAGAGGAAGAAAAATATGCTTATCAACGATACGCATTCGTTTACATGACACAATCAAAATTTTATGAAATTTCAAAAAATTACGAATCTACGTGAAATCGTTAAATTTTCGAAATATTGATGAACCTGGTTTCAAATTACTCTGCATAAAAAGATGAAAAATTTCTAAATTTTCCTATCGATTAAAACCATATATAATTGCAGTTTTAGATTTTCTGTAGGAAATAAAAACAGACATGCCTATGTTTTAATTAAAATTCACCATTCAAGAGCAGTACTTAATTGATTTTAAGAAAATGAATAAATCAAATATTGAAGTAAATGAATATTTTCAATACGGGACATTTTAACCGTTTTTATTCCACTTCAAACGGAAATAAGGAACCACGGTTAAGAGGGTGGTGCAGGGATCAGTAATTAAGGAAATGATAGGGGGAAAAAAGAGGAAGAAACGGAATGAAAGGAAGAGAGAAATATCGTGAAACCCAGATTTGGGCCGGATTAATGTACGATTCTTGATTTTTTACTAATCCGTAATCTTCCTTCGCCAGCTTAAGTACTCTTAATTCGATTTTACTCTGGTAATTATATGTAAGCCGACACGATTGAAATTAACATTGAATATTCAGGTGAATTTTCAGGATTTTACTTTTTGTAAGTAAAAGTAGCACTTGTTTTTCCGTATGACGACTAAGGTGAGCAAGCAATCGGTGTTTGCACTTTTTTTATAATCCGAATGTATCGAAAGTGGCACGGTTGATAAGAGGACGGGCCATTTTTCACAGGTGACTCGATTAAAAAGTAACCGTAAACAAGTACGTGCCGTTTTCAAGATTCAATTATACAGCTCTTGGAAAAATTTACAACCCTATTTACAAGAGACTCCGGTAAGCCGATTCTCGCAATTAGCTTCGGATCTTCGCTTCGTTAATTGGATCTCTTGAACTTGCGTCGATGGAACACGGCGACGCGACGGCATCGTTCATCCGGAAAGGAAACGAACCTATTTTCCTAACTGCCATAGTGTAGAATCGATTCGAAGTTGATCGTCTCCCCTGAACGAAAGTTTCTTATGAAATCAGATTCATTTATTATAAAAGGAAAAGATCCCGATGACGACGTCGCGGTTCGAACAGCAGTTAATTGGAACAAAAACTTACTAGAGTCGATGAGATACTGAGCGAGGTGATAACATTGGAAAATAGAATCGAATTCAGACCGATCGTCGGTGAAATGATCTGTTAGAATTTTATATTGGTAAACGTTTGTTGCGTTTTCATCAACCTTTCAGCAATAAAATTTGAGTGGTCGAGTAGTTGAGTAGTAAAATACGTGAAAAATTTGCAAATTTAATTGCCGCCATAAGCACGCTTATTAATGCTTATTAATATCTATATTTTATATAATTTTTATAAAAATTAATATGAAAAATGTTACTGAATACGCCAGTTTAAAACATGCTAACAAATTGCTAACAGAATGGTGTTTTACAAGTTTGCTGCGCAAAATATAAATCAATTAAGGCATTTCATCGGACTTGTTATACCGGAGTGAAAGTTTTCAAGGAAGGATTTAAAGCTCGATACTTGAAAGCTGCGAGGCAATTTGCGAGTTTTACGCTGCTGTAAAACATTGACGAATAAATAATTTTAATATGCCATTCAATATTGCACTTTTTAAACGTACTTAAGATACACTTCTACAACTATTTACATTTTCAACAAGATCTTAATAATACACGATAAAATCAGAATAATGGTACTTTACTATACTCGTACATAGTAGTATTCGAAGCTTGCCGACACGAATAAATCGAAACATTTTAGACGATGACGTTTAAAAATGATCAAAATCAATGATGCCATCTCCCTCCCAAATAATTACTTTTAATTTCATTAATGATACAATTGCTATAGTCTCGCCATTAGACATTTTTACGAGTCACTACTGCTCGGTACTGTACAGCAGTTAACGCCATGGCTCAGCGGAAAGAACGAAAAAAAGAACACCGCAGAAGAGGGTGTCTCGTTAAGCCAAGGCAGAAGGGAAGTTTCGTAACGATTTATAATAAACGCAGTTAAAACATCGAGGACGAAACGGAAGGCAGGTCCGCGACGAGGACGGAATGTATATTTCATGAAGTGCAGTCACAGCACTCGTGGCAAGCCCGGAAGTGGCACTTGAACTTGTTGAGCCGTCGGAGCACCTTGTCACGGCCGGAAAATAATTTGCACAGTCAATATTACAAATTGCCGCGAATTAAATTCACCTGAGCTTGCTGGGACAGCGAGCGACCGTTAATAAAAGACGACAATGTTCGCGTGATGAACAAACTCGCCGAAACTATCGCGTTGTTTCATACGCGAGGCAATTTTATTTGCAACATCAACGCGGAAACTCCCATAGGATCTCGGTGCAATTAAAATTCAAGCCGCGTCCTCGTTGCTGCTTGCTTTCCTTTTCTTCCTTTTTCTTCGTTGCGTATCTAGCTTGACGGAAACTGCTGGAAATCTTCAAGTTAATGCAAAAATAATGAACCATAATTGGTTGTTCCTTTTGTTTTAAGGTACACTAGTATTCATGAGTCAGTGAATTATTTGAGCATGCAAAGAGAAATGATGTCTTTTCAGTATTGTGTTTTAAGTAACAGCTGTGTTAACAGGAAACTGCTGTTTTCTTATGAAAAATATTATAAATGAATTCTTGGGATTACTTAGGGTTTCTTAAATTTCTTTGGAGTCCAAGATCTCGTCAGACTCTAATGTTTTAATATTCTAATCAAAACTAAGTAATTATCAGTATTTGCAATCAATACAAATCACGAGTAAAAGTACTCTGATACATCGAAAAGGGAAGAAAGAAGCTAGAAGAAGAAATAGAGAGGGGACATTCTAGTTTTAGGAGAGCTTGCGGGTACGGGTTATTAATGGGTCGGGCGTGACATCCCACGAAATAACCTGGCTAACCTCGCCAAGGTAGTATCGTATTCCATAGACTCAGTCGCCTGTCTCCGCGTAGGCGTTAACTGGGCCAAGAACTGCTCATTTTCAAGAACGAGACTTCGTGTTTTAACCTTTTCGCCTTTTTTTTTTTCTTCTTTGACCACTTACGTCCACCTCGTTTTCTTCTCAACGTTCGTTAAGGTTCTTGCTTCCATTTTTCCGTCGACCGGAGAAGCTTTTCTCTCTCTTTTAGTCTCTAGACAATTATCCTTTACGGGGTCTGGCGGATTCTGTGTTTTGACGGTGGAACTCGAGCATGGATTGTGCTACGATCCACCTTCTTCCACGTTTTTACGACTTCTTTTGTTATGTGCAAACTGAACGGAAAGGAGAATCGCGGAAATTTCGAGGGTAATTCTTGCTGAATAGTCCTCCAAGTGGAGGTTCTTCAAGGAGAGTCTTTTCTTTTTTTTTATTTAGGTTCGAGCAGATTTAGGCAGATGTTATCCGTAAATTTATTCTTAAATGTCAGATGGTGGATGGTAGGTCAATCGTCACCCACACCTACGAAATTTATACAAGGGTGCTTCGATTGAAAGCATGTTTTACCATACGAAACTTACATCTCAAATAATTCACTGTATAATATTTGTTTATTCGTAAAATGAAAATGAAATGAAACTGAAATGAAAGTTAAATTATTATTGTCTCAGTGATCCCTCGTACGAGGGTAAATATCAAATTTTAATTTCTAACATGACTATTGTCGACCATAAATGAAATATTTTCTGCAATTTAAGAGAATAAAGAGAACGTAAATAAGAGCTTTTATTATAAATATGCAAATGTTGAATGGTAAAAAGAATTAAAAAGAAGAAGCTTTTTAAATGAAATGCATTGTTAAATACAGCTTTCGACAAACCACACAAATCTTATTATTAAACACAACGTCGTTTTTACTTTCAAACCGCATTTTATACTTAATTACCCACTTTTATGTTCATTCCTTTCAACCAATAGATTCCACTTACTTTTTAATTAATTGTAAATTGTACATTTATTCTTAATTAAAATTCAAATATAGTTTATACAATTTTGATGAGTATTAATGTAAATAAACATGATCAACCGTTTAACCGAACAAATTTTCCAACATTTTCGTTTAAATGAAAGATTCATCTTCAAAGAATATTTATACATCACGAAATTTCCTACAAGACGATTAAAACTCGGAATAATAACAGTGAAACAATTCGTTACAAGGTCCTCCCAAGTGACAAGGTAAATTCATTTGTAAAACGTGTCCTCGCGACCCCTTTGCGGTCAAATTACCCTGTTTCAACCCTTAAAGCGTGGCTGGTTCGAATTAGTTTAGGAAACGACGGGGCCATCGACAACTTCTACCCGCGGTCACGATAATTCTGTGAAAAGTTTTCAGCAATTCAGGGACGGTAGAAGGAGATAAGAAGAGGGAAAGAGGAGGGGACAGAGAAGGAAGTCGAAGAGCAGACAGGAAGATTCGAGGGAGCACTGTTGCTAGATAGTGTCGAGTAATGTGCTTTGTCTTCAACGAGGGTCACATTTAATTAATAACCACGATGTATCTCGAGAGTAATGTATATTAATTAGAAAAAAGGAAGGAGATGATTCTCTATTCTGCTCAGAGGAAGTTAAAGTAATTATTATCTGCCTTTCCTTTTTCTTTCTTGAGCCAATAAAATTATTAATTCATTACCAGGCTCATTAATTATATATATATTTCACTTAGAATAATAGTGGGGTATCTGTCATTAATAATTTTTTCGAGAAAAGGAAGATTTTATAAAATGTTTTTGGATCCTAACGTAATGTATTAATATTTATTTTATACGAAGAATATAATTATTTTACGTATCAAAGTTAGTAATTAAATGCAGAACAACCCAACAATATTGGTTCAATCCTACTTTAGAGTTATGCTTCTTCTACCAGCAACCTTTTCATCCCTAACTCCTTGATTCTGTTCACGGTGCGTGCACTACGGCAACGCCAACAACGACGACGACGACGACGACGACGACGACGACGACGACGATGGCAACGAGAAGCGTGAGGAGTTTGCAAAGCTCTTCTCTTCGCGAGACATAGTTAACGGAAGCGGCGTACGCGGTCATGTATAATAGATAGAAGGAATCCTCGAGAGGGTGCTTGGCAGCTCATTTCGCATACGGCTTTTTTAGTGACCTCGACGTACCTCGGCGCAAACTACCACTGTCGGTGGAAAACGTTCGACGTTTTGAACGTCGAGTGTGTCGCGAGAAACAAACTGCGCTCTTGGCGTTCATTTTCCTCTCCAGAGAATTAACCGGCTTGATGGGCTAGGGGAATAACCGTGTACCCACAGAATGATGCGCTTCACGATAAAACACAGAGGGAATTCTTGAACCCTTTAGGGACCGGGATTTGACTTATTTACATGTATCAAAGTGGACTTTAATTAGGTATAGTAAATGATCCTGTTAACAGCTCCTGTTGAAGCTAAAGGTTTTAATATTTTAAAAAGCAAAATAATGAGATCTTATTTTTAATGAAAAATTGCAATATCTAATATTTTCTTATGCGAAAATCAAACCTCTATCAGAAATTTAATTAGTCGTAAACTGAAGGTTCTCAAAAAGTCTTTATATCTATTTTAAACGTACTGCATACCTGAATTCCTTTTAGTAAGAATTATACTTTCAAATCCTTATAATAAATTACCAGAAGAAAATTACATCCGCCATTTTCCGCGTTAACCTCAAACGTGTCTCTATGGGACAACAACGGGAGGGAAAATTTTCCAAGAAATTAAATCCCAGGCGTTCTAACGACAGTCCCTCGTATCTGTAGTCATCTCGCGTGCAAGCTGGCTTTCGATAAAGCGTCGAAAATGCGAGGGTTTCATGGAAATTCAGCTTGAAAATGCCCGGACGATTTTGGCCAATGGAGAGGAGCACACACCCCTGATCGTAATTCGGATTCTAGGGTCGCGGCTATTTTCACACGAAGAAACCGGTTGACCATCGTCGATGGACACACGTACGACGCGGAGGAACATTTGACGAAGCGTGCTGGTCGCACGCGAACCAGAGAAATTTTCCGTGCCGGCAACCAAACTGATTTCGAATGCCACCCACGATCCACCGACTACTTGTCAAGCAAATTCGCATTACTTCTCGAATTATGGTTTCCCTTGTAGTTACCTGCATACAACACCGGTGGTAATAACTCTTCGGTTCGCGCCGTCTCGCATACTCATCGCGCGTACTCGTACGGAACGCGAGAGAAGTCGAGCTGAACCGATAAAACGGAAACGGACGTGATCTTGAACGAGCATCGTTCGCCCTCGAACACAGCTCTTTGCATTTTCTACGAACAAGCGTTTCGGACTGAAGAAGATTAGATGGATTCGTTCGAATTTCGCACCCAGAGTGATGGCCCATTTCGATCCAGTAAATTTTGCTTATTATTTGAAGTATTATTCTGTAATTACGATCGTATACACAGGTCTAGAAACCCCTTTGATGGATTGATTTCCTTATTCGAAACAAGTGTACCTACTGTGCAATTTATATTCATTTTCCCCAATAGCGTATCCATGTATTTGCATGAATCTTTCTAATTGCTTTCCAATATTAAATTCACCGTTTAAATTGATTTCGTCAGATCGAAATGAAATTCCGTATCGCGGGAAAAGGTTGTATTATTCGCGTGATTCCCGTAGAAAATCAGAAATCGCGTGGTTGCGGATACGATCGAAATGCCGCGTCGAGAATCATGGTAATCCGTGGTAAATAATGCACGACGCTTCCGCCGCGGGACTTTCGATACTTCCGTTGCTGGAAGCCGCGAAAAGCCTTTGTGGAAAGTAGTTGAAACCCTCGGTGAAACTTGAAAAGCCTCTTCTATCCTTGGATCTTGCGTTTAGCGGTACGTATTGACGGAGCTGTAATCCTCATCGATTCGACTTACATGCGATTTTCCTTCGGATACAAAAGTTACCAAGGGCTTACATTGTTCCATGAATCGAGGACGAAGAAAGATCGAAGAATTCGAAATAGGGCTACTCGATGCTGTAAGATAACTCTTTTCATTTTCATGCGCTTTCTTTCAATTCTCTCAGCAGCTCCAAACAATACGAAATTCTATAGGTTCACAGTTTTGTCTATAATTTTAGAATCTTTACGATGTTCTTTGAAACTATGCAATTTTTGGATGAGAATTATAAACCAAGGAAAAAATTGTATAAAATATGAAAATTTACAACTTTTGGAAAAACTGATTCAAAGCAAAGAAAAAACAAAACAGGACAGTCTAGAAAGTTTCAAATTTTCAAAAGTTATATCTACAAGAAAGTTACCAACTGTTTTAATATTTTCTATCGCTACTGTAGTACACGTGAAATAAAAACCGAGATGTACAAGAGAGATACAACGAAGAAAAAGAATTAGAGAATAAAATGGAACATCCAAAAAAGAGCAAACAATATCTACTTACACACAGTGCCGCACAAAATAACAAAGCACATCGATCATATGACCGAATTACGTCCCATGGAATAAGAATCCTTAGAAATAAGATGAAGGAGTTCTTTTTGATGCATTAATATTACAGATTCTCGCAATTATATACCAATACAACGTCTGCAACCTTATTTCTATTTGAGTTGAATAAAAAAGCAATTTTCCGACTTCTCACTGATATGGTTTTTGTATGGTTCGAATGGTTTAAATTATTCGTATTTATAAAATTTGTCGTAAATTGTTTTCTTCGATTGCCAAACTTTCTACACTCAGATAAGATTCTTGTAAATTGTTTTCTTCGATTGCCAAACTTTCTAGACTTAGATAAGATTCTTTTTGTATCGGCAAGTTTGAAATTTATTCTCTCGTTGGTTGGTTTGCCATGACCTCGTCAACCGTCCTTCCGGTTTCCGATCCTCCGGGCTAACCGCACTGTTTCGCATCCAGCTGACCTCTCTTTAGTGTTCTTGCATAGCGTATTCACGGTAAAGTTCTGACAAAGACATCCAAAGTCCAACCATTTTTCCCCTCTTTCGACTTTGCTCCTATTCCAACGATTTTCTCAGCCGATTTCCTCTTTCCTTTCCACATCTCATCGTGATTTCACCTTCAGATACATTCTTTTCGCCTTTGAATTGCTCCTTTCTGCCGCGCGGAACTCGGAATACTTTGTATCTCTTTTTTATCGATACCGCTTTGTATTCTATTTTTATACTTTTTACTAAACTTGCTCTTGTTTCTCGATATATCACAGGTGATTAATCCACGGATACAAAAAGCCTGGTAGTGTGTTTATATTTTGACAATTTTGAATAAAATATTATCTCAATGAATCTTAAGAAATCTTAGAAAATTCGAGGATGAAGACAATAAACTCCAAGGAATCCTGAAAGATCCCAATAATTATTGGAAAATTCCAGTTAAAAAATATTAGGAATTATTGCATTTTGAACTAGAATTTTTAGCGAACAGATAACTTGAAGATTGAACCATGATCCAGTCACAAACAGAACCTTCCTGAGTTCTCACCGAACGGACAGTTTCCCGATCGGAAGTTATTCAGCATCTACGAGTGCCTTTCCGGTCCAACATGCTTATTAGCAGTCGGTAGACCATTTTCTTCAAGTAGTTTGCCATTCAATAACTCCGTGGCTTATGCAAACGTCTTGAAGGAAATGAAAATCGCAATCCAACCAGACGTCATCGGCAGAATCTTCATGATTCCGTAGTTCACGGCTTGGTTTTCATAAACAGGATAAAAATGAACGCGAACGTAAAAGGGGAGGATAATAGACAGCGGTGCCGTTGAAAAGCCATAGGGAATCAATTATCGAGCGAGCAAAAGGCTGGAAAATTATATCGCAGGCTGGCTATAACCTTTCCCTTTCCTTCCCAAATACCGTTATCACTGGGAAACAGAGTTCCTTGCACTCATCCTAACTTTTCGATAGATGACTCTTACGATAAACTTTCGAGTTAATTTATTTTATAGAACAGTGTTTCTCAACCAATACGCGGTAAACGCTCGATAATTCCCCGCATAAGAGGCTCTGAAGGTGGCTACTTCTAAGTTTTAATGTTTTAGAATTGCTTCGATATTTTTATTCAATTTTTTGTCAAGATAAAGAAAAAGAAACTTAAAACTTACCATTTAAAACGTGGACGGAAACCGTGGTAGCAGCCGCCACATCAGCCAGGGCGCAACTATAGTTTCCGCTGTCCTTTTTGTTCGCGTTCGCAATGTAGAGCCTGGATGTCGCACCGCTGGTGCCCATGTCCGTCTTCACACTGGAACAGAGAGCAGAAGATTTCTCTTGTATAACGGAAGTCGAAAGCTTCCTCTCGTTTAAACGAAAAGCAGACGCTAGATGTCGCGGTGGTTACTTCCTGTTAGCCTTGCAGGAGAAACGTACAAGTAGGAAATGACAAAAGAAGTTTGTGCAGCTTAGACTAGCGGGCAAGAAATGGACGATGGCGGTCGTGTGTGAAAAGGAATAGAGAAGGGCGGAGAAGAAACGAAAAGGCGAAAAAATTTGAGAGATGATAAGAGGATAATAAAAAAAAATTAGGGCGTCTAAATTTAATTTGAGACAATAAGTCGGCAAAAAGAGTCCTATATTTTTTTTACATGTTCCATATTTTTCTGGAATCTAAAAGTTTCACAAATAATCTGCTCGTTTCAGGGGTGAAAAAATAAGCGTGGCCTACAAACGAGCTTATCATAAGGACGATGTTTTACTGTGGCAAAGTAGACTGGCTAATTTACAGCGATTTCGATAACCGTAATTACATCACACTTCCACCGGGTCTTTGCTTAATAAATTCCAAGAATGGTCGCCTAATCGCGTAATGTGAGAATATATGTAACCCTTTCCTTCGTGGTGGAGCTGGCCAACGACCAGCATTATCGTTTACACCCACGAGAATTTAACTTTCAACCGTTGAACAATTACTTCTGAATTTAACTCTGGTTTCAACGATATGATCGCAAAAACTAGGACGTAGGCTAAGGTATTCATTTAGGACATAGGAGATCTTAGTAGAGTCTAATTGATCGTTTTAAACCACATCTGAAGATTTATTATATAATGACCAATATGCTTTAAATTTAGATTTGCAATACGAATCATTATTTAACACGTTTGCTACTAATATTCAATTGGAAATTCAACAATTTCTTTCTTTATAAAATAACACGAAATAAAATAAGATTTCATTTAAACAAATTGATTTCATTGTTCGAAAACACGATAATGAATGTTAAACTGATCTGTAAATAAAAATGATCTGATAATACAATGAAAGATTATTGACCGCTGATTTACAATTCCACGAAATCATTTGAAATGATTTAATCGACAAATATTTAATCGAAAGAATCTTTAATCAAGTAATATCCAAACGTGTATTTCTCCGTGCTTGTTGTTTGTCCAAATTTAAAACTCGATCCAACGTTTCCCTTCCATGTAAATCAAATAATCCTTCGATTTATGTTTTTCGCTTGTCCCCATTTTGCTTGTCGAATAACTGTTCGATGTATGTCGGACCTTTTCGATTTTCTACTTCCATTTCTCGTTTTTTTCCTTTTTTTTTTTTTTAACAGAGAAATAGATTTTCATTTTGTCCTTTTTCAATACACACTATCCGACTTCCTCTCACTATAATATTCTCCTTTCCACTATCCAATCCCTTCCATCTGGATTCTCATATTTCCATCCTGTTCTACATGTAAACTGGCCATTTTTATAGCCAGAATTCATTTTTACATTTTCTCTTTTTTTATGAAAGAGACAGACCAGTTTTCATTTCTCGGTGTGAACCAATGGGATTTTTAAATATTTTTTTACATTAATGATAACTTTCAACAATACCATTCAGAATTTTTCGATGCAGTATTAGTCCTGGGGGGATTGGGAGAAAAGTATAGGAAGGATTTGTAGAATCCCTCGGATAGAAAATATTGAAAATATGTTATTTTTCTCTGCTAGGACATTTTACAAATATTATTTATTGATGCTTATGCCTTCAAGATTAATACTGCAGAACTAATTTTATTTTAATAATAATAATATTATCAAAAATAAAATGTGCACTGTAAAAAAAGCTAGATATCAAATATCTGAATATGTCGTTATATCAGTGTCATTAGCAGTATGAATACTTAATTAGACTAATTATTTCCAACGACTGTCTGTAAATAACAGAAGAGCTCTCAAAATCGTATTGAGCTCCGTTTCGAAGGATTTAACGCGTTCCAGTTGCGACAGAAATATAAAATCTCATGGATACTATATAAATCACGTACCAAGCTTCATCCGAAAATCTCGTACGTGAGGGATTTCATAATTCCTTTTTTCCTTTCTCATAAAAATTTTAAGCCCTCCCTTTTGCCATATGATTATAGCCACGAATTCATTCCTCAACTTCATTTAATTACACAACATGGAACATGAAAAGTGACATATATTTTTCTACTGATTGATTCAAGATACAATATTGAAAAAAGAAAAGAAAAGGCAGAGAGAATTTAATTGGTACACTTTCTAATAATCGATTGAATGATATATTAAAAATTTCATATTTCATATAATTAATATTTAATTTGAACCACTGATGATCTTCAAATTTTCGAATAGCAGTGTACGTTTGAAGAATTAAATTTACACAACGTAGCTCTTTCAACAAGCACCTATTTTAGGATGCCAATCGAGAAAATAAGAAAAAAAGAAAAGAAGGAATGGAAACTAGCTACAGAGTCGAGAAAATCCAGGATAATCTGTAGAATTCCATGGGCAAGCGAGGGATGAAGGATTTTCGTGAATTCTCTACGGCGTTTCGTGTAATACACACCTCGGTCTTCGAGTTTAAGTCGGGTACAATCTGTTCGTTGTATGCTGAACTCGGAAAACGAAGGAAAGATTTTCACTCTCTTCGTTTTATTTGCACAGATAAAGGAGAAACTAGCAGCTGAGGAAAAGAGCTACTAAATACATAATATACAGGGTGCTTCAAAAGAGTGGACAAATCTACAGCACTAGACAGGTAACACATATATTGCTGGACAAAATGATAAAAGAATCAAAAGAATTTAAACAGTATTGTAGATACAATGAAAAAAAATTTCTCGAAAAAAAAAAAAAAAAAGAAAAATTCTCACATAGTAAAACAAAACATAGTTTGTGCCCTTAAATCTCCAGATACTGGTGGCGACCAGTGAAATTCATTGTGGTTTCGTAAACGGCGTGGAAAAAGGTAGGTGGGTCGAAAACGCGAAGGAGGTGGAGTCGTGGAAGGGTGAAGAGGGTCGAGTGTGGGTTGTGAAAGGGTGAAAGGGCAGAAATGGGGAGAACTCGGGGGTAAATTTCGTGGCAGAATGATTGGAATTAAATTCCACGTGGTGGAAAGAGGGTAAAAGCGTGTTGCGAGGTTTCAGGCATCGTTAGACAGCAGGAATGTATCGTTCAGGATGGGATAAACTGACCATTCGGTTCACCAAGGTTGTTTCCTTCCCTCTTTTTTTCCGTTGAAAAAACAATTGATCAAAGTATCAGATATGAGAAAGGATTATTGCCTGCTTTTATTAACCCTTTAATTTTTTTTAAACAATTACGTGAAGATATGGTATGTGAAAAAAAAAATGAATCAAATGTTTTATGTTGATTAGTATGTTTCTAATGGAAGGTAACAATCAATAGACAAGTAATTATTGAAACAAAAATACAAAATACACTTCAGAAGCAAATTATAATGAAATGTAACAGTGAAAACATGACGTGAAAAAGTATACCTGACATTTAAACTGTTGGCACTGTAATTTATCTGCATAAATCACTTGCCATGAACAAAATTGTATAGCACGCACCGGCTGCAATTTGTTTGCCTTGTCAGCAATACCAGTCATTTATAAATTATAACGAATAATTTAATTGCGTTCCACGTAACAGATACGAAATTTACATTATAAATTTAATTAAACTCTAAGTACCTATAAATCTACTTAAAACACAATTAACACCATTCTGACACTTTGAAAACGAAACCGGTGCAGCTAGAGAAATTTTAGATCTTTAGATTTTGAGAATAAATTTTGCAATGAATAAGAATAATTTAATTTATCGAAAGGAATCCGACGCTATCAGTGCGAATAGGTTCTCGACAATTTTCTTAATCAACGAATACTTTGCTGAAACTTTCATAACTAGAACAAATTTCCACTTCATGATCATGGAAAGGTAAGTTTGTGTAAGAGAGTTTGAAAGTTTCTTGTAAATCCTGGTTAACCCAGAAAGTTTCACAAAACAGAAAAATTCTGCAGTTCATTTACAAGATTACGAGATAAGTCATTTATTTCTACTTGTTGTTTATAACCCATATTTATCACTAGAAATGGTATTTTAACACTTGAAAATGAGACTGTGAACAATTTTATTTGCATGCCTAGTTAAACGCACCATTACTAAAATTGACAATGCCAAAATTAGTATGATTCGCTTTGAAATATATTTGGAGGTATGAAGAAAATATCATTGGTTCACAATTTCATTTTTTATTTAACACCAGTGAGATTAAATTACGGTGAATATGAGGTGATAACTTAAGAGTAGCGAGAAAATCCTTCTGAACTTTGGTGGACAAGCAGAGGGACGAGATTAAAGACAGAACCAGGGCGAGAAAGATTGACACGGGAATGTTATTAAAAATGCACTGTCCTAGCCAACTGCGACCCTCTACTTCAAGTTTCATCCTTATACCGAGTCGTCTGATTCGTTGAACTCGCCAATTATTTTACTGGCTGACGGAAAGATGAAAAAGGGAAAAAGTATAAGAAAAACCCTGACATCCTTGACAAAAGACGTAGCAGATGATAACATATAATGAGAGACAATTTCTAGTTTTATACGTATACTTTCTACATTTCTGATATTATCGTGCACGATAGGTACTGTAAATACGCTAATCAAATTTGTTTTCGATCGAAACGTTGATCAAATATTACTCGACAATTGTAGAAAATTTGCAAATTGATATTTACTTTAATTAATTAAAAAGTGAATAATGCCCATTCGTATCATTCCGGTTATTAACATACGTATAGTCGCAAACACTCTTTTTATTACCACAATTGTTATCGTTTCAACGCGAAAAACGAATTCGTATTGCTGAAAACATTTAAACGAAATTGAATTTAACAGTTTCCACAAATTCACGAATAACTGGTCGGAAAACGTAGCGCACCGCAATCGACTGGCCCGTTCCACTTTGCCACATCCATTTTTCATCAGAAAGTT